GTGAAATGGGGTCATTGCCATCTGAATGCTGGCAAGACATGTCGATCCTATTCAAGCAACTGGTAAAAGGCTAAATGCACGTTCATGTTCAATTCTTCTAGATTATATCTACACTTCTCAGTTCAGCTGTATTGAAGCTATATCAGACGGTGCTGTGATACCCCGCTTAAAGTTCTGATATTGCAGTGAAACTTCACTGAAGCTGTACTGTAGTAAGCATTGTGCCCTGCTTAACTGAGAAACAACATTTTAATAATATTGCATTAAACTATACATTTTGGCAACTGTTAAAAATGTTATTTCCAGCCCGTTATTAACTTCCTTGCATAGCGAATTAGTTGTATTACTAAAAAAAAATGCATATTATAACGGTGCTGCGTAGTAAACTATACATAAATTGCTGCACATACCATATTTATCGTAAGAAAATATTTCAAGATAAAATTGTACCTCTGCTCAAATTGTGTATTAAAATTCTATCGTTTACTAATATGTATGCTTAACCTAGGCTACGTAAAAATTTTGCAACCTTTATTTTGTTAAAAACTAAATTTAAACTACATTATGGTAGAAATTGGTTAGGCTCTCCGTCCATCAGTATTACAGGTTCGATACGAGCTGTATCATGCCAGAACGATTCTGACCAAAAAGAGCGGCCGAGAAGGATTGAGTCGCGAAGGGAGCCTCCGAAACGGTAGAAGAATCGAACGACCGCCGAAGAGCAGATTGCAAAAAAACAGCAAGTAAAGCAGCAGCGGCAGAAGGTACTTGCCGTGGAGTGGAATGAGACGGATAGCGAAACTCTGGTCAGAATGGAACTGCAGTAGTAGCAGATATTCGACAGATAAAAAAAAATCGCGAGAGTCATCGCATTCTCAGACAGAATGAAACAGCAGAAAAACAGACAATCCACATCTCTTTCATACCGAAAGACGTAGGCAACGTAAAATAAAGCATTTAGCAGACGAATGCATTCGGTCAACAGACATTGGTAAGGCGGATGGATATAATTTTACGTTATTGTAAAGCATACCTTTTAAAAGATAAAACGACAAATTTCCGTTTTACGCAGAGAAAAATAAAATTTAATGGCATACAACTGTAGAGAACTGAATGAACTGTACGCGAGCGATACATACCGAGCAAAAAATTTTCGAAAAATATACAATTGTATATTTCAGATGATTGTGGTTAGTGTCACTAGGAAGTGGCGTTCTCTTGAAGGAATCCACGATCTTTCACTAATTATACAGGGCGTTGTCTATCATAAAAAGAATCATTTATGCCACAGAATGACGAAACGTTCCGGTTCATAAGACAACGTTGAACGCTTCTTTTGAATCGTTTAGAATTTCGTGCCATCGTTCAAGATGTAGAAAACAATGCTCAGAGAAAACAACCCTCACATCGGGCATCTCACAAAAGCCAAAAATTTTACTACTAAACATTTACGAAAAGTACGAAGACGATACTCAGAAACAAAACAAGTGAAACAATGATTTCCGGATCATTTTGGAATCGCATTTTGTTTGAATGCTTATTGTTCCCGTTAGGTAAGGATGGTCGGCAAAATGGGCTATGCACAATGCAGAATAAAGAACTAAACCGGCTGCAATGTTATGCATATCAAGTCAAAAATCGTAAAAAACAATTTAATCATCTATTGCAAGTAAACCATATCTTTCACCAATACCCGGTCGCTGTGGCTGCAAAGACTGAATCGGACAAATCTGTCCTACATTAAAAATAATCAGGTCTCTAAGATCAGACCTTGATAAATGTACCATCTAATAATCTTCATTCGGAGATGGACCGAAATACACGGTAAAACTTCTATATAGATACCATAATATATATATATACGTAATACGTCACTGTCAATGGTATGCAATGCACACTGGTTAGAGATTGTAGGTCACCTGAGTGAAGACCAGCAACCGGAAGATCGGTCAAGTATAATTAACCGTGCTTTTAAACTAAAGAAACCTTTTTACAAAACAGCATAAAAAATTTAACCGCATCATTGCCTACCTGCGGCCCAAAAAATACTAGAAAAACAGAACCGCTGCATGTCGATATCATGCTGTGCCTCGACAAAAAAATAAAGCTCAACTTTGAAAACACTAATAAATTTGTGCAAGCTAAAATTCCGGATATAAACTCAGATCCGACACTTTACAGGCTAGTTTTGAATGATGGACCTCATAGCTTGAATTACATTGCCAATTCACTCTAAGACATAAAAGGCTGTCAGTGCTTGAAATGGTGTGTCTACACATAAAAGACGCTGCCTCCTGAAATAGGGGATTTTATAGGTGACCAAAAAGGTCAACAATATAAAAATTATGAAAGACATCAGTGGGCTGTGCCACGCAATGTGGAACTTGAAATTTCTAATTGCCCCTTTAACGCTGGAACGTATGTGAAAGGAACTCCTGCGCGTCGATGTCCTTTAATTTTACATCTGGGCCATAACAAGTAAAAAAATAAATAAAAACAGAAAAAATTTCCCCATTTAACCACAAAAATATACGACCATGCCTCAGCACGCCGAATCCACGTTGGGGTGAAGTTTATTACTTATGACTATTACTGTTCGTGGGCTCACATCGTTTGATTCACTCAAAACGCATGAAAGCATCCCACTTGCAGCACTGAAAGAAACCTACGCTTGTCTACAAAAAGGAAGAAGACTATGGAAAATGTCGAACAAATGCAGATGCCTTATGCAAATCGAGGTTTATTCACGATCATGATAGTGAACGAATATGTCGTCAATTAATAAAAATATGTAAAACATTTTTAAAAATCGCCTTCTTAAGAATGGTGGCTTAAAACTGAAGCTCATTGTGAATACCGGCTGTCGAAGAACAACATGACTCTTCCTATTGTTAACACCCATCATCGTAAAGCTCTTAGGTACCGTCCAGTCAAATTAAGCGACTTTATTTGGACGAAGGTAAAAGATATCATCAGTATGCAAACCCCTTAAGATAAACATTAACCAAACGAAAACACAGACATTCTACAGCAAAATTCTTATCTATTGCGCACCTCTTATTTATGATTCCCGTTTATTGTACGAAAAATACAGTATGTAACACTTATTACTTATTGTTTGGTACGGACAATAATAGACCGAAAGGACGTTGATCGAAGATTTCGTGTTTTATGCAACAAGAACTGTATGTTCAGGCGATTTCCCTCAGCTGCTACTAGGAATCAAAGGAAATAGCGATGCTGATATTAAAAACAGTCGTTGAACGACGATGAAAATTCGAATTTATGGAGGCACTCTAAAGCATACAACTTGGCCCGCAGTATGCGACTTAATAAAACTGACGATAAAACACTCAGCTTTTGTTAAACATCCATAAAGATCAATTTTCAAGAAGTGCCAACAATGAAACTTGCGTTGAAAATTTTGCGTTAAAATGGGATTCCATTGCACAGCGTATCGACATTATCTGCCCGTCGACGTCACTCGAAAATCCTATGAACGTTTTCGTTAAACAAATGCATCGCAGTTCCCGTGAATAGAATGGTTTGGAACACTAAGAATATGTGCATTAAACGAATCTATGGAGATCTCAAAAAATGTTATTCAATCAACCAGCAAAAGATGTGGACGCTACGCATTTGCCCATAAAATTTCTCGACAATTTCGAGATGTTTGGATTGTTGTCGTATAGTCAGCAGGTAAAGAAAAGTTCACCACTCATCCTTATAATAACTTCAGTTTCCTCAAGCTCTGGCACAAGGATAACCCTTCACAATTCATACAGTAATCTCACTGTAGCAAAGGTTACAAGCTTCACGCTCAAAAAGTTGATCGTCGTGCTTGAAGAATTATTCTTGACTCCCTCAGAAAACGATGAAGTTCAGCAGTGTCAATTTCCACTGCAGTAATGCTCTGCTTGGACATTTCACAAAGCACATGGATAGACAACGGCAGACATCTTCATACCTTTTGAAGAACCTGTATTTAATTACGTTAAACTAACTATGCATTGCTATCAGTCACATGCGAAACTCTACCAGAATGTCAAAATTTTCCTTGAAGAGACCAACGAAACTAAAAAGGTTGCATGATATCTTCGCATGCAAAGTTTAACAAGACTAATCGATTCATAAGGCTGCAAACATGTTGCGTCAATTCACATACGTACAACCTGGAACTGACAGCCAAATGCTCAACCAGGTTAACTCTGCAACAACGGCTGAATCATCATCTAATTTAATAAGAACACATATCGAAACATAACCTAAGGCAAACCAAGCGGTCCTTTTCAGGGCCTCCAAATCAAAAAAAGTATAAAAATAAAAAACCTAAAAAGAAAGGTAATTGATATTATATCCCTATTATATATATATAAAACTAGTAAACCCGCGACTCCGGTAATTTAATTATTAGCCGCCTTCTAATTATAATATAGCTGATGGAACGACATTGAGTGCAATAGCATTGGACATTTTTTTTAAGTTTTTAGAAAAGGAACTTACACCGCTCATATTTGCACTTACAAGAAGTGAAATGCATAACCTAGCTGAGTTTTATGTTCATGAGTAAATAAGATGCTAAGGAGAACCAATCACTTCTTACTCAGTAAGTAGGAAGGTACTTTATTTTTGGTATCGGTATTTTCATTTCATATTTCCACAATTATATTAAAATGATTAAAAAAATGGCGTACATTGACTCAGTCTCACTTGTCTCACAAACTCGAGCCACGCAATTATTTGTTGGGAATGAAAATTATTAAAGTTATCTCATTCTTGAATAAGTTGGTGTTCTGAAACTTAGTGACTTTAGACAACACGAAATTATTGAGCGCTATTCAGGGTACATGCACAAAGTTCATACATGCCAATCTGCTTAATTGTTCCACTAACTTTAAGGGAGTTAAGTGTTCCACTAAGACTAACTTAGATTTGTGAGGGCTTCACTATCTATATTTATTGATCAGACACGGAATGATCCTGCAAAAGACTATCATTGCTGATCAGACAAGCGAATGTAATCTCGATGAGCCTCACGACTTCGCTGTCATTAAACGCAATGTTTTATGGTCTACCAACCAATGAATGATCTCGTGCAACGAAGCCTCCTTGTTCTCATTTTTCTTTCGGTATCTCATGGAAAATAGACACAAAAAGTAATTTCCTGTCCTATTATGAAGTGTTACAACAGTCATTTCGAACAATTTGTATGTCAGTTTCTCATTTGTACATAATTCTTGTGCATGACTCATTTCTGTATAGCAAAATCAACAATAGAAACAGGAAGGAAAAAACCCTCGACAAAGGTTGTACTCAGGCTCGAGCCCCATTTTCACTTCCTGTGCGCATAGCGTTTGGTAACGGGACCAACAAGCCTAGATATCCGTAGGCGAAGTCATTACCTTGGTTTTACTAAACCGTTCACCAACTAAATCTTTTTTGGAATTGCCGGGTGTTAGAGGTCGTCGACGGGGTTCCTTATGATGAGGAAGCTCTGAATTTTGTGCGGTCATAGGGGTCGCTGCAGCGGTTATTATACGAGACCTATCAGGGACAATTGACGTAGACAAATCTTCGTAAATGCGTTGAAGCTCTTATTATTAAACTAACTTATCACAGGCAATGGCCCTTACAACAGGCAAAATTCAAATCTATAACTTCGTCTCTTATAACGTCCCGGGTATTGTTATCATATGCAGAATCTAGTCTTGGAATCATGTGTTTTTGCTAAGTATTTGCAGTGAAAACAAATATCTTTACTTTTCATCAACTTTTTGCCATAAAAATGTATTTAAAGAGGTGCTTAGCCAATCTGCAAGCATAACATAATAGATGAACGAAAAGCAAAATTAGCCGGCCTCCTAACGTACTCACGTGCTTAGGTGGCTTGTTGATGGCGTATTTTGGTAACGCGATCGAGAAGCTTTTCCGATAGGTGTGGCGAACGTGTTTTCAATTTCACGTACGTTACGCTTCACAAAACCAGCGCGACTCACCCTAAAGGGATAAAACGAAAATCACAAATACGTGATTACGTATGCGCTTATTTTGCACATCGCATTTAGTTGTAAATATAAACAATATGTACGTTACATTAGCTGGACTTGTTAGCGCTTCAGTGAAGGTCATGCGCATATAAATTCGTCCATCAAGTGTTCGAAGCCGTAATATTAGGATGTAGTTCCACTCTGTTTTCCTCACATCCAGCGTAATTCTGACTTCAAACAACTTGATTATTATTATAGCTTTGATCTGACCTGATCGCAATGACTGATTCCCTGCGTGAGTTAGGACTCTGTTCGGTTTCTGCAGAAGCTGCTCTCACTGGTGTATCCAACATTCCCGATATAAAGCAAGCCCGTGTCTGTGGAAACACTCGATGTTAAATGATATGCAAGCTTGACCGGTCATAAGAAAGTGATTCTAATATTATAAAACACAAACACGCTATTTGCTACATAGAAACGAGAGAAAACCATTTTATACGTTATTAAGACGTCAATGAAACATTTCTAGGTAAAAGTAGGGATTTAGTAGTTCGAATTATTAAGCCAGAACACAGTATAGACGGCGTATAAAAACTATTTTCTACGGTTGTGAAAGCGGACACGGTGAAAATACGATAAAGGGTACCTCTCTTAGGTAGTGTCTATTATCCTGCGATCTTTCTTCTTGCTGCTGCTGCTGCTGCTTAGAAAGCTCATTCATAAATTCTACAGCGTCAACAAAATTTTCAGTCTCATCTTCGGAATCTACGCAGGTTCCCGAGTTGTCCAAGACACAATTCGCATCATCATACTCTTGATTTCTTTGCGAGACACGCCATTTTACGGCAGTGACCATTTCAGAGATCAAACTACTCGACGAAGTTGGTTGGCCTGGAGTTTCACCGCTTACAAGTTGTACGTTGTTGAAATTGTCACCACTATGAGCCTCCTAGGGTCGGACAATAGTTATTTGGAATTATAAGCAGTAGTACGCCCACCACTTCCAAGTCATAACAAATATATGCTGAATATGTAGTGAACTATATTTCCTGTTGACGGGACATCAAAGTAACTTCAGTTATCAAAATAGTTAACTTGTTTTGGCAAATTCGTCCTCAACGGCGTCTCGATTCTGGTAAGAGTCTATTTTCATACTAAACAACAAACAACCCACTTTAGCAGTTAACGATACAGCGTACTTAAACGCATTTCCCGAAAAGCCACGTACAAAGCGAGACACAAATGACAAAGATCTGGATCCGAGTCCGTAAATGCAATCAGCTGACGCAGACTGGCTTTAAATACTTTGAAAAAATACATGATACAAAATACTTTGAACACCTTCCGGTTTTACGTAAGGAATCTTAGCACTCCACGTAACAGAAAGTGTCATAAATGCATACCAATAATTTTCGAATAAAGGGAGGTCTTAGAAAACCAATAGATAGCTTTAAGCACCAAGGAAGCAAAGAAACCAGATGTAAAGTTAAGCACTGGAAAACGACAGAAACAAGATGTTGGAATTAGCTGTTGTTTTTTTACAGGTACTAACCTTCGCAGTAGATGTAGGATTATCACGATTTTCGTCGTTATTGACATCGTCTTTAGCTGTGCGAAGAATGAATCCATCATCGCCAAAAGCATCGTGCCAATGCTCAGTATAACCATCGTTCAGTTGAACATCACCACGAAGCTTCTTTGGATCATGTTCAACTTCACCCAAACTCCTGTCGGTATTATCTTTGTCCTGAGCCCCAGATGAAAGCCTCAAACTACGCCGCGCATTTTTTTTTCGTTCTACAGACGGATTGCCCTGCGTCACTGATAATCGCTCGATGATCGTTGCAACCTCGTTTGCAGTTTCCACCGCCTAGAGAAGAATAAGCTCTCTTCAAGCCTTTGCAATATCGCAATATTAAGTGCCCGTGCCTGAAGTACTATCACCACTTACTTTACTCTTATAATATGGCCCTTTTTACGTTTTAAAAGCGAAACACTGAAAGTATCCGTTCCAATAGGCATTCGCAAAGATTCAGAATGATATTTTATTGTGAAATTCAACATCACAGACGCTGATACGCTAATAATTGCATATTCTGCTCTACCTTACACTTTACTTGTATGAGCTAAGTCCGTTTTCGCTCAGTTCTAAGACATTTTGTTCCGCTCAAAAAAGCAATTAAACAAATATGGCATCAGACTAAGTCGCCCAACAAAAGCCTAACAAAATGACTGTATTGTCTTTGTATACATACAGGACTTGGCATAGGCTGGGTGGCAGAATTTTTCCGTCTAAGTCCACCTGCGTCTGTCGACCTTGAACTTGCGCCATTGTTTTTGTTTAAATTACTTGAAGTTTGCTGCTGTTGCTCCAGCCCAGTTGAATCATTCCGTGCTCCCGTTAAGTGATAATTTTCTCCCCGTTGAGGAGGCTCAAGGGATTCGATTGACAATTCAACTTTTGCGTGTTGTACTCTTGCTTTGACACCACCGTCAGTGAGTCGTGTAGTTCTAGGTGGTTTTCTCGGTGAACATCTAAATCCGACGCTATCACGCAAAGATGCTTTACGTGCCACGACCCCCCGTGCCGACGGCGAACTGGAACACCAAATATATTTTAGTTCATATAAGGTTATCATATCCTTCATTCTACTTGCGCTATTGGTACTGAATACTGCAGAGATATAGACCTACCGACGAACCAAAGCCGCCCACGCCGTAGAAGGCAATGTACTTAAAGCGACAGCTGACTGTCCGGTTGCTCTGGTCGTATTCGTCGTTGTTGTCTGGGGTGCACAACTAAACTTCATAGCAGCCCGCAGGGTGGCGGACCTGTAATTTCAAATTCTAGCATGATAAAAATGTAAATAATAAACAGGGGATCATCATTTGAAACCCATTCATGATTATTCACGAATCAAAGGCTCGGTGATCGCTGGCCGATAATATAAAAAAAAGTCTATGTCGTTGTTACGCTCCTGAGTTGGGGTAGTAAACTATACTTTTAGTATTGAAGATATAAAAGAATCCTTATAAAGATATGCCTAAAACCTTTCGCTGATGTAATACATTACGTAGACATACGTAAAAACTCTGTTCGTAATTGACGTACCTTCTAACTGATGCTCTCTGATGCTGTGTGTGCTGTAACAATGACTTATGACTGCTTTGGGCGGGAAGAGATCGAACAGAAGCTTGGCTACGTAAAAGACGAACTTTGCTGCGACAAGCAGTATTTTCTTCTATAAACAAGGCGGCAGTATTATCATCTGTTAGTTGCTGTTTTAAAGCTGAGTCATCGACAATATCACCGTCCATATGGCGCTTTTCCTGTCTGGAAGTTCAAAATACTAAAAATGTTACTTAGATCAAAACTACTTTCTGATTTACTTTTCTCGACAAAAAAAAAACAATATTAATAAAATATCTAACAAAATAAAAAAAGTGTTGAAGCATTCGACCTGAACGTCTAGACCTAGTAAGTGCGCATACGAAGTAGTTATTAGTAGGCTTTGATGGATTTGTCATCTATTTCGCACCTTTCCTCACGAAGTTCTTCATTTTCCATTTGAAATCTTCGTGAGACAGATCGTGTAGGCCTTCTAGATGTCGTTGCTGTCATCTGTAACAAATAGCCAGTTTATGCAAAAGTCATAAGAATGCAAAGGCCTGTAAGTCAGAGACCCAGTACTATGACACACCGCACTTATACAATCACATACAAACACCTCAGACTACAATGCTGAGCTTCTATTAGTTAAATAATTTGATTAAATGAATTAAAATAGTCAGTTCATGAAAGCCCTCCAAAGTAGTCTCTTTTAGTTATTGTTACGTTTTTCAAAGATGGTTAATATATGTGTTCGTTAAATAACAGTTGCTTTAATGACCACAGAACAAAGAATATCCTAAGGCCTGTCAAGGAAAGGCAAAATTGATTTCGAAAATAATGAACAGTACTGTTTAGAACCACATCTTCAAAAATTACGTTGTTAAAGTACAGGAAACAGATAACCTTAAAAAGCGCAAATGTATGGCATGCAGACAAGACATGACAAAATACAATATTAAAAAGCCTTCAGTGAAAGCGCATGTCGTGTCTCAGGGTTTTAACCAGCGATAATCGTTATGGTTAGATGTTCAGCCATTTACGCTTCCCTACCGAAAAATATAATTTTTGATTATTTACGCAGTTGTCCAAAAATTAATTATTAAACTAATCAATACTTGCTCCGGCACAAATTAAAAACACCTATAAACAACATAACCTGAAACTAATAAAAGACATCTGAAACATAAATACTTGAAGGTTCCCGTTCGTATAATCTAACTAAGCCTGTACTCAATGATTACCGCGGTGCCGGAACCAATAATTTGTAAAATGACAAGCAATAAAAAGGTCTTAAGTTTAAAACCAACCTGCTGCTCAGTAATTATTATCAGTGTTCATAACTTTAGCTTAAAGCGCAGTTACCTTTGATTAGCGTAAATGCTCTTGTACGCCCTACCCATAATATACTTTAAATAGCCCTCAATGTGAAATGTGAAAAAAAAGCAAACAATGGGCATTTTGTGGATCTAACAGTGTAGAACTTTCGATCCTATGCGAAAACGCATCTTAGTGTCAAAATACGTTTCTAAAAAAGCAAGATGAAGAAACGCAAATAACACTGCACGATTTCTATTCGATGAAACGTATGTCAAGGAATCGTTTCATTTTCTGATATCGTGATTTTTTTCTTTGATCTGCAAAGATACACTCAACTCGAAGCTCAGCCAAATCTCTTTATCAATAATAAGAAATAATAACTCAAAAGATAGCGAATATAATCAGGTTTATTCATTACTGGCTCCGCTACATGAGTTAATTTAATAGGTGTTCAGTGCATCTTGATAATCGCACCAGTGATCTGTATAAAATGGCAATGCCTGTAATTATCTTCTATTCCTATTTTTAGCAAAATGTCGAACACCAGTGTGCGTTTCAGCATTGGCATGCACCCTCTGTGTAGAGGTGCACATCACTTATTGGTGGGGTTTCTCAACAAACAGAAATTAATTACAGATATCACACTTCAACAACATATTCTCTAAAATAGCTCAAAGACGAAATTCTTGTTCCAATCCACATTTTTTCTAATATTATCGAAGGAGACTTCGAACGTTATTATAAACTATAAAGAACGGATTGCAAATATTCCGCTAGACACTAGTATGTTAAAACTTAATACTTGCCACTCTAGTCCGAACATTAGCGTATGGCTACTTTTTATTGCCATTTTTTTTTAAATTTTGTAATTGAAGTACTAATTTTGAAATAATAGGAAGTTTTTTAAAGTAATATAACCAAAGCATACTAAACATACGCAAAACGCCTTGGAAACACGTATGGCAATTAATCAAACGCGCATACACGTGCTGATAGAGTGGGCACAGCCAAATGAATTACTTAAAAAATAAATGATACAAATGAACGACACAAACGAATAGTATAAACAAATGACAGAAATCTATATCTAGACTGAACAAAACGATGCACGGATGAGTTTCTCATCATAAAACCGATATGTTGGTCCTTAACCTCAAAGTTTTACATAATTTTATATTACATTATGAAGGTAATGTAGAAGAATGCATAAGCCCTGTAGTTATACAAGAGCATAGGAGAATATGAAATGCAAGCATAAATAGATCCAATTAAAGGCTGCAGGACGCAAAACACCGTTAGGATCTTTTATTGGGGTATTTTCGTTGAAAATATACCTCGTTCTGAAGCGGTGGGCTTCGAAATGGGGACTTTGATGATTCGAATATTACCCTCTCAGATAAGTTGCCTAAATGTGACTCCTGTGCAAATACGCCGCTGCTGTATCCCGTTACTCTGGCGACAAGCAAATTACGCACGATCTTATTTTGTTTGCTTGGAGGAGTCTGTTGCTTTGAACCGCTTGCTCCGCCAGATAGTTTCATAACTCGGTCGTTCAGGGCGGCCTGCCGATAAAATCAAATTCGTTCAGCCGAATTACACTGCAATGCTAGCAACACCAAGCAGCTATTGTAAAGAGTACAGAAAAGCTGTACTCGAAGTATATGTGGCCTTTTTTGCTAGAGCCATGCCAACGGTGGCGCCCATACAATTTAAACTAGCTTTTTTTAAAGAACAAACAACGGTTTATAGGACACAAGCTTCATAAAGGTTTCACATACGGCTCAGAAATAAAAGACACCAACTAAATAGTCAGGCCGACACACAGAAAATCATTTTCTAGACAGACGTCAACATAAACGCAATCTTTCGTATTACGTACTTACCTTGGTCATTTTTGGAGGGCACGACTGCGGTACATTTTTAACAGATGCTACTCTCTTTGATGGCTGCTGTGGAGTGCGGAGTGCAGAAGCCCGCTGATGCGTAGCGCTACCCTGCTCAAAGGATGAGATACAATAAATTAGTACACTAGCTTTGGTCACCTCGATACCAACTGCACACTGTTGGTTCAATGATGTATTTATATTACTGCCCAGCCTCTCATTCGATAAGTTTCGTTGCAACACTAAAGTGCTTGCTTATAAGCAAGCATTAAGCGCGTCTACTGAAGCGGACTTATCATCTTATTTTTAGGGTTGAATCTATCCTACAAATATATTTCGGTATATTTGAGTTTCGTCAGCACTGTGTTGAAAGACAAGCTGGCGACCAAAAAATACAGTTGTACGTCCCGGATTACTCAACTTATAATTAAATCTCGTAAACCAGATATGCTTGACAGATTATCGTTAAATATATGAAATCATTATGACATATATAAATAACTCATAAAAATAACGGATTAGGTATTAAACCTTCGATTTAAGGAAGGTAAAGAGCATCCTCCGAGGATTGTGCTTTTCTAACGGGCCTTCACAGTCACTGAGATCGTCCTCTGAGAAGTCTTTCATTTTTCCATTCCGAAGAGCCTCGTATTCAAGCGGTAAAACTCCTATCATCGGCGCGTTATCGATGAGGACCTAAAGGTGTTTTCAAAGAAGATACGAAAATCAAATTACTGTTGTACAGTGTTCATTTAATTCCCAAATTTATTAACGGTTACCACTGCGAGGATGATCTAGTGTCTCTATTTACGATTTCAGCTTTATTCTAATAAAACCATCACTTTATTACCAACTTAAAACTACCTATTTGTACCTTCAAGGCAGTCGTTGCTGATTTGCTAAATTTTTTCACAACCTCTGGATCCATTTCTCCCTGAAATACAGTACTAGGGTTAATTGAAATGTTTGCAGACAAGATAGATCGCTGCAATATTTGAGACCGAAATGATAAGGTAAATTCCGTATTGTGTTCCGTAGATGCAAGATGCTTAGTATCTACAAATATATGCTAGAGTAACCACATTAAGATCGATAGAAACCTATAAGTTCTTCAGAGCCTGAAGACATTTTTGCTCTAGCACGAGGAACTCATCATCTCCTTAGTTTGTTTTCATTATAGATATTTATGTGAGAATCATTCATTATACGCTATATATTATACATAAACAAGTACCTTAACAACTCGAGGCATCAGGGAAGGCGCCAGAACCTTAGCAAGGTTTTCACTTGTCATTTTATTACAGAGATCATTCTTTGCGATTTCCTGAAAGGTCAGTCATAGTGAGCAAAATATGCGTATTTATTTTAAGATCGACGTTTATTCACGCTTTTGAAAACGGCTTGCATTTGCAAGGTGTACCTCTTAGTCCTCAGCACTGCGGAGATCATATCAAGACCGATTAGTGACTGCACAACACAAACCTGAAGAAAGACAGCAATATGTTTTAAGGTGTTTAAGTGAAAGGTGGGTAGAAGCAGACACGTCAGAAGAAGAGCCTGTGTGCTGTGGTGATGGGAATCGAGTTCTACGCATTTGACGAAGATATCGTGCAGCACCCGGGGTACAACCGGTTCCGGCAGGCACCGCAACCATCTGTGAAGAATCAACCACAACAGAACACATTAAAGCGAATGGAAAACGACGTGTAACTATAGCTGCTAGAATAAACCTACTAATTTTCCTAAGCTCAGATAGAGGTTGTATGCTATTCTTCCTGAAAAATTTATGCAAAAACGTGTTTTATCATAACTCGAATGTTTTGTTTTTCGAGTTTACCTGCGTTCAACCATTTACCTTGAAAAAACTATTTGTTGCAAATCAGTCACCGCAGAAATCAGAGGTATCCCACCCATTTCCTAAACTGACCTAATATAACCTGTTAGCTTAAATAGTCTTGATAAAATTCATCTCCACCTTTTGAGCACGCACGTGACGTCGTGAACAGAATACTCTCCAGGGGGAATAAATGCTCCGTTTTTCTCCATGCGGTCTTTCAGCCCCATTACACGCCGTTCATTTCCATTTTTTCGAATAATTCCCTCCTGGTCACACAATTCAAAATTAAACGCATTATTTACATGAGTATACTGGAGTTATCTAACCGCTCCTGTTCAACTTAAATGTGGCAGCCGAGTTAGTTTTATTTTTTTCTGACTGCAGCAGATCTGCTACTGCTGTGAATCACTGTTACAGAAACTCAATACTAAATTAAGAAAATACGTTCAATTGAGGAACTGACAACTCGATGTGCTTACCTGAGTGGCATAGTTTCTGAGGATATACTGGGTAACGGATTCCAAAAAATGTGGTACTGGACCATTTGTCAGCGTTGAGGTTTCCTGCAAGAAAATAGAAGAATATAGATTGCCAAAAAAAAATTATTAGAATCATGTTCCTATCCGAGACAGCCAATATATAGCCTATGAAATACCTAAGATACCGCTTGGCATATTATATAATAATCGTGTTTACGATAAAATGAAGAATAATCCTTTGATGACAGACAATAGTCGTTGTTTGTGTATATTTACCTGTTGTTGGTTTTGAAGAGGTACAGCAAAATAGCCAGAGCTTTCTTGTGCACATCCCGTCGATTCTTCATGGAGCTTTTTCAGTCCACATTTTAACTTGCGTAACTTCGCTGTCGATATTTTCACACTTTTCTTATCCTTATATACATATATACATACATATATATATATACAAATGAAAAAATAAGACCCGGTCAGCAGAGTAGTAATAATATCGTAAGTCCATTGATTTGCGACAAATGCAAATGATTTGCCATAGGGAACCCGAAATAGTTAACTGAAGCAAAGGTTACAATTTTATACGATTATTATGACTTACTCACACACGTACTTTAGCACTAAAAAAAAGCTCTAAATTTTAAACCTTCGACCCACGGCATCTTCGTAAACAGCTGGGGAGTTCTGACTAACATCTCTAAAAGCTGAGCATGATACAGCAAGTATCGTTAACAGAGAGAGCAAGAATTGTCAGTACTGCATCTTATATATACGGTTTAACTAGGATGATACGAAATATGGACAATCTTTACAGTTGGACAACCGTTACTTAGGTTTCATCTATCATGGCACAGGCATCTTAAACATTCATAAAATGAATCTATCTCTCCTTTGTGTATTTATCACGACCAGTACTCTCTCCGAAATTTTAGTCCATTCACGGTTTTAGACTACCAGACATCTCACGTACATCTACCCGACGTCGGCCCGCTTAAGTTATAAACGTTGGAATGTTTATTGACCTTTAAGGAAAATATCAATCTAGTGTGAGTATTAGTTTCTTTAGAAATATTGACCTGTAGAAGTTTGAGGATGTTTGAGTGCAGCTGACTCATTTCGTCTCGAGAGGAATCAGAACGACAGCGCCACGGTGTCCCTAAACCAATGCAAAATTACGTCAGTATCACGCTTGCATAGAGCACTATAACATAAATACTATCGTCGTTTTAATGCTCAAGCTCTTTCAGAGATTCACAACTTATCTAAACATTACTGACTTATGTACTCCTGCTACTTGTTTCTGATGACCCTTCCATTCGTTTCTTTTTCCATTCACACGTTACGCGATAGCTCGTAGATAGCTTATTGTATGTACTTTACTGATATACTGTCTAATATGATTTCTCTATGTCGCTTCGCCCTACGTCTTGTAGAGTGTGCAACGGGTTAAATGATTGCTTATATAATATTTGCATCGAACATATTAGAACTTCGTTAGAAATCAGAAGTTTTGCTCTGTAAGCTGTTTATCATCCAATTGCAAAGGAAAACGGAGCCTCATGACTGCAAAGCGATCAAGTTTTTCGCACCCAAATAACGTACCGTAGCTTACAGGTGAATAAATCACAATCACGAAAAATAAATCAAATATAGCATCACAAATTGTGGACCGCTACGATTTACATGTAGCAGGAATACCTGTGAACTATGAATTCAGAGTTTTGGGTGGATACATTCAGCATCCCATTTAAACGCCTAAAGGTGTGTATGGTAAATAGAAAAGACGTTTTTACCTTAATATTATCAGTGTCTGTTAAACAATCGTGATTATACTCCAATAAATGACAAAAGAAAACAAAGTCACGTTTTCCATGCTGAACTATAACGGGAAGTTTAGAAATTACTGACACACGTGGATGGCTGACAGGCAAAAACGGCCCACTGAAATACTTCTTTCCCGACATGATGAGCAGTTCTTCGATGGTACCGATACAGACGGGGGGGCACCGCTTGCCGCGTTTAACATCACAGTTCGTTTTTATCCGTTAAAAGGTCCATAAAGGTCGTTTAGCTACAATGATACCATGTCCCACCATCCTTTCAGGGACTCCTGCCGAGACTTTATTACTTCGCCTATAGTCGCCGACTAAATAAAATGTTTTCCGCACTTGCTCGTGTTATGCTTTCCTTTAAATGAGTATATCTTCTTTCATAACTTACATCGTTATAGTCACTCATTATCGAAATATTACAATGGCCATGTGCGATGCATTTAGTGGATGTCCTATTAAGAGGGCTAACGGTAATCTATCTTCTTGAAAACATTGACGTAAATCAAATAAACGGTTAGCACAGAAAAGTTTTCTTTTTTGTGCCAAGCTGCTGCGGTGTGACAGTGTTTGTTGCGTGTCAAGCCTTCAGTGCTAGAGTCAATGTTGCCCTCAATACGTAGCACATTTATGATTTGATAGGATGTCAAAGAGGAGAAAAGGCTTGGTAATCGGACTCCAAGCATGATACTATTCACACAGACTCATCTTTAAGAACAATTTCATATTTGAAATAACAGGGCTCACCTTTCATGAACGCTTGTTCACTTCCGCGCTCAATACATTCCCTCCTAAAACAAAAGTCAAGACATGGCGTCGAATGCACTTTGATGGCTCGATAAACATTTGTTGGAACCTAAAATAAACTTAAGCAGCAGTAAGTTGGATGTCGAATATCAAAAGGTATAGAAATAAGCACCCTTCAACTATCTAGAAAGTCTTGCAAGATAACTGTTCCTCGCCTTAAGCCTTCATTTGGTAAGTAAAATGTTCTTTCTTGCTACACGTGTCTAAATAAGTGCGACGTTGTATTTTTATGTTCCGTTTTAACCTTACACTATATTTATTTATTTAATATGGTGCTCAATATGGTCCACCTCGTGGTATATCTGGATAATATTTTATTTATTAAGTGTAGCCGTTAAATTATTGTGATGACTGGCGTAGAAACCTTTTCGACTAACAATCACCATTGCAGTTGTCCCGTATTATATTCAGTCATAAGTCAAGAGTCAGAAGGTTATTGGAGAAAGTTCTGGGCGACTTTCTAACTACAGAGTATAAATAAATAACATGTACAGATAAAAGAAATCAACATTGATCTTCAACAGCAAAAATGACGAACGGATAGCGTAACTTACTGCAATGCCCCTTGTGTCAGGTAAGTTCCTTTTTTTGTAAAAAAGCACTTCACCATTGAAGCATGATCTGTAAAATTTTGTTTCAGATGAATAACGCAGGTCATACAATATTTTTTTTGTAATAGTATTATTCAACTTAATCTAAGTAAAGTTAGGAAGAATTTCGCCGATGGTTCGAAAATGCGCCTAACTTAAGCGGCGCCCGTTACAAAACAAAAACGTACCACAGTGGAAAGGGTAGCGTACCAGAAGCAGCGTCCGCGCGCCAAGTGATGGTTGCATACCACCGCCATATGAATTAATTACCTCATCCGAGCCCCTTAACAGCTTACGTGACTTATATATATATATATATATATATATATATATATATATGTCATAGATGCTTTACACACTACTCAAACAAACTACAAGACAGCGATAAACAAAGCTTAGGAGCAAATGGTAATTGTTTTCCATGTTATCATGGTATAAGCTTGGCACGCTTTACAATAAATGATTGCAGAATTTAATTGCACTCATTGTTCTCTAATCTACTAACGTTTATAATGTCACATATTTGCTGTCTACAAAAAATTGAGTTTATTAAATTTGATCTCAGTTTCCTGATTTATATCACGCAGTATGGAATGCACAAAGCTAACGAAGAAAGAACTGACGTAGTCCTCGATAAAAATGGGAAATCAGAATAATAAATACAGATGCAACAAAAATGTACGGCATTAATCTGAACCTGTTTATTTTTGAAAATAGGCATATTTCGAAAGCAGACTTTGCAATCTGATTTTTACCTCAGCAATTGGTTTTTCGCTCTGCTATGCCTAGCAATTTCCTCTTCTTTGACTACAGTCATTGAATTTAAAAAGTGGATGATGGCTAAGTGCAGTAAATTTACTTAAAAAATGCATGGTAAAATGTTGCCTGTCATTCAATTTTATTATTATTATTGTTTAAAATTGTGAATTTTATTATTATTGCGAAAAATGATTGTGCTGTCTGTCCATATTCTTCAAAAATTCGCCTGTACCTCAGGTTTATAAGTAGTGACCATCATACGTTATTCAACGTGTATGTGATTTCTACAACTGGAGACCGTTAAAATCGTAATATGTTGAATAGTGGACGTCCTTTTAGCCAAATGGCTTTGAAGTCATATATGATGGCAATGTGGGTTGTGTTGGGACGACGTGAATGTTATTTGAAAACAGAGGTTTGGCAGTGAATATGCTAAAATTAGTTAAATGCTTCTATTCAGACTCAAGTAAAATTTCTGCCAAAACCGCTATATTTTACAGTTTTATTATGATAAAGGCGTGACTGATACCCAAACCGACAAGAAAATCTTCACGGCTATGATAGATATACGTTATTAGAAGAAGCGGCGCAGAACTAGTTCTGCCACTTTCGTTCTGGAAGGATCGGTGTAAGAAAGCTCAATGTTTGGGCGACACACGAATCAACACAAAAGAGTTTACTCGGTCATGTCTTTATTAAGAAAGCTCTACCGAAATGCTACAAAATCTAGCTATTTCTAAAGCTAAATGTTGACCACGAGTAACAAAAAACGTTTGAGGATAACGTGCAAAGAAAAAAAAATGTTCCAAAATATGTGGCAAAGCTTCGGCTAATGCTAAAGAAGGTAGTGTTACGTGTTTCGTAGAAGTGCATTGCAAAGAAAAGCATTATGGATTATTGCCGCCTCTTAAAATGATTAACTTACACCTTTACAATTAATAACTAACAAGAATAGATTGTGAGTGAAAAAAATCAACCGAGGCTAGTGAGTAGAAAAATCATTATATTTCAAAAAACATCATATATATTCAAATGCCGGGCCTCATGCATCTTTAACTACCCGCCACAAATTAAGAGAACTTTGGTGGAAAATTTTAAAGTATTGGCCGAATAGCTCGGATCTTGCATTATCAGACCAACGTCTGTTTCGGTCTCTGCAGAACTCCCTGAGTTTTTTAATTTAGTTTCAATGGGAAGTGCAAGCATCACTTCTCGCGATTTTTCGCCAAGGAACCACAAAAGTTCTCTAATGATAGCGTTATGCTGTTACCTGAGAAATAACCTGATCAAAACAGTGCACGTTCAAATTCATCATAATGTTTTAAAATATAAAAGATACTTGCTTTAATCAGAACTTAAAACAATCAATACTTTTTTTACAACCGAATAGGTCAGAACTTCTACAAGCAACTACACAGGGTCCTCGTTCAGTTAGTAGGATATTTGATAAAGATTAGAACGGATAGCCACAGTGTAACTGATTACATCTGAACTGCACCGATGGAGCTACACCCTCTTAATCTTTTATTTGTCCGAAAAAATAGCTGGCATAAATTCCTGTCACGATAGCTTATCTCGTTTGAAATTGAGTATAGCCCAAAAATTCCCATGCGAGCTTAAGCGTAATGTGCTATCAACCACTGGATAAAAACGTAACCTCTTACATTCTGCATGATACGCTATGAGGAACATCAGATAACACTCAAATATGTTATTCCTTGAATAAGAAGAGGATAGCAGGCATATAACAAAGTACTGTGTACATTAAGAAAACAGATTGTCAAAGTAGTGCATTGTTATAACTTCGTATATTTATATAAACAGATTATAACTTCGGTATAAACGATAATGCCGACTTCCAAGCGCACACTTGCATTTTATTGTAAAACCAGATTTCCCATAAATTAGTTTGTCTGCCAGACAGCCGAATTAAGTAAATTAGAGAGCCAGAGAATAAGCTTATCCATAATTAATGGATAGTTTAACTTATTCAGTTTGCACGCGCACATTCGTTTATCGAACTAAATATAAATGTTTCAAGCTTTGGCGTCTGGTGTTGCCATTAGGCCCTGTATGAGATGACTGGTCCGTTGCAGCACTCGATTGCAGATCTTTGCTATGACAGTTAAAAATAATTTTTGTGCTATAAACCGCTTCGACAAGCACACGAGGTAAAGCGTTTGTTTACAGTATGAATAGTCGAAATTTGCATAAGTATATGCAAATGGAATAAAGCGCTTTCAAAATGCATGTTCATCGTTAGTGGTAGACGGTAGGTTTTTGTAGTATGAAGCACGCGAGGCTATCTTTATGATAAAACACACGCTAACAGTTTGAATTGGCAGGATTTATTGAAGAAGTTTGTTTATATCGTAGAATCTTTCTAAACTCATCGATACATTTGTTCTAAAGAAATACTGTTACAATTATTTCGGAAAATAAATACATGATTATAAAATAGACCAGCTTATTTATATATGTTGTGCATATATATGTAATCGCATGCTACTTATGTGACACCAAGTGACTATTTTGTTACATTCTTTCAAAAGTTGTATTTTTCACCATATGCGCATACTGGTAAAGCACGTCACGAACGAACTCTAATTTTCAGAGTTTACACGACATTGCACGTCTGCGGACTTCTTTTTTACTTTTTTTTTTTTTTGATTTTTTGACAGTACACTCATAGTTTTCATTTTAGGAAAGTGACTTCACGTGAACGACACTTTTTCTACGAAGGTCTCTGAGAAGGATAAAAGAAGACCTTTGCCTCAACTTTACTTGAGCAGCGGTCGGTTGCGTTAGGAAAATCTAATTATACTTAAATGCATATAAATTGGGATTGCAAATGCGTAGAGAAGCCTAGATTAATTCTCTTAATATTCTACTTAAATATAGTTGTCCGGCACTTAATTTGAATTTCGCTGATAACTTATTCTTATTTTTTCACAGCCATGCTTTTGCATATGAGTTTCGGCATAGTCTGGCTGCGCCACATGATTCTCTTAATAAAAGTATATATTTTGTACGCTGTATGTATAAATCATTCACAACCCAAGAACTAAATATGGTAAACAACAAGCAGAACTGCATTCTAATGATTCTAGTCTGTCTTTATACCTTACGTGAACTCTTCCCCTCACTTCCGTGATTGGTAGACATATAAAATAGTTATATATATATAATAGGTAAGCACATACAGCATTGTATTTCTTAATTGTTACTTCGAAACGGCTTACGTTAGTCTCATTCATTTTGCTGCCGGTATCGTTGCACAGAATCGTCTACCTCTGTACTCAAACACATCCTATGCCAATTAGGAAAAATGTGCAAGAGTCTATAATTATTCGCAAATTTTTCATACTATATTGTCAACGTAGTTGACCACGGCTTATTTGAGTCAATAGTCCTTCCGCACTACCATAACCCATTGACTCGCATTTGCTGACCGTTTTGTTGTTGATGGTCTCGATGTGATATTTGGTTTCTACCCTCTCTTAGGGTGTCTTTGTCAACGTTATCGATACATATGTTAACTATGAGAATCAGTAGCTTTCTTACCTTCTGCCTCTATTTTTTTTTACAGTAGATAATGCTATGATTTGAAAAGTAAGAATATGCATTGAGCGTTCTTTTCTTAGATTACTATATGGATACCCAGCCCCCTCTGCAAGCAATATAAGCTAATACAAACAGTTATAAGAAAACTGTTATATTACGATTACTTATCCGGAATCACTAATTATTCTTACTCCATTTAGCTTGATTCATCAGGAAGAAGAACTTCACAATGTTAGAGGAGATAAAGGAAGATCCCTAAATTATTTAACTGTATGTGGTGTTAAAAGATTACAGGATGATCAAAGATATTATATTTTCACTTGATATAAGCACGCATTAATTCGACATGGCTTCTCGATATTTCCTGCTTAAGGAAACATATACGCCTAACAATAAGCATTACTAATTTATTTAAATAATAGAGTTTAAATCCTTATTATATTATGGCTAGAAGAGTTTCACATCTGCAAAGCTAATTTCTCAATTATTTTACACTTCCAATGATTGATGGACTAATGGACTTAAGAAGCAGCCCTTCACTAAAATATGGTTACTTATACGGATCAAAATAATTGAATGCTGCTAGGACCTTTGACTAAGCTAAAGGAAAATCCCGAACTGTACCGAGGCACAAAAGCATCAAATGTTTTAAGATAATGTACCGTAATCACGGTACCTTTATAGACAACGTTCATTAACTTCAAATACAAGTAATCTGAGTGGCACCAATTCAATCTATAATGAATTACTGAAACATCTGTTAGATACTCACTGAGGGTAATGGCTGCGAATAATTATCGTTCGTATTCGTATAAAAACAAAATAGTTTTAAACATTCATTCTCACTAAATTCTTAATATCATATCTTAAATATATCTTCTTCTTAAAAACTTCTTAAAATAAGAAGTAGTGGAACACAACTAGTAGAAGAAAATAAGTAGTTCTAGAACGTCAGCTTTCAAAGGAGGCTACATATCAATTGGTATAAAAGCATAGGACAAAAGTGCCAAAGGTGCCTCACGGACAGCCCACCACGCGCTGTTCCCCACTGGGGCCAACTCAAACGTGCAATGTATATTGCAAATAAATATCTGTGCACATGGCACAAGATCACTCGCATGGTGAAATCTACTAGCTAGTCGGCTATCGTTGCTCGTTGGTGGTTCTTGACGCAGTTCTGGGTGCTTTTTGACCCACGCCATAAGAGTTTTAGGTTGCTGCTCTAGAGGTTAAAATCGGTTAAGCGTTAGCTTGGATTTTTATACGAGTCACTGGCGTAACCCACCTGTACCTATTTCTTGATTCGGTAAAAGATTGTATGAAATATGGATGATACAAAAAATGCACACGTCCATTTTTCTAACTGCACTGTGCCACTCCAGAATTGCAGAGGAGATAAAAATCAGGTAGAACAATCAACCGAAACATCATACTACGATACTGTGGCCGTTTCATGATGTCCGTCTTCGATATATTATGTGGATTCCGCTAAAATTCCAATATTTGAAATTGAGCTATACTAAAGGTTTGTATATGTAGAGCAGTTAGTAGAAATGTCCTTGGTAGTCAGCACCTGATGGACGATGCCATACAGTGCCTCCCGGAGAACTCGGAGAAGAGTGTGACGTCATCGGAGAACCAGATGAAGCACTTCGAGGCTCCTGAAACTGAGTCACATACGACGGGCAAGCCACATATTTACTCAAAATGGCACCCATTTAAATCTTCTAATATACATAGATGTAGATTGACAGACATATATGGATGGAAAAAATCTTGAATCGGGGCAATCTTATCCGTTTAAAGAGAGCAGTGGTTGTCTGGCTGTTTTTGTATTGCAGCTATTAATGTGCTAAAGGACAAACGTTTTTCTTGAGTTTACGTTGTAATAGCGTGCATGAGGAACAATATCGACGAAAACGACATGACAAACTACATATGCATCCTAGGATGTACTTGCGACGCCATTTTTCGATATAATAAAAAAAAAAAAAGAAAAGTAGCGTTGTACACTGTATGTTACGAGAAATATACCTCCAACGGGGCTATGGCAGGTCAGACGCTTTTGTCTCGTGCAAATAAACAAACAAACTGAACAACTGAATCATAGCAAAAATAGAATCGAAAAATGCTGAACGCTTTTAATAAAGCAATGCATTAGTGTTCCATAGTGTCTTTGCAAAATCACATCAAACTACGGATGATAGGGGTCTGCGTAAGTTTAGCATGCGTACGCGGCGTACTAATAAGACTCACTGAGTTTTGTGGTGGCCATTTACCTAAGTGAGCTAACCGCAGAAAAGGACGTGCTGTTATTAATGTATTATACACTGTACGCTTAGTGTTCAACGAAACAGCAAGATATATATCGTGTCATCATGATTATGATGCTGATAATGATACAGATAAAAAAGATGAGCGGCAGACGCGATGAAACAACATGCGCTATCTCAATGCTAAGCAACATCGTCAAGTACAGATCGAAATACAATTTCGAAGAAGGCCAAAACGACTTACTGAATTCGACTTTTTGAAGCTGGGTGATTGCATGCACGAAGACTTCCTGCTGATGAAGAGGGTTCTCATGGCTATAATGAAATTAAAATGCCGAAACAGCTCAATAGACTAGAAAATAAAACTAAACACGAGAGAAAACGCTACAAAATAGAAATGGATCTGCATGGCGATTGAGTAGAATCAAAGCGCTAAAAAACTCCCAAAAAACTTTATTTTGCGATTCCATTCATTTCCTGGTAAAACTACGCAATACGCTTTATTTGTTTGACGTTTTTACAAGGATGTGGAATATATCAAACATATTGAATACAGACTGTGGCACCTAGACGCTACGTATAAATTACAACACAGCTTTAATGTAAGCGTTCGAGCAACTAAGAGAGCATTCCGGCAGAGTTTGTCGGAGTTTTTCCACATGCAGAACCTGCTCCAAATTTATATCGGGTCTCTCGTCATGAGACTTCTGTTAGATGACGTTTAATTTGGAGTACGTCCAATATCAGAGCGAATCAATTATTTAGCACTTAAGCCCACTAAAAACATCATGGTCTAGGTTCTGATCTTACCCGCAGCATCTGCATGAGCTCGTCTAAATGGACAATCAGATCTCTCCGCGAACTTTGTAAGCGCCCGAGCTGCTCCTCCAAATCGCCCTTCCGCTTTTTGAGCAGTTCTAGTTCACTTATACCGGCAAGTCCGCTCCCGGTGCCCATTACAACTTCAGGCCCTCCCAATCCTACCGGACCATCATGACCTTCCAAAGTTGCCGGGCTTTCCGCTGCTAATATTGCAACACTGCCCCGCCCTTCCATCGTTCTGGGATCCGATTCCACCTAATCGGAATCCGAACAAAGAATTCCCTTTTAACTGAGCTGGTGTTGCTGAAAGGTAAAAGGCCCAACCAGGACGACTGATCTTGTTCTTTGGCCAGAATTAGCTGGCGGTAGGCATACGAAACAAAACTAAGCATCAATGTAGACAGCCCAAGTGAGGTGTTTAAAAAGTCGTTATATCTGAATCAATGTCTAACAGCGGGACTGGACGTAGAACTCGAAGAAATAATGTTACAGAGAGGAGACACGCTTATTTGGGAGAAGCATTGTAGGATAGTTCGATCCCGTTTGATATTTTCTATTTGATCAGAAAACGCCGTTCGGAGTGTTCGACGTAATGCAGATTCAGAGAGAAAATGTATTACTTTTTGAACAAATATCCGTCCGTTTAAACCAAGAGCAATAGCCTATAAGTTTTCCTGTTTTGGCATTGTTTCAAATATCTTTTAATCGATTTCTCCTAATAAAGCTATGATGGCGGTTAAGCTCGTAGCTTGACTTGAAGCTAATTGCCATTGCTAATTGATTGCACATACGTTTTTTAAAATATGAGCCAAAAACAAGCATAAGATAACTTGTTTATTCGGAAGACGGTACATATCGGTTCACGTTAGAAAATATGTCTTAATATCAGCTAATTTGGACCCCCAGACGGCTCCGAGGTTAACGTAGTTGCCTAAGCTTACTTGCCTCTTTACAGCATGGGAACAAGTTCTAAAATGTGGGTTATATGGTATCGATATAGCCCTCGAGGGCATTAGCGATTTTTTTCCCTGAGAATTTTTTAGGGTTATATGGTACCTATAAGATAAACGTGTAAAACTGTAGTTTGCGAGACCGCTTTATTTGAAACGTAACTTTTACACTGTTAGTAAACAAAAATTTCATCTTTAATTCCTAAACCGTCCTTAATTCCTAAACGGTTTTCACTGATCAGAATCTATTGGTAATATTTGCATGCCTTACAACGGTAGCAGTGCGTGTTTCGCATAATATAGTTCCCTTTCATATACCTGTAGATGCTTCATACATTTATCGAGGCTAGATTAATCTCTCGAAGAATCTGAAATGGGTGGTTTTATACGAACGCATTAAAGCCTACATAACTATTACGCGGCTGAATGCCCAAACGTCATAGAACCTCACGTGCCTCTTATACACGCGTATATTATTTCTGTGATTAGATTTTTACAAAAAAGGCCGTCTATGAAAACAATATATGCCGTGAAACGATGAAATCAAAATACAACCCCAAAATATTGCGTCGTTAACTGAAAGTCCCGCCAGCAATACGTACTACATAAGTTATGTGTGCGAGGAGAATAATTGATTGTACAATTTTGTAAGGAAGCCATGGTAAATTTCATCGATTAGTGAAGTCGTTCAAACAAGTCTTCGGGTGGAACTCACACAGAACGTTAGTCAAGAACAACTGCACGAGAAAGTTACAACAAGACCAGTTAGAGTATATATATGCAATAATTCAACTTTAACTTACTTCACTGGATCGTCAGTACAGCAAGTAGATGAGTTACCGCATTTGTGCCTAGTGTATTTCACAATGTACGATTAATTCGTATTGATTTTATGAGTTACTAAGCATGCACTAACAGCATCAACATTACCCTAGTAAATTTGCTTTAATTACCTTAAATGTCTCGTAAGTTTAACCGATACAACAGTATAATTTAATACCAAATGAAATTAAACGAAACCATAAAAAAGTTCCTCCTAAGTCCCAACAAAAGCAATAACTACCTCACGTCGAAGTCGAAGTATTTCCTTCATCATTTCTCTATTGCGTGCTTCGAGGCGTGCAACGAGCAGTTGTTTCTCTTCTAGACTTTCATCGCGCGTCCACTCCGAAGCAGAGCTATCCAGGTACCCTTGATCACGTTCGGGAGGTAACTGCTAGAACGAAAAGCAATGTACAGCACATAGAAATGGTTTGTCTTCGTTCTTATTGTTTGTAATATTTAAATTTATAAACATTTACATTGGGTTCTCATGCCTTAGTGATGGTCTCACATTATAAAACGTACCGCAACACTAACCGTATTTTGTGGTCTGTTCATGTTACTGCTGTAGAGATTTCCAGCTGAGGTACAGAGGCCAGTGGATGCCGGAGAAGCCTCATTTAGCCTCCGAGAAAAACGTGCGATTAACGAATGTTCTTCGTCAGGAGAAAATTCGTCTGATATAAAAGAGGCAAGGGGCTCGGCCATTGAATCTAGGCTGGAGTAAAGTTCACGCGGAGGACTGCCGTTAACACGTGTCGGTCTGTGGAAAAGATTATCATGCATCAAAAAAAATCTTATCAGGAATTCGTAACTGCAGTGTTTTTCATTGCAAAAGACATAAAATATATAGGTGCATTTTTTGTTTGGATGACAACGTTGCTTTGACGTACATAAAGTATGTGCATTGCTGACTGAATAAACGTTCTCAAAAGGGCGAACATTAAGTATGCCCCGCTTTCATACAATTTTTCTGTTGGCGCAATGGTTGGCATATTAAAATTAGCTACAGTAAATTGAAGACCGTTGGTTCGAGTAACAACACTACGCAATTGGGTTGTGTGAACAGAAAAAGTTATTACTAATAATTCTGGTGATTTACGTGTAACGAAGGCTATGAGATGTTTTATGTAGCGTGCCATTAATGATTACTATGGACAAATTGGAAAAACAGAGAGAAAAAGCATTAAACAAAAGCAAAAAAATGTGTTCCGTAAATTATGATTCAATAATACCTGCAAATAGTCTTGCTACAACGAAGAATATATGTAAAGATAATCACCCTAAAGGTGACTGATCGTTCTAGCTTACTATCCACATTTATCTTCTCGTTTTTTATTGTTTCGTAAGCTGGGATTTCAACGCACCCGTGTCCAAAGGTTTGCGAATGTCCAGCCGTATGGCCAGGTGTGACGGCATAACGGACGGTGCTTCTGGTAAGAGTTGGGGTGGTGTGAGGGGGTGGCACAATATGCTGCAGATTGAGCGGCGTTGTTGGTCGATCTACCACACGAGGAACTGTCGAGTCCCCCTTTCTCTCGGGGACGCAGCGAAACGATTTGCGAAGTGAGTGACCCAATTGTTTGGAAGGTGGCTTCTGCAATGATATTTAACAACTTTATTTAAATATTTGAAACTGATTTTTACTATTTTGTCATGGAATATCCTTAGCAAAAAGGTATTTTCACCATCTGACATGCCGAAATGGTCACACTCTACTGCCATACGCAGACATATTCACCTAGGTAAATAGCAGGAAATCCGTAGTTTCTAGGTATATCACATAAAGATCAACTAGAGACAAATTATGACATTGACGTTATAGATTCTCATATCAAAAAGGGCTAGAAAAAGTAACCTCATTGCTTTAGCAATTCTAGTCAAGATTAAGTGTTTCCTTACGTATGTCGTATACTCTTTGCATTGATGTTGAAGCGAATGCTGGTTTGACGTGCGGCCTTTCCAAAAACAATCCTGACACAGATGGTAGTTGTAACACCGTTGGCATTTGTAACGGAACCCGTAGAAATGTGGGGAACGACATGCGTCGCAGGAAACTGGGTGAAGAATATCTTCAACAGCGGCCATTTTTCCAACTAGCGGGAACCACAAAACGCATTGTGGTCCAGGCTCAGTCAACATCACCTGTAGGAAATTGTTGATCGTATACTTATGTTCGGGTGGGAAAAGTTCCGTTGACAGGTTATCACTATAAGAAAACGATGGACTTTCCAGCAGCGACTCTGGTATACAGAGCGCCGCTCGAAGGAAGAGCGTCAGGCGTGTAGGCAATAACCAGCCGCTCGAGTCCGCGATCAATGAAAATATGTCTGAAACGTGTACGTCACGTAAAACGCGCAACTGTTAGCACAAATACGTGTGCAGCCATATGTGATTTTACGCTTGATCCTATTGAGCACACAGTACACATCAATTCTTTATTCAGTACAAACAAAGTCTTTCATCTTTACAAAATGTTTAAAACATCGAAACCCTCAAGAGGATGTAGCACCATTTTCAATTGTTTCAATACACTAAGTGACTGTAGCTTTTCACAGTTCCCGTTGTTGGAGCTCGGAGCTGATCCATTTTTGCATAATGCATTTGAATATTAACAACCATACATAAGTGAAATACACAGCGAAATAGTGTTGAATTGCTTCTAAAGAATACCTTGATTGCACTCCCGGTAATTCTTTTTGAATACACAGTTCCCAAGAAATTAATTTCATTATTACTGATATCTAATCATCCGGTTAACCGCTCTGTTTTTCCATATATGCACATGCCCGTTTAATCGTGTAGTTAATATCTGATGCATAACAAATTAGTAAAATCAATTACGTACATCGATAGATATCAACTGTTTTTCCGCAAGAGAGCATAGCTAGAAACACTTTGATGCTAAGAGCAGGAATGGCTCCTGTTCGCGAAAGAGGGTCGGACGGCGCTAGCGCACTCGGAAAGGTCGCTCGAAGCCATCCTAGCAATGCTGATGAGACTACAGACGGATCGACTTTTTCGGTTGCCGGAACGCGTTTGTTCAGCTGGCATCAACATAAATAGCATAAATTATTAGGTCTTGTATGGATACGTTTGTGTGAAATTCTATTGACCTCCAAAACAGTTTCTTATATAAATACAACAAAGCAAAGATTAAATATAACTTCGGTATACAAAGAGACACTGAGTAAAGATAATTGCTATACCTGTTCATATAACGTTGTGAGTAACGCTGCCACTCTTGGCAGATCAACGGGAGCTTCAGGCGCAACCTGATTCAGAGATTGCTCCCGAACCGCCTCAATGACGTTCCAAATATCGATCTGGTTAACTGCGATTGCGAATATCGACGACCGATGAACAACATTCCGCAGCAAATGCAAAATAATTAAAAATTAATAAACAAATATAAAATTAATGATCATTGATTACAATTATTGATTGATGTGACCTTTAATTTGCGAATTCAAAAGTTGCAACATGGATGCATACAAAATTACTACTTATTGTTTATCATCATAATCAGATATTCCGCAATGACTCATTCTATAACTAAACTATATCCAAAATAATTTTATTATTATGATTAATTATGCATATATATGTTTGTGCACCAAGCTTTACTATGAGTGTGTACGATAGGTATACTGCAGTCGTAAATAGGCGGTCATATAAATATTATAAAGTATGGCACTTTCTTAAGTAAAGAGCTTTAAAAGTTGCTCATATTGGTCTCTGTTTCGCAAGAAGTGCAGGGTACGCGGCCACAAATAAAACTGGCCTATATAAGGCTATAATTATAATATATATCATGCTATACTCACAATAGAATCGTCGTTGCAAATAACGGATTTTGCACGCCATACGATACGACGCGAATCGTATACTGTCGAAATCTTGAGTACCTGTAACATACAGAATGAGAGAACATTTGCGCCATGTATATATAAATTTTAAGAAAATGGTTTCCAATGAGATTTAGAGTAATCATTAAGGTTTTACTTGACAGGTTCATTGTAATCAGTTACTTGCAAAACATTCAACTGGTAGCAGTATAGGTATACTTCTGGATGGCCAATTTTAATCTGATTCAACATTAATCCTGGACCGACTTTGTGATCTTTTATCAGCCAGACCAAAGTAATAGTCACGAAAGATGATAGATTAGCTATTGTAGCGTAATCCGGTACCAACCGCACATGAGCCTTGCCCATGCTTAACCTTAAGTTTTTCTACATTCAGACGTCAAATTACACTTACGATGGAAGGGCAGAGGTCAACATTCATCCATGGTGTGACGTAAGTTCTTAAGCCGTATTACTCTCTCAGTCCAGTAGCTCATTATTGTCAGTTACATATAACCTTATTTCGCTCCATAATTTCGTTCGCTGTTTTCGTCTTTTTCACTTCTTATGTTTTAATTTCGCAAAGTTACTTCCAACTATCCAAAGTGACTTTACTATACACATACATAGGTAGTATAAATTCTATGGATCCAACTGCTTAACAGATTAGTGTCGGTAATCGGGCAATTGAATTTCTCACTTCGTTTGTTTAGGTATCAGCTATATCATGTTATGCTTGCTTTTAGCCTTTGAAGCATATATGGGTCAAGTCACATCATCGAAGCAGTTAACTGTCAGACTGCAAGAATTTGTTGAAACTCAGAAAGGATACTGTTTTCTTCTTCGGCTATATATCACGTTTTTCTGCTGAGTATAACTACGAGTAACTAATTAACTCCTGATAATACGATATAGGAGTTGCTTTTTCGCTCAATATGAAATGTCACGCATGACGGAACGATGTAGACCTGCTTCCAAAACCCCAGACATACAATTTTGATCATCTTTTGATTCTTGGTGTGGCGTTAACAGCAGGAAGCACAGCTGTAATTTTTGACCTGAGAACGTATAACATTTGGAAATGTCCCTGAAATAGCTATAAAAGAAGTGCAATATAATGTGGACGGAAACAAATTGGTAATATAAGTGAATCGCGAAATTTCGGCAAAACACGGAATAGATGGGTCACAGAATTAAGATCTTATTATATCCATATTACCGAATTGTCATATGGTTATTCCAAGAGATCCGTTTAATTAAACGTGAATGCCCTAGGTAGAAAGTATCTATTAAACTTTGGGACGGCATAGGAAATTTAAAGCCTCACTCAGGGAATGATGATTCAGGAAACAGCTTATAATGAATGAAAATTATTTTTCATTTATTATAAAGTCTAGGCGATCAATGTCTATTGAAGGTGAAAGCCAAGTTCCTGGCACTGTTGGCTACGTTAATGTTTTATTTTTTTGAATACCTTATTCGAAAAAATAAAACAACGGTAAAACCATAAGACACAATTATAGATACGTATATGTCTTTAAAAAAAGAACACTTGAGGAATAACTCGGAGTAGCAGGATATGGTGGATGGATCCTGAGCACATGTCTTTTTATAAGCAGCTAGAACGTCGGAGTACGAGAAATCAACGACAGCTGGCCGATGAGTGACCACTGCTACATGTCAATTGTAATTTGTAAAGCGTTTTAAAAAAGGGAGAAACTAGGTTTTTAAGCTAAAAGTCATCTCTGACTTTCATTGCAAATAGTACCTTTCACCTTGTGAGGTTGCATGAGCTGACTCAGATCAGTTCAATTTGACTGAAATTGACTTTAGTTAAAAGTAAAGGCAGCAGATAGTGCAGTGGTAACCCTATTATTTATTAGCGTGCTAGTAGAGGTTCGACACTGCAATTTGTCTAAGATTATTAAAATCTTCAAATAGTTGTTCGTAGTGAAATATTTGAGGACGCGCTAGGCAGACTCCAAAAAAGCTATTCGGTTTTCATCACATACATTACGATCATATTAATAATGTACGTTAAAATAGATGTCAATATGGGTCATTCTCTAGCTAAATATCTGATTAGGATATTCATTATGAGCTTTTCTTGACTCTATATAGCACGTAATTTACTATGCTCAGCATACTTTTTTCATCATCTTACGCGCCTTGTTTTATAAAGTGCACACACAGCAATGTTAGAAAGAGGGATTAGAGGTGATGTCTCAACACGAAAGAGCGTTCTTTAAAAATAAAGAATAAAAACAGACACCCAGCCCGCAATACGTTTAAATAAGTCGATATATTACAAATAGGTTATATATGAATCTACATGTTTCCGTGGCAATATTAAATCTAGCAAAACCACTATTGTATTCTTGGATAACTTATCATTCTCGAAATAAACCATTAGAAGCTAGGAAGAGGCCACCAAAAAACTACAGCTCTATTTGTAGTAAGTGGATGTAGCACCAATACTGCTCACAAGTTAGTACATCTTGATGTTTTAACTAATCAGCAATGCCCTGTGTGCTGCCCTGTGTAATCTGCTATATAGAAAAACAGATCACTTCAGCTAGCTAATTTTACTAAGCCATCAGTTATTGTATTAGATCTTGCTACAATATTCATTTCAGACTATTAGTGTACCTAATGACCTTAAGATGATTATTTCAGTCATTTCGCCATTACAAATGCTGAATAGTTTACGCCAAGTGACGACACTTCCAATAGTTCCCGTATTGTTAGGACAAATTTACTTTCTTTGGCCCGAAGCCCGTTTTGCCATTTTCCGCCTTCGGCTTACGCTCTTGACCCGTTTTTTACTCTGAAAAAGTGACGCGGGCTACTACTGCGCGAAACTACTGTTTAGATCGTCTGCTACCTGATAGCAGTGAATTTACTCAAGCACGTTTCATATTACAGGCCTGTATAAAATCCAACTTCCAAGCAACATGCAGTTCCAGAGCAGCTTTTTTTTTAAAATTTTGAATCGAGTTTTAGTACTAAATAAATACTTTGCTTTAAAAGGCACTAACAGTTACGATAGTTTCCCCAGAGGAGCAGAGAGGAAATTCTTAAAATCATAAGAAGCTTTTTGACGGGGGAAACCGCCAATAATGTTGCAATAGTGTCACGTAGTCGATCTGTCAATAAAACCTTCTTTGCGTCATTTAATACTGAGCACAAGCTTGAAGGCATCCGCATATTTTATGTCAAATTATTCACAAGTGTCGCATATAAATAATAGCTTTGTAGTAGTACCCTAGCATTTTTACTTAGGATTTTAATTGTCTTCCATCTTAGAGCAATATTTTTAAATGAATGCGTTAACAAATAGCATATATTATATCTAGTTCATAATGCTTGCTATTCAGAGTCACAATGCCTATTTATGCCAACAGCTCATCAGAAAAGGCAAAACGAAGATGGAATAGATATTATACATAAAATTTATTAATTTTTGTTGTTGTATGGTGTTTGCTTCCTACCTCTTCAGTGTTTTAATTAAAGAAGAGGGAACTTGCTGATGTACAGGTGCTTCTTTTTATGTTGAACACATTATGTTACTTTTAACTGGCACCAATGACCCGTTACAAAACCCTCTGATGTTGATCTTCCAGTAAGGCCTTGAGTAACGGTCAACAATGCTTCTACCATAAATGTTATCGTTGACTACTGATACTATGACGAAAAGCACGTTCAGAATGAATACATTTTGGGCATTAACCATTTAACATAAAGGACAAATCCATCACGCTCATACGCGGATGTGCCCATGATTGCCGTCTGCATTCGTCTCAGAAGCCGGTGCTTCATATCTGTTCCGATGGCCAAATGAAGCCTAACAAACTCCAAATTAACAAAATAAATTAAAACGCCTTTTCTAGCTTCAGTAACACGACATGATATAGAATAAGTACTTTTATGTACACATGGTAATAAAACAAAACTGTCGTTAAGAACAAACTTTCAGCTTAAATAATTATTTTTCCCACAGGGGAACGTGTCTAGAATCCGGACAAGGTACTGATAGTCATATCAATGAAAAATCAAGTTCCTTTATGAAGGCTCTTCCATGTAAGAACTGTGAACACAAGGTATGAAGCACAATAGTAATAGTAACATTAAAATCACGGTATTATGTAAATATGAGAGCAGTGATGAGACTAGCATGTCATATATAAATTAATGATCAATTAATTCATTTCGTTTTCTATCATATTATTATCATATAATAGCCATCGCTACACGCGGATGCGGACGGAGAAGGGAACCACGAAGGCGGAGATGACCGAAGCAACTGCGGCCGGACTAGCAACTATTGAATAGAGCGCAATCCGAAGACAATTTCGTATACGCATGCGATCTATAACGTAAAAATGTTTTCTTCTTGAAGGGATGTATTAAAACTATCGAACGAAATGTTTGAAGTAATCAAAAAACGAAATTATGCACCCAATCCTTGTGTGTGCATAATAATTTGTATCTAAAAGATGACGAAGTAAAAACCTATTCACGGAGCGAAGAAGTCCTTAAGAAGGCTGCTCCTGCGCTTTTCTGCGATGGCCATCTGATTGCCGAGATCCCCCCGCTGCGTGGTTTCTGCTCGTTCCAGCTTCCAGCTGAGATCCTCGATTTCAGCTTCGAGCGTTGCCTGCTGATATTCAAACAATTCTTTTCGAGGGCCTGCTTCGAGATAATATGCATATGGATAAGTGTACTGCAATGTGTACCGACATTTTGCCAGCAGAGTGGCCGCGTCGAGCAGATATTGCCAGTCAATCCACGTTCCTTGTTTAGCCATTACCTTCTGGTTGATTCTGTCTTGAATTTTCCTACGAGTCACTTCTTCAAGCCGAAGCGATCGGGCGTGGTTTTCCCATCGCTCAAAATAGAACAGGTACTTCTTAAGCGCTTCGCGTGCCTGAGCATGAGCTGACTCGTTGCCAATATTCGGATTCTCTTTGTAGCGGCTACACTCGTAATACTGGCTGCCGTGCATTTTCCAGTCTCCTAAGCACATCCAGCAAAATTCATGCCTGCACCCATAACACTGCATGTGGTTACAGCCGCCATTTTTCTCAATACAGACGTGACATTTCGGGCAGTCCTTTGTATTTGCTGAAATATAATTGGCTGTTTCTGAGTCATCAACGCATTTCGTGATCCATTTCTTGATCGTGTCACAGTCGGCCGGCGCATGATAGTCGTAACCACAGAGCCAGCAGAACTGCGTACCACAATACGTGCATTTGACACGTTTAGCTTGAACCTTTTCTGCACGTACAACAGCCTGGCAGTTCTTGCCAGGACAGAAGCGTAGATGTGGATGACTCCGAATCCAGTCATTCAGGCAAAATTGAAGGTAACGAGTCCTTAACGCGTCGTCTTTTTGAGATGATATTAGTTGTAAAACGAACGCCTGTGCAACGAGTATATCGCAACCTTGCCCCATGCAGGCAATGTCCGTTGATCGTCCCTGGCCAATCTGCACCTCAAGGTAAGTGGCCCAGCAATCGGTGCAAAACTGATGTCCACAATCTAAAGAGCGGAACTCTGACGGACGCAAACTCTGTAAACACGTTTGGCAGCAATGCGCGTTATTGTTATCAGGTGGCACCGTAACGGCGCGTATCCGGGCCTGTTCCAACGTAAGTGCTGCGTTGTGCCTATAACGATCAATGACATCTTGAGGATCCCATGCGAAATGATGTAATAGCATGCGTGCAATTCCCGTCTCCGGTATAATTAGAGAATCCTGAAGTTCCTGCACTGCAGCGGCTAGCATCTTGTCAGCTTCGTCTAACGTGATACACTCAAAGGCGAACGCCTCAAAATCCTTTTCGGCAGGATCTGGCTCCATATCGCCGGAAGCCGAATAGTAGTCACGGTCATCAACCTCGTAAAGGTCGTCATCATCGGAGGAATCGCCTTCGGCGTTCGACATGTCGATCTCGGACCGGCGCATCAACACGGGGCGAAAATAAGGCCGGTGTAGGGGGAGCCGCGAGACGATCGGTCGCCCCTTGGGAAACCTCTGCCCCGCTGCCGCTCTGCAAGACCGATGCACTCTGCGTGTCCCCTGGACTGCGTCACTCTGCAACAGCAAGACACCAACCAACAAAAGCGTGACACAACACTTCGTTTGTAGCGTTACAGAATGCTTTCTATTCATTCATCATCCATAGTCATGTCGAACCCTTCTCTATTAAAACAATTTGGATCAACTCTGATGATTCTAAATGGCGAAGACCCAATTATTATCAATTCCAGTGCCTATTTAGATTTCTTTAATTGTTTTCTTCAAAGAATTAGACGCAATCACAGAAGAAGTCGCGAGTCCAAGTCAGAGGCCATCATGCCCAGTAAGCCCTTTAATATGCGGCCGTAAGATACAGCAACGGACTAACAGTTATACGGCAAAGCACGTCTCGTCACACATCAACATGCGTAAATAGATTACCATAAGAAGGTTCCTAAAATATATCAATATATTCAGATGTTTCCCGTAAGCGTTACATGCGGCTAACCTTACGGAAATCAGTCGTTTCCCTGCACCGCGTTTATGTGAGACATGCGGTGAGCTACACACCATATCATATATTTATTATACTAAATAAAATTTTAAAATGCTATAAAATGGCTAAATATATTTAGCTTAAAGCCGGTTTTTTAATTCGGTTTGAGAGATGTTTAAGGAACTGGATAGAAAATAGTCTGCTAAAGGCTAGTTAGTGTCTCGCGGGAAATGGCCAATAGCCTCCGTGGCCAAGTCAAAAGGTAAACCGTATTTAGCGAATGACTCCTTCATGGTATTCAACGATTACTCCTGTTCATCGTATCGTCAAGTCGAGCCCCCCTACCACTGCTAGCAGCAAATGTAGCCATTCTACGAAATTTCCGGGTGCATATGTCCTACTGAAGGGCTTCCTATATTACTTTATAATAAGGAATGTATTGTACACAGGAACGTACCTCTGTACTAAAGCGAATTGAAAGATTCGAATCATTCAGTAGCTAATCTAGGTACAGAAATTCATCAAAGTCATTGTTTATTTCGCACTTTTTCCATCTGCCTGGACTGGACACATTGAAAATGTAAATTCTAAGGGTATATATTTTTAATATATATATCATAGCTCCTAATTGAAAATGGCTAAACATGCAATATTAATTTCAAGCATTACGTAGGACCCAATAAATACACGCAGTAACCTAAATTAATTTTACAGTGTTGGTAAATATTGTTGCATTTAAACATAATATACTACACTAACCTAAGGCGTTTTCAACGAATTGCACCACACCATGAAAAGCAAGTTCAGGTTTACAAACAAGGCTTTTATAAAAATAAATAATGACAAGTACTTACATGTTCGTATCGAAATTTTTCAGCTTATGAAAATGTATGTAAGTGTGTTTTCTGCCTGGCTACCTCTAGAAGTAAATCGAAAGCGTAGAATCGATTGCGAATTTCCGCGTTATTTTATAATGAATGCTGCCTCCAACACTTACGTGTGATTCGAGGCATTGCAACTTGTTTTAAAGCACTGTATGTAATTTTAGATCCAAAGTTTTATCAAATAGGGACAAGTGTATTATGCAAAAATGCTGTAATATCTCTTATTCACAACCATACAAGAAAAACAACGAAACGTCGGAAGTTGTTTTCAAAACTAGAGGCAGGCTGTCTTACAACGTTTTAGCACGCTATTAGAACACCTTTAAGCGCTGCTTTGAACATATTAATGTGTATGTATAATCGTTTTCCGACATTAAAGTTTACTTTTATGCGCCTATCTTATCATATGTCCTTTCAAAGCCATCGATCTTTGCATGGCTACTCCGTCTCACAGAATTCATTAGTTAAAGTCGGATACTGATATTTTACCTCTTGTTTCCACTTGTACGCAAGATTTTAGTGCAGCCTTACCAAGTGCTGCAAAAAAATTAAATTGTTAATAAACAACGCGAAGATACTCATTTTTGTTGAATCCTAGAACTACTTTGCAGGTGAAAAATAATGTCTTCTCAACCGCCACTAATTTTTTTTACACAGTTTTAAAATATTACTATAACATCCTTGCGAAAAGACATGTAAGTCTTAAAATGTAAATTTTCTAGAAAACTTTTGATATAATTTCTTTTGTGTGGGACCTTTTTAAGAGCCTTGAATGTGGAGAACAGCAGAAAGCAATTTTTAGTAACGTAAGAAACAGAAGTGCAATACAAGAGTGCTCCATTCACCCCCACTGAGTATCACCGTACGAAAAATTGGCATTCCAAGTCATTTCATTATCATTTCTAGCTAAGAAAACTGGTGGTTGAGAAATAGATGCTCTATTCAACCAGCCATTGCGAAAACAAAGTATAATGCCGAGATCGTCCATATTCTGAAGACCAGTATAAAATATAGGTTTTCAGGAATGACACGAATTCATGCCATCATTAACTTCCTTTCTATACAACGAATAATTTTTTCTAACTATATTCTCATCTAATTTAATATTCAAAAAGCAAATATATTTTAATACAACGCTGATTTGCTATCCGTTGCTTAGTTTTTGCTTTAATCCGCTATAGGAAAAGAACTATTTAAACACATCTGTAGAATATCCAAGACTATCATTTTTAGAAATAAGATACAAAATATTTTCAGATAACTTTTACCCTCTTTCCACAGAAAAGATGGTAAGAGCTATAAGTAACTGAAGGTTAACTGTATTTTTTGTAATGTGATGGGGTCAATATTACGTTCTGTCAGTAATAGATAATTGCAGCATCAGCACAAATTTCAAAGCAGAATAAAAACGAATTTACTCATAATAACTACTTAAGGTCATTTCTGTCCTATTAGTAGATTTATACTTTTCAATAGCCTTACACATCAAATGCTAATAAACGCTAAAAGTTTTTCAGATCAGCACGCAAGCCTAGCCTATGTTCTAGCATCTAGGTTTTTCTGCATCAGTACTATTTCAGTACACTAAATGCCTGCACTGCATGCTAAATCGACTAGGAAGCTTTAGATTTCAAAGCGATGTTTTAAAGTAGAAAAGGAAAATGAAGGCGATGGCATAGAACATCTGAAAAGGCAATCTCACATAGATGCCCCCCAAATGCGGGCAAGTGTAAGGTTTTTTAAAGAAACTAATAAAACAACTATGTTTATTGCAACAAAATAATGCAATGTATTTATTCATCTGTAGCGGAATCACTTTCATCGCGGACAGTTTTTTATATGCTCAAAAACTTGCCATGTCACTGAATTTGTTTATGTCTGTTCTCGGATACGTTAACGCCGGTTACATCCTTTATAAACCAAGATTAATCTCGATCTAAGTTAATTAAATAATATTGCCCGTAGCGACTTTTAAATTATGCATACGAAAAAGCTCATGTAAATGTATTTCACACAAAAGCACCAGAGTGAGCCTGAAATGGGCTAAAGCCTAAAGAGAAACTACAGGCAAAAACATATGAGTAAAATATAAAAGTCAAACAGATTGTAATCAAGATTAATCGTGTAATCAAACTAAACGGGCGATTGATGGCTCCCCAAAAAGGCTAAACTGAGAGAGGAGAATAGGGAACATTCTGTTGTACTCACGAAGCTCATCCAGTAGTTGAATGTAGTCGACCATCTCACAGAGTCGAAGTTGATCCGTGAAACCTGCAAAAAGCGAGGACGGTCAGCGTCACCTAGTGTACTCTTCCATTCCCCACACTTTGAAAGCTGATACTCCACTAATAATATTCACTATAGAGAGCATGATACTGCTCAGTGAACAATAAGACGAATAGGGTATAGCACAGGGCCATCATCCTTTCATTTATAAGTCCATAGAAACTGTTTATGTCGATGTGCATCCGTCTTATACTATATGAATCGAGTACATAGCGTCAAACACACAAACGATTTCTACTTCTCCATCAGCCGCGTTCGGTCGCGTCCACTCGCAGCAGAAGAAAATATTTCTAATTTCTAGAATTCGAACCACTGCTGGTGGTAGCGCTTCCTCTTCCGTCTTAGTACTATATTTTCCTTGATTAATACATTACATAATATAATTGATAATGATAATAATAATAATGACGATAGTAGTGTCTAGTAACTAATCCATTACTCACGATAAATTGAAATGAATGACTGGGCTAGCAGCTGACAAGCACAGACAACATTAGGAGGACTGCGGCCCGGCGATTTGAGTAGAGAAAAAGCTGCCTTTCAAAAATTACTTTCAACTCGATTTGCTTCTCTATCAATAAAATTTCGGTAGCGCTATGACGAGCTTATTCAATTCTAGAGCACAACTCCACATACATACACATGCACGGACACAGTCATACCGACGCTCACAGCGCCTCGTACGGATGCTGCTGCGATTGCTGCTGCTGAGTCTCCGCACTCTGCTACCCGTTACTACGACAGAGAGCCAGCACAACCTCTCCCTCTCAGTCCCGTTTGTGTTGTTAGCTGCTGTCTTGTCATTTCAGAAACAGCACCAGCATCAGCATCCTACCTGCTGGAAGGCAGTGACTCCTGCTATCAACGATACACTAACGCAGTTTTACACAAAGTTAAACATATTATATTGTTGATCTGGTGATTATACCGACTAGACCACGGACATGTGTCAATTGCAACGTAATTAGAAATTAGGAGCACTCATGATTTACTCCCAGTGGTATCGCCTATAAACAATAGATACGCTGCCTACGTAGGTAATGATTAGGATTTGCGACAAGAGCCGGTCCACTGCTCAATGCGTGTATCTGTTGCTGCTATTGTTGTTATGGTCAAGGTAGCAGACGAACTGAGCAGATGATCGCTCCATCTGGGCCGGTTTGCAGACGTCGGACCATACCATAGAGCAACAGCCAGCGTGAACGTAGAGATACATTTTCGCCGCAGTCAAAATAGTGCGCTGTTCTAGAAAGCCGCTGTAGCTGCTGCTAAAGCTGCAGCCGTTCTCTTGTTTTACTATGGCCGCCGCTGACTTCTCCTTCACTTTCTTGTTGTCCGTCACCAGTTCTGTCTTTGCTCTTCACCGTCAACATAATTCGAATTAGAGTTAAAGCCGTTGCCTCAGCAGCTGTAGCTGCTTCTGCTGCTAAGAAAAAAGGAGAGGAGGGCGTCGATAACGACGACAGGACGGACAACAACAATAGCAGCAGCGATGAATTGCGGCGATCGCTAGTGAGCGATATAGAAAAGTGTCCTGGCTGTTGCTGCCGCCGCTCGTGGTGGTGGTGTGTCCCTGGCGCTTTGTTGCTGCCGCCCGGCGCGAAGCCACATCGTTATTCTTTGTTAGGCATCTATTTGTTGTTGGCCAAAGTGGTGAGCAATCCCTTACCAATGTGCGCGCAGCAGGTAAAGCGGCGAATTAACCGTGTGCCAGAGTAACAGAACGTGCTTGACCAATTTCTGCTTATTTGCTATCGTTCTTCCTTATTGCAATTGCCGTCCCTTAGTAACTGCTGTAACCGTGTTCTTTTTTGTCGTCTACACTAGTTAGTGGCAGCGGTGGGAGTCGTCAATTCATCAACAAATTAGTCAACTGGTTTAAAACAATTCGTTTCTTTTCTGTCACTGCGTGCGTGCGTGTATGTGTATTAAGCAGGGCAAGGTGAAAGTAACACTAGAAAAAAGCCACCGTTTGCAGTTTTTGGCCACCGCTCGTCCGCAAGTTCGATAAAGCAGCGCTTGCCCCTAAAGTGTTTCAAATTAAGGAAAAGTGGGCATTAGGAAAAGAATTGTGTTCGTGGCGATATTGAGATGTCGGCTGGAGAGAACACCGAGCCGCAAAAAGGCCTTCAGAACGGTGACGAAAATGCCACCGCCTCTTCTGGAACTGGCGATTCGGCGGAACAAAAGCTAAAAATTCAAGACCAAGATCACCAAACGCCGTAAGTACAAGAAAAACTTGCCTTCCTCTTTTCATGGACCTTTATGAGCTCTTTAGGTTAGATCCTGCTTTGAAAAGTCATTGTACACAAAGCAATCGCGCGTATATTTATGCACGCTTAAACAGGAAAAATATATCTTTCAACGATCTGCCCACGCTTTAGCTTAGGTCTGCCTTAGCAATACGAACAGCATAGAATCTGGCGAATATTGGTGCAACAGTACCACGATTGAAGCATGAGAGAATTTTCTTACGTACTATGAAGATAGATGATAAAAGCACAAACAGTATACCGTTGCAAGCAAGTTGAATTAGGTCAGGTTCGTGTTATGCTCTGTGCATCTTTCTGTGCATATTGAACGACATGTTAAAAAAAACCATCACAGCTTGTGTTTTTTTGGTAAGCTAAAAGAAGTCGCTCTGCTGAAGTGGTTACTTTGGATGCGTTTTTCTCGTAGTTTAATACACTTCGAGTATCGATTCTACTTTTTGACCGCTATTTCCTTTCCTTTATTCAAAAAGAACATTTTTTAGAGAACAATGTATCAAAAGTACTTAATCGTTTCAAGATCGTTGGTGGACGAAAGCGAATCGCAAAGGATCGCGGTCAATTTAGCTGGTACGTACAACCCGACAAGAAGGGTAAGAGGATAAAACCGTTTAATTTACGATCATGAGCAACTAATCCACTTCAGGCTAGTTACATTTCTACTTCAACTGTGCAGAACTAGGCTTACTTCACATGGCCGGTCAAAATTAAGCCAATGCGTTAAACAAAGTTCCTTCAGGTGATCCTCCTTCTTGCTGATTCTTTGTTGTAATACTTTTGCTGCAACCAAAATGATATACGGCGTTTTTTATTCTCTTGTATTGCAATATTCTTTTATCGCCAGCTAATGTTGATTCCCTGCTTCTCATTTTTATGGTAGCATCTTAAATTCAATGTGAGTTCTAGTATATAATAGACTGTTTCTAACTGATCTGTTCCACTAAATATGTACGGAAATTTGTACGGATAGTACCATGGCACTCTGGAACTACCCTGACATAGTAATTGTTGCGTTCAATTGCGATAAGACATTATATGTCCAATGTATAATTACTAAAAGATTTATACACGCCGGGGTGATTGATGTTTCCCGTGGGCTACGTAGAAGATCAAACGGGAGCATTAAACCAAGGGTGGATTAAATCCTCTATATTATTAAGTGATGACTACCTAGATGTTTCTTTCCATCTTGTAAGTTAAACAAACGAAGATTAATGATGATCGACGGTCATATAAAGAACTTTGCGTATGTTCACAAACCAGTTTAGGTAAGTGATCTTGCCGTTTCGAATCATATTTTACATATGAACTATACGCCAATGATAGCGTCCGAAAATAACCTAAGGGAGACGATTACGGAAATCGTACTTTCTTTTCGTTGTTCGTGTTAATCTCGACTGTTCCATTGGATTTTCATTGGTTAATACATTATTATCATGACAGCATTTTTACAATTAGACCGCTTTGAATGTTTCGTCTGTTTATCCTGCAGCTTCGAAGGAAAACCTCACATGCCATCGTATGCAATAATTGGTTATGAATATTTCAGCTTTGTTTAAATTACGCTTTCAAAGAAAGAAAATTTGTTATATCAATTTAAAATGCTTTAGTTGGTTAGTTTTTCTTTGGAACAGTATTACACAGCGGTAGAGAAGCCTGTTACAGAAGAGCCAGCTGAAGGCCAAGTATAGAAAAAGCTTTTTGTCGCCTGTAGGATCCTGCAGTATCATAAGTGTTTTATGTGTAACAGCTAAAAAAACAAACGCGGACCAGGTAACAGTACGATATGCAAGTAGTGTCCTGTTTCTCGTAATCAAGCAGTTCAATTGTCTGGGCAATGAGCGGCTCAGTCTCAAAATCTACGCGGGTAGTCGCGGATTCGAACTCGAAAGATTTCGCAAACTGAGAGGTATATTATCTTCATATGCAGTGTTTCTAAAGTATATATATATATATATATATATATATATATATATACTTCTAAACAGATTTTAAATATGGTTGAAAACAATGGAATACGATGAGCATGCAATGAAAAAATAATATTCTTTAAAGTTTGCTGTGAATAGAGCAATGTTACGCAAAATTATTGATTCAAGAATTTCAGGCCATATATTTGCATTCTTTATTCTCTCGCTGTTTCACCAAAATATAGCAGATTGAAAAAGTGACCTTATGACGTTGTTGTACGGCAGCGAAAAACTAGACATGGACCGTTCTTTTTTCCATGCTTTCACCCTGATGCTTCATTTGCTGGTCAGTTTCTTTAACTGGTGTTCAGGCAAAGGCATGTCGTGAAAGTGCCGGGAAGATCGGTCGCTACGAAACAAGTATACTAAACAGTGTAGCAATGACAGTGTTAACAACTTAATCTCACAGAAGTTAGTTTTCCTAATTTTCTAATACGAAAACCAATTTTAGGCATGCATTTTTTTATTCTAAGGTTGTCTCATCGGGCCAAGCAAACTTACAGAAAAATATAATCAAAAGCAGCCGTTTTCAAGATGACCCTTCACATATGTATCTGCAAGACAGTGCCCATGGATATGACTTTCTTTGCTTGGTATTGCGTAGTTACAATTTTCTTTGTCCCTTACAGAGCATCAGAGCTGGCTGCCGTAGAAAACCTAAAAAAGACGATGGAACTGCTTCGCATGAACCTCGCAGCGAGCGCAGGACCGGCGAAAAATCTTGCGCAGGTATGGCGTATATATATTGCGTTTTGCTGTAGGCTGTTGTTCATCGCAAAGTATGAATGTTACAAAAGCATGAACTGAAGTTTTGCATTGAGAATTTCGTTCCTAATTTTCGCGGACCAAACTGACCATTACGTGCAGTTACGGAATGAGATCTTACATATATGACTCAAGCATCTTCGTTTATTAAAATATGTAGGAGTAAGTTCACTTTACCTGCGACGGTTTAGATATTATTAGTTTTACTGTAGAAATTATAATTTTGTTGTGCCATATATAATTTATTGTTATGGATAAAATTGAGCTAATATACATGGCCATTTTCCCTGCTGATATGTTTAACAATAAAAGCTTCAATGTTACTTCAAAGCTGAATTCGAAAGCGATGTTGCATATAATATATTCATTGACTACTTCCAGGCCGCTGGAAAGAAATATGAGTTCTGGAGTACTCAACCGGTGCCTAAAATTGACGAGGATATCACCACTAACGAAGCTATCGACAACACTATAACGAAAGAGCAGATTCGCAAAGAACCCTACAGTTTACCTGAACAAGTTGCGTAGAACTTTTTCAAGTTATATTGGATTCTATTCTTATCTTTTTTTCGTCATTACGCCTATGTTCCATTGATTAAATTATTTACTTCTACGTATGTATAAAAGTCAACAATGTGTCATTAAACAATAGTGTGTCAATAAACAATAATTGACAACGAGGTCCTTTTTCTAAAAAAACTTATTTGTTATAATATATTTGATTAGCGGATAAACAACGAGATCTCTGTCAAAGTGTAAAATAGAACGAATCCGTAGGCACAATATTTGTAAGGAAAATTATTAATTTCTCTGTTTCAAATTTCAGTTTATTTGGTGTACGGTAGATCTGGAAGATGATGCGCAGTTAAAGGAGCTCTACCAACTATTAAATGAAAACTATGTTGAAGATGATGATAACATGTTCCGGTTTGACTACGCCCCAGAGTTCCTGAAATGGGCACTTATGCCTCCGGGTTGGTTACCCCAATGGCACGTAGGGGTGCGTGTTGCAAAAAGCGGCAAACTTGGTCAGTTGTTAAACGATAAAACCGATTACTTTATATTAAGTAATATAACAAGTAGATACTTACTTGTTTGCGATGTAGTCGTCGCTGCCGGACCGAACGAATTTTGGATGTATACGTTGTGTAATTATGCATAATGGCTACAATGATTACTATAAAAAAATCATAATAAAAGCAGTAGGAGTAACAACTGTGTTATAAATCAAATGCGCTGATTTATTCGAATAATTTATTTGCTGTTGTGTTTACAGTGGGATTTATCTCGGCGGTACCTGCACATGTCCGAGTATACGACAAGCCCGTCCGTATGTCCGAAGTGAACTTCCTCTGCGTGCATAAAAAGATGCGATCAAAGCGCGTAGCGCCTGTACTAATTCGCGAAATCACGCGACGTTGTAATATTGAAGGCATTTTTCAAGCGGCCTACACGGCGGGCGTAGTCTTGCCCAAACCCGTTGGAGTTTGCCGGCAAGTTTTCGCACCTTCATTCGCATATGCTATGCAAGAGTACTGAATTGTGCAGGACCCTTTGACAGATCAATAGTAGCGAAGCATCCACTTAGTAGTTCTATAAGGTCGAAGTATTACCTTTGTCCAATAGCTATCGTTTTCTCAGTAATCCATTAGATGAGGTGAAATTCTCGTGAATTCTCCAAGAGTAAAAGAAACAAACAAAACAGAAATGTTGTGAATGTTAAAAGGCTGGCGTATATGCATGTGGTACAGAATAATGTGCAATTATGAATGTTTTATTTTTGATGTCAAGTTAACGTTCGTTGGTACAATTGTTAGGTACTGGCATCGGTCGCTCAATCCGAGGAAGCTGATCGAGGTCAAATTTTCCCACCTGACTCGCAACATGACTATGCAACGCACCCTGAAATTACACAAACTGCCGGAGCAACCGAAGATCGCGGGTTTCCGGGCATTCAATCCAACTAGCGATGGAAAGCAGGCATTTTCGTTGCTTAGTAACTACCTAAAGAAGTTCCAACTGGCACCACAGTTTACACTCGAGGAGTTTCTACATTGGTTTACTCCTCGGGATGGTGTCGTTGAGAGCTACGTTGTTGCCGATCGTTCAGACAAAGTGAAAGATTTTGTCTCATTCTACTCGCTCCCTTCGTCAATTATGCATCATCCGTTTCATAAAACCCTTCAAGCCGCCTACACATTCTACGCCGTCGCCAACTCAGTAACGCTCTGCGAGCTCATGTACGACGCACTTGTCGTTGCCAAAAACGTAAGTATTCTGGTTAAATAAATAAAGAGTTGCAAATTTGTTCATGCTTGTTTACCTTTCTAAGTTATTTTGACCATCTGATGACCATCGCAACAGACGTGATATTTTTGTTATATGTCATAATTATTGAAAATATGAATTTCATGTACATTTCCTTTGTGTAGGCCTAAATTAGTATAAGAGAGACTTCAATAATACTACTCTATTTTTCGCCAGCGTGGGTATGACGTTTTTAATGCCTTGGATTTGATGGACAATAAGGAGTTTCTGGAAGAATTGAAGTTTGGAATTGGGGACGGGAACCTCCAGTACTATCTTTACAATTGGAGATGTCCTGCGCTCGAGCCGGAAAAAGTGAGTCTGCGTCCGAGAGAATAGCCTCTAAAGGATATTGCTTTGATTTACTTGATTTACACGAAAAGGCACGTCGTAGTTACCACGTTCAGAAATCTGATCATTGGGTTTATACAGCTTTTATGTGCTGAGACAAGATAATTGGCTTAAGAGGGTTTACAAGAAAGTCTGAAACAACTGAAACAGAAATGTGCGTTCCATTTAAAATTAAAAAGGGTCTGGTTTTTCGAAAATCGAGAAAAACTTAAACATTTGTTTGGAACTATGAGTTCGTATACGTGTTCACAAGTTTATTACTATTCCAATCTAACAGCTTATTATCTACTTTGCGTTATTTGAGTGATTTCAGATTGGTTTGGTCCTTCAATGACCCGCTTTGTTGCTTGTGTTTTCAAAACTGCCCTGGTAACGTGGGCAAAAGACGGAACCAATGCGTTGCCATATCGGAGCCAGGGTTAGATGAAACACGACACGAATATTTGAAATGCACACATCCGCACACAGAAGTCTATAGCCTATCGCCATCGAGGATAGAGGTCTGCATCGGCGGGCCATGGGGGTTTGGTTAATGACTGGATTTTTAAGGAAGTTGAGTATGAAATCGCTCCTGTTCGTCTATAACTTCAATTGCTGAATATCGCACCTGTTCCACATGCTGGGATCGACCGAAAGGACCCTGATATAGTATAGGAACAAAAAGAGAAAGTTTAAGAAAATGAAGTGAAGAAAATCAGCTGAAGTGATTCTAGTGATGATCAACATGGTAAAAATGATGAGTAAAGGCAACATTATTCTTTGTTTAAATTTGATCATCGGTTGTCTACAATTTTTCTACATTATTAAGGTGATTAAGAAAGAAACGATTTTGAGACAGATATATATACAAAATAGATTATAGGGTGAGAAAACAAATGAATACTATGAATTGAGACTCTTATTAAATAAAGAAAGTTTAAGGAAAATAACCCAGCGTATGTTTCCTATGCCTTATGCCTATCTATTTTATTACTTATGATAAGGAATAAAATAGATAGGCATATTGCATTCCGCATGGATATCTGTCATGTGTTTAGATCATGAGCAAGACGACCTGCAAACTGGACGGCCTATAAGTTCTTTAGGACAACTGAATTTAAGTGACCGTTTCTAAGCTCGTATAGTCGCTTTCCAGGAGTTCTGTGTATAAAAAAACAACTTTGATATTTGTTCAGATTAAAGATTTTTAGAAATTTTTGGTTTGTTCGGTGTACTTACTCAAATCCGTTGAAAAATTAATTCCGACGTTGTTGTAGGTAAGAAATATTATCATTTGCGTACCTCTTCCTTGAACTTTTTTTCCTTTGAAATATTTCTTTTCCTTGAAAATATTTTCCATCTCGTTATAATAGGAAACAAATGGAATAATGGTATGTACGGCCTTCGAGTTTTTACGTTTGATACTGCTGTTAAGCATATTTTCAGAGTCCTACTGGTTTCCAGCGACGCTACGCCCAATTTCCAACCACTGCACCGTGGCCGGGGCCAACAGTCGTAGGCCGCAAAGCTGTCAGTAAAAACCTACCCGCTCTCGTTAGTAGTAAGCTACATGGAGCGATTTATACTTAGCGTTTCTTACTCTCCAATTCCTGATTGAAATCATAGCAAGAAGTCGAAATAACGGATCGGACAAGCAAAACTTCCATTTGTTTTAATATGGTTTGTATCAAAGAATCAATAAATTTGTATTCGGAGCACGCATTGTTGTTATTTGATTCATTCCGTATCTAATCGAGATCCATGCAATGAACAGTGCGAAGAAAGAAAACACTTTTGACAAAAATAAATGCTTTTGCCATGGCCCTCGATGCAGTCGAATTTATCCTTATCGAAAAAATGTGTTTTGTACAAAACCTTAAAGCAGTATATAAGCCCCCGAGCCGCCTGACGACAAACGATATTGAATTTTTCTAAAGCTCAGCATGAACTTTTGAGTATGGTATCTGACCACTTAAGAATTACGTGAATTAACGAGCGTTACTGGACACACAAATTCTATAAAAGAAATCCTGTCCTGAGTTTGCCCCGTCCGGAGTCAACAAGCTTCAAGAAGAATTTTATGTATGTTCGGGGCATCCTTAATATACTTTTCTTGGATCGTTGTATTAGGTTGGATATCAGAATATATCTTTTTATAGCCTTTCGTGAAACCCAGTAGCCCTTGATTCGGGTCACTTTTGGTTGAAGGTTGTTATAACCTACCACTAAAGTGCACTCGTATAGCATTCAAATCTTCGATAAGCTTAATAAACATTCAGAATTCACTAACACATTTTTGTCTAATACCAAGCACTTTCGAACGTTGTCTCTAGAGTGCACTGTATCGACAAAATCGTATCGAAAAGAGGCTAACAAAACGCAAGTAGGGCAATCAGATAGGAATGCGAAAATATATGTGCCTCGAACAAAACGAAATATTACGAATGATGATGCGTCGCTTCGTCTATTATTGCAATAAAAGCGGTAACTTTACCAATCATTTTAATAAACATAATCTAAATTATTTACTACACGAAGCTGTTATACTAGTTGTATTAAAATATATTCACTTTTTCAAACAAATTAGACTTTGGACATATTTTTATTTATCTTTTAAACTACCGTTTGTTCGCTTTGCGCGTCCACGTTTTCGATGGCTTACAAAACAGACAGAGTACAGTTTTCTTTCATAAAAGCAATGTGTGTGCTTGATCAAATACAACAGCAAGTTAAGCAAGGCACATTGTTAATTATGAGCTTACTGATTCTCCACAAGTATTTGGCGGTAATCGAATTCTTTTTATCCACTTTACGAGCCCTTGAAATAAGGACCTGATGAAATATGACCTTTCGAGGGTCGGCGATGGATGATCCATCGAGATAAGAATAGTTATTTTACTATGATAAATTAATTGCTGGTTTTTTCTACTAAGCAAAAGAAGCGTTCAAAACATTCTGCACTCAGTTGAGTTTTTAGATTACGCAAGTCCATTGGTTTCAATGAAACCCTAAAGGCAGCGCCCCGACCATTTGCAATGACATGTCCATATATACTGTCAAAAAACAATCACTTTGGCAAGATATAATTTACTTAACCACCAAAGGTTCCTACGAAATATATGTAATTTTGTCATAAGGTTTTGACTGCCAAATCATAGTCTTACTGAAACCTTTACATCAACGAAGAAACCGGCATCAAAACGACGGACCTCAGTCACATGTCAGTTTGTTACGTCTGTTTCAAGGTAACATATGTCAACATTCATCTAAAAAACGAAAAAAAATAGACAGCAGATTAAAATATAAGCAGTATATAGCAATTATTGCAGTGATGAAATAGGACCTAAGACCCAAGTTTAAAAAGGGTTTTGTACCCTGTTTTGATGTCGGCCCCAGTATCGCACAAACGATTCCGTGGATTGGAATATCGAAGTTAAATTTATTTTATATAATAAATATACTTTTAGTCGACTACCGAAAATGCTAGTAAAAGCGAAATCCGAAAAAAATACACCTATCTTAAGTTTATCCGCTTATTAGTTTCTTCCTGTCAACTTTATTCTTCACCCTCGAACGAATAACTTTTTTTATGTACTCACCATCAACTTATTTTTTTTTAACGAATGGCGTCAGATCGCACATTAATCAATCAAGTCACCTTATTATTAATTTATAATCTAACTAAAGTTTACAATAGTGTTTCTTATATACAATTAACAGGAGACGAGCTTACCCTCTCACACGCACGTTTCCGACTCACTGCCTCTCCTCTCTCTCTCTGTCACTTTTACGAGTTTTTCAAACTCTCACCCATGCAAATCCATTATCGCCTATTCACAGTATTCCTTCCATTCAGACACGATTTGCAGCATTCCGTTAACTCCAACGCCCTAAGTCAGTAAATCACTTGTGTGCTCACTGGACTGTTGTGTTAAGTGTTGTAATAACTGTACAAGTATATAGTGCCAGAGGCCGGTTGTGGGGCTTTTAAATGTGAAATCGGAGACACATGATCCTTTAAATTTTGATGTTACGCATAATCTTTTTGTATACATATCTAAGATTTTAAGAATACCAGGTTCAACGTGAACAAACGGTAAAACTAATCTTTGCACAAAAACCGCATACACACAGGCAAGTATAATAGCAATCATTGGCTTTTCTTTTATGTGCGTCAATCAATCGTTGTTAACTTCAAGTTTTTTTTGTCGAGGGCAGTTGTTTCCATTTTTTTATTTCAATAGCTGATTCATTTCACCGTTGATATGATACTGTATAAACCTGAAAGAATAATCAGATTCCTTGTCTCTCTCCCTTTTATATTAATAGTAATGCTGCTTGATGGTAATCGGTAACAGCAGTGGCGTGCTTGTTTGATCGTGTTTCGTTGGGCTTGCCTACAGAATTTTCGCAATTTTATGTTACCTTGAAAACTTAATTTTGCCAATTTTTTTCGCCAGTTCTTAATAATAACAACAATAATCATGGCGTATATACTCTATAATATGTTGAGTATATTGATAATCTTCATCGATTACTTACTGACCCTATATTGGTTTTAACGTGACTAATCCAATACAGTTATGGGCTGCATTCAGAGAATCACATACTTCGTTTGCGCACGCGGGTACCATTTACAACTTGTTGTTAATTTCATTGGATAAATTCTCCTTGAAACCATCTTTTTTTGAACGAAAGTGGCTTGCTGGTTTCGAAAGTTCGTTTCATATCGTATCTTCAACATTACATGGATTCATTAGGTTTCTAGATGACGCTTTGATGTACAGTAAATACACCTAGTTTCCAGTTTCTGTATGTCCCGTCCACTGACAACATTCATTTACCAACAACATTATTATAAATTCTGTTCTTGGCTTTATTTGCCACCAGATTGGCCACCGGCAGACGCTGGGCCGTCCAGAATAGACCCTCGGGAGCCATTTACAGTTGTTAAGCTTGCTGACGTTCCTGTGATGATAGTCGCATGTAGCTGTTGCTGCTGTTTGCTTGAAAAGAAATGTTTCGGTGCAAATAACTGCAACCGACGAGCACTCGTATATAGCTCGGACGATGAAACTAGGCCAAATTCGAGCAAATTTGCTAAATGCAGCAGCAAGTTCCTGTAAAGATGTTGCGCCATTATGGCAGCACCATGTTTCTCTATAAAGGTAGCGACGGCATGGGGTACGTGGCAGTCCGCCACGGTGCCCATTCGCATGACATGAAGATTCCACATTTTCATGAGAAGCTTCTCACCATCATTCACGTCAGTGAACTCGTCCAGCATACGCTGAGTTTTTTCACGCAGCCATGGTGGATCATTTTCCCTCTCGCTATCATAATCGAACTCCTCGGGCTTAATCGGCATACACGTGTGCGAATGGAAGTATGCGCGATTGTGACCAACCGTAGCGCCCATTTTTAGCCCGCCACCGCTTAGACCTAGACCGAGCTCTTCTTGGTAGTCTTGTAGAAACTCGGACAACGTCGGAAGAGGTCGTTGTGGGCGGCACACCATGAAGTACGTGATAGGTGTACGCCGTAGTGGAAATTGAGATCCGCCATTTGGTCCACGTCTTACCAATCGTTGCGGGTTACCCATGTAGCTTCCGTCGTATGCGTCGTTTACTGACACATCGATCTTGGCACCTCCCCGATATGGCGTATAGTTGAAATTGAACCGCGAGTGACAAAGCTTCAAGTGCTTGAGTAGTGAGTAGAGTCTACGACAGTCGACATAGCACCATGGGCAACGCAGATCTCCTCGCGCCTCGGTGATTTGCCGGCTATTGCTTTGAAAGATGAATTGGTAATATACGTGCGTTTGCCGACGCTCCTGAACGACAGGTGATTGAGCCACCGTTTCCTTTTTGACCTCTCGTCGATCCTTTGAGGGTTGGCATTGTTTACGTATGTCATCATTTCCCCACGATAGATTCAATTCAAGGGATGGAATCTCGTGAGGAAGTGCCTTTAAGGCGGTGTTAGCCGGCACTGTGACCCAGTGTGTGGAAGTAATATTCTGAGGGACATGCTCTCGTAGTAAAATTTTATAATCGCCCTCAGCTAGTTGGCACTGCCCCGTCTCATCGTAAATCACTAATTCTCCGGTAAGTGTTAACATGACACAGCTTCTTTTTGGGGTGCTTTCCAGCGAACTTTCAGTGTCGGTGGCTTCCGAATCAGACTGGTCATCTGAGTCGATCGAATTCTTGCCCGTGTGCGTCTTGTTTAAAAGGCTATTTTGTGGTTGACGAAGAGATAGCACAAACAATAATGTAAATACACAGCGCTTCGACGGGTCTTGAAGCGGGTGAAATGCTTCTTCGGGAATAGTGACTTCGCCAGATGCTGCGGACTGGTTTCGGCGTACGATACAGGAGTGCGTGAAAACCTGGACACAGAAAATTGTTTCACAAAATGTGTTAAACATATGAAACGACAGACAACTACCTAGCGACGTTTTAGTGTTAACGCGCTTTCTGACTTCACAAGTTCGTTATAGTAGTTTTCTAGGTTATGATAGGAAAATTTTAATTTTATTTTGGCTTTTCTCTTGTTTGAATGTATCTTAGTGGTAAAATAGTTATGAGAGCTAGCCGTTAAGTTTATCAGGGGTGTTTTATTCAACTAGAGTTTGCCCCGCACCAAAGACCAAAAATTGTTAGGGTACTTGAAAGAAAATTTCGAATGTCTGGAATGTAATTCTTGTGGTGCTTTACAAAACGAAAGCTTCCAATGACTTTTAAATAAAACACAACTGCAACAAACTCCGCGACATTTCTGCATATGTATCATAGCCAATGGAGTTGTTATAGGACGCTAAATAAATAGTAGGGCCAATCCCTTAGCTGGCGAATGGATATTTGACAACCTATAAAAGCAATATTTTTTATTTTGTTGGATACTTTAGATACTTGCCGGGCCAGCTTTTGATTTTAAAGATACACTTTTGAGCTCAGCTAATTAACCTTGAAAAGAATAAACAACACTTATTACCTTTGCTACATGGCCTGTCTTCGAGTTATTTGCTTTGACCACTGCCATGTTAAGTTCAACACTATCCTGAATTGCTGATCCATCGCGGACGCCTCCCAATTGAAGTCGAAGAGGTCCAAGGGTGGGCAATTTCCGTTGTAACGCTCGGTCTAGTAAAGTATCTACTCGAAATTGCTCCCTCTTCTCTCGAGCGGACATCGGGCTCTGAGCACCAGAACCTTGCGTTGGCATTGACGGGCTTTTCGGCATGTAAGTTAAACTCCGTTGTAAGAAGAGTGGCTGGAAAAATAGCGATAACACACTTAGGACAACCGTAAAATAACACATACATATGTTTTCCTAGATAAATAACTGACACCGTTTAAAACAATACTTCCAATTTCCTATGCTTCGATTGCTTTTATACCATGAAAAAAAGTTTAAGATGTATCGGATGTATATTTAAAGTTACAAAATACTTCTTAAGACATTTTCGTTGTTTGAACGCCTGATCGCATCCGTTTTATGAGTGTTCAACATTCAGAAACATAGTAGTGTTAAGGAGGCAGGTTGAATGCAGATTTTAAGCAGACAGTCTTCGGGCAGTTGATAGGACAGATGAAGGGTCCACTCACGTGTCAGCAACTTTTATTAGATTACACAGAGTGGCGTGTTAAAATTAGGAAAATCTTCAGTGAGCTGCTTACAGTGACACGCATATTCTGCAGGTCATGCAAACAGAGCATTTATCCATTACTCTTGGTACCAGAAAAAAGCCGCTTTTTTTCTGAAACAAGACAACGAGCTCATCATATAATTCCTAACGGTTAGCTATTTTAAAACAATCTGCGCTTTTTTGCACTTTCTGAACTGCCAATGCATGTTCTTACTTTTGGTTCAAAACTTTATTCCGCTAGAATTTTTTTGTTTGTAGCGTATCTGAGAAAACTTCACATCTTCTCATATTGTTTGACGCACGGGTACTATAAAGAAGAGAGTTATTTGCGGATTAAGCAAGGAGGAGGAGGGGAGAAGGAAGGAAGGCTAGTTAGTGGTCTAGGTCCCGATATGAAGCTGTAATCGCGGAGGACGGTGGGTGCGTCAAACAAACGTCAACAACACTTGTCCCACATACAAAAATTTTGGGTTTTTGTTTACGTCTAGTTTTAGAAACAATGCGTGAGAGAGATCCTCGATTTGGACGCGCCATTCAGTGTATGTTCCCACATTTGTGAGGTTTTTGCCCCCGGTACGCATTATCTGCATTGCGCCAACCCGAACTCTATTACAGTATATCGGCACGCTAGAACGTTTATCGTATGTACTTTGGGCATTCTATTTGCTGGCACACTTTAAATTGACTTAACGCGGTAGTTACCGAGAATTTGCATAAATTGTGCTTAACTAGGTAACTTGATCACCACACGACCCATCGTGGATTCAACAACTGTTTAGCATTCGTAAGACCCCTTTTTGAATGAAGGCGTCTGTTCTATTAGTTAAAATACGATTCTTCCATTGTAAACGGGCTTTTCTACGCTAAAATATCCACTTTACTTTTTTATATGACAAATAGGTTACTCAAATGCTTCTGTAATACATATATAGTGTTTTTCCGTCTTTTCTGGCACATTTTGTATATCCAACCTCTACTGAGAGATCTATTTTTTTAAATACAAAGGAGAATAAGTCAACATATTATAATTAAATGATTAGTATTACTCCCCATATTTCCCTTATTTGTAACGCGTGCTGTGACAAATCATGTTTGTTTGCTTTAATAATATATACTTGGTTAATCCTCGTCACACTTAACGCAGCTGCTAATTAACCCAGTGCAATACGCTCCTCGTCAACTTACACCGGTGATTATAAACGTAGGTTAGCTTCTTTTAAGACCAGTAAAGATATATCAACATTACATGGATAAACAATTGACAGACGGAATGTAGAATATCGTGATACGTTCTGTACCGTCGTCATATACTTTTAATGTACGATTTTATAAGAAAATACGTAAACCATAACCAAGCCTGGTCAGCAGCTAAATTTACCGCCTCGTGGCTTTCATCAAGGACGAACTATTCCGAGAAACACGTCCTTGTCTGTTGCCAACATTCAGCTCTGCGCGATAGTTGTTAAATGATCAGCAGGAACATACTAGTGGCGTGTACCCAATTCGCCCAGATGAAGCTCTGCTTCTTACCGAGGCGTTGAAGCGGCTAGTATAACGCCACTACTGTGATAACTACTGCTACTACTTCTAGCTAACTATAGTCAAACGTACAATAACGCGACCAACATCCCCATCACGGCAAGCACATCGAAAAGGACAACTTAGCAAACGCAGCACCGACTTCGTGGCTGATTCTGCTGGGAGAAGCACAACCAGCAGGGGCGCCTTAATGACAACAGTCGAAAGTAAAGAAATAGACGGACGAAGAAAAAATAAGAAAACGGTGTTATCTCTTGTCGTTAGTTATCATCGTTGGGACGATGTCAGAAAATTCGTGTCAAAAAATTGTTTTTTTTCTCAGTAATTATAAACGTTAAAATATATGCATTTTTATTGTAGGTATGAGTTCTGTGTTTTTTTCTGTAAAGACTGTGAACTCAAATATCGAAAAATACCAGTAATAGTAGAATGTCAAATCCAGTGCCACTCAACCCAACTGGAATTATCATTCTCGAAACGGCTGACCAGTGCAAACATGGTTTAATAAGAATAAATTCCCGATTAACTGATGAATGGCAACTGATCGAACCCAAGCACGAAATCACCCATATGTGCATTACTTCAAGATTCACAACACAAATCAGAAGCACAACATCGTACACGGTTATAGAGCCGGTACTGAAGAGGGCGCAGTGGCTACTTCCTGCTCTATTTGTTCAAACGGAAAAATTTTTAAAAGGATGCCAAGCAAACATTGGTGTCAAGTTTATTGTTGAATTAAATTGATATGATCAATTAGTACAACACGCGTTAATAAAACCAGTAGCAAAAAATACGCCATAAACTTCTTAGAACACAAACCCATTTGCTATATGCTCTTTTCGGCTACTGTTTTTCTGTGGCGCGCACTATATAACGTCTCGTTTTGTATTGATATGAACTGTGCGCCCAAAAACGACCGATGTTCGTTGACCCTTTACGTTCTTCCGCGCGTTCTGACCTTTGAATTCTGTTTGTCGGTCGCCATACCATTTTTTATTCTGGCTGGAGATGCCACCACATAGAACGTATACAAACGGATCATGAACACAGACCGTTGCGGCCGTTTCTCCCAAACATTTTTTCGTCAGGCTTTTTTGTCTTCGGTAATTTTGAATGTACCGTATAGAATGCAGACTGTATCCGTTAGGGCGTTGTGCTACTACGCCAATGCTGATTTCATAAGACAAGATATTCGAAGCAATGTCTTGCTTATAGGTAGGTGCTTCATTTAATATCATCTTACAAGGATAGAGGACTGGAGCGAGCATTAAGTTTCGCATGAAACGATTCGATTTAACGTGTGTTAGCATTTGCGAACAGTAGAATTATATACACCTATAGTTATAAAATACGTAAGAAAATAATTGTTCTTGATAACTACGATAGGCAATATTATTCCAATAATATTAATCCATTATGATCAAGTACTTACCAACACCATGTGCCGCGTTCGAAGGTATCTGTAGATCTGCGTTGGCTCTGAAATACATTATATTTCAACTCCATGTCAGAGAAAACATCATACAAATACATAATATCATAAGAGATCTCAGGGTTATTAAAAACAATGAAAAACTTTTCTATATCGCCATTCCACACAAATGCACACACTTTACTGTCACCACTCCCAACCTGAGGCAACTACACCCCTCACGTTCGAAACCAGGGACTTAGCCGTGAGCGTGCTTAGTTTGTCACCATGCTTTGTTCGAATACACAAAGCATAACGTCCATATTTCTTCTTGGCTTTTAAGGTTAGTTAGAACAAAGTTGTCATTCTGATTATTCTTTTTTAGCCTGTTGCGTCTATCTACTACGTCAATTCTATTTATCTACGTTGTATGACCGAGCAAAGAGCTGTTGTATAAGGGGCTGATGGATAAACGACTCACTTTCAAATGCCTGTAGAAATAGCTGATGCTCTGTAAGTTGTTCCGCTGGAACTTTTCTTCCATTAGATGCATTGCTGCTGCTACAGCCACTAGTGTTATTATTACTATTATTATTATTCGTCTCAGCAGCAGCAGTGACGGGTGTAGTTCCAGCTCCGACGGAGGTTCCAGTGTTGTTGCCGCTGCTGCTGCTGCTGCTGTTGACGGGGGTGATGGAGGAGGCAGTTGTTGTAGTGGCGCCGGTGGTAGTAGTGGTAAAATTAGAGGTAGACGCGCGTTCCACCGGCCGCGCCCCCCCAGATCGTCCATCCGATTTCCTCGGCGCCATAACAAGTCACTCCAAGTGTGCGCCAAGTCTCAACGGATTGGCAGCACACGAACGAAGCAACTCACAGAATACGGACGTTCACAAGCGCACGCAGATAGACAGCGAGGAAAAATCCACCGATTTGCACAGCGGTGATAATGCTGCATCAATTTTCTACACTAGAACAGATCTGCCCATGTGCCGCTTCCCTATCTACTCCATACCATACCAGCACTTGCGGAACATAACAGCAACTGTTCGGAGGCAACACCGCCAAGAGCAGCAGCAGCAGCAGCAGCAGCTGCTGCTCTCGCTGTCAGCAAGCAGCAGCCGCAACAGTGGGAGTACAGTTTTCACTCCTCACACGACGGTTATCTACTGCTCCCTTGTGAGCAAGTTATGAAACTTTACTGCTGCTGTTGCTCCGTTGTTGTCGTTATTAGTATTGCGGCACGGAATCGCTACATCGTGTGCGGAACTAACTGGGTTCACTGCTCGTTGATTCACTCCAACTACAGTTGTGCTATGAAGCACGGCGATAGACGACAGATCGATGAATAACTGGCCAGGACGAATAGTGCGAGTGAACCAGGGGACAGAGTTAAATAATCAGCATGCACACACATACACAAGGGAAAAATGGCTCATACAACGCTCTCGACAGGGACTCAGATAAGGGACAGCACACTAAGTGAGACAAATCAACGGAAACGACGGTGACGGCGGCAGCGGCGGAGGCGGCCAATGGCAAAACGATTGGCCGCGGCGACCGTGATCGCACGCTGCAGCACCTCAACCAACTCTGTACTACTGCCCCTGCGCCTCGCACAAGTCAAACTGCTGCTGCTGCTGCAGGCAGGTGTGCCGTCGCCGCACAAGTAGCAGGAGCACAGCACGAATCACAGCAGCACCGCCGCACTGCGTGCTGTTAGCAGCCAGCGGCGCCAGCAGAGTTAGCAGACGACAGCACCATTGACAACAAGAAAGGCCGAAGCGAATGTAGCGCGGATCAACCAGGCGAAAAGCAACGGAAGCCAATCTATCCGTCACCACTACCTTTCGAACTATCGAACTATTGCAAACAATTAACAACAGACATGGCAGCTGGTGCGGCAGCAAGAACCGATAGAAAAAAAAGTAGCGAGCGGCCCAGTGGAACGCGAATCTGCACCGCGTTAAGAAAGCAATTATGGCGCCAGCAGCAACAACGGCATCTTTCACTCTCGCCCTCTCTCGCGTCCAACTTATTCGTACGAATCCTTTATGATTAGCAGCATTCCATACAGCTGCGCTCCGCCTGCAGCTTCAACGACTCAGGCTGTGCGAGCGGTGAAGAGCAATTCAAACGGAGTCAAGGTTTGGCAGTTACCTAGGAAAGAAGTCACTGGCTGAAGTGGGTTAGGCAAGTGATCATACAGCAGCTAGACGACGACCGCCACATCAGTGAGGGACATGTAGGGTGGAATGGAAGAGAGGGATCTGCGTTAATGACGACGACAACAACAACAGCCATTAAAGTGATGGTAGATAGAGCTGTACTCAATTTGGCCCTTAAATATCCGTTTTTATGTCTCAGAAGAATATGAGTCTATGGCAATTTGCTCTCCTACTTCGTAAATATTGACGAGGTCCCATTAGAGCTACTGGCCAAAAAAGGGAGAGCTGGAGAATAGAAACCATCTATGTTCTTGAAAACTTGATTGATGAGGGTGAGAGGTCTATTTTCTATTTCGCTATACAAAGTGTGTACAGCAAAGGGCACGTCGCACGGCGTAAAAGACTAAGATCTCAGTAACATTCAGAAGAAACTATAACTATACCTTACAGAGCATTGCGTAAAACGAATTTTAAATTGTAGATAGAGCGACTATGCCCTCGATGGGAGCGAAGGGGAGAAGTAAAAGCAGCAACACAGTGTGGGCTTAATCCGCTGACTTGACAGACATCAGAAGGAAGTTGCTCGTGCAGAGCCTCTCAAAATCTACCAGGTGCCCTATTTTCTATTTGCCAAGAAAATCGTCGGGATTAGGGAACCGTGAGTCAAAAATATCTTTGCTGGCTGAAGCCCTTGGATTTATATTAGCGACAAAATGTTTAAGAAGGCAAAACGGGCACAATACCTGTTGTCTACCGTTATAACTTCACTTGTACTGAATTTATGAAAGCCGTGCTCAGAATTGTAAGTTACTTATGATAACACAAAGAAAGAAGTGGATTTAATAGTAGTTCAATGCATCCGTTCATAAAGTGCGAAATGCATGTGATGTAATTGAGGGACCATCATCGATATAATTCAATTGCCATGAAAGACCGAGGCTTTGCAATTTTCTGAGCATAATTTAATCAGAAGCAGGAAATGAAAAAAAAAACGAAAAAAGGAAAGCTCAAATTATGTTATAACTTACGTTTATACTACCGCGTTATAGTGCTTCCCATATTAGAACTTATCTACGTTTTTTGGCGAGTGGCTTCTCACATTCTATGAATGTAATCAGTTACGGACTAATCATTTTGTTTAATATAAAAAACAAACACACCAACGTTGTAAGTAGAATCTAGAAACAAAAAATAAATATTTATTCCTTACAATACATGAAATACATTATTTGAACTTTAATTTCTCATAAAGCTGAATTCATCACCAATCAGCCTCTCCGTCCATGCGGCTAAACACATAATCCTTTCCATCAATATTCATGATTCCTTGTGTGAGCCGTACTTTCCAATGCGCGCCCTTGCGGTGCACCTTTGCATACTGGCACACGACGATATTCTCGATGTCATCAAGTGGTTCATTTTCGCCAATCGCATCTTCTTCATCATCGCCCGAATTGAGCACTTCGTCTGGATCTTGAGGTTCTCGACTCCCTTCACTGCTGGGACTGCCATCTTGCGCGTCGCTGCCTCCGTCCGCGACGAAACTATCACGTTCATCTTCCGAGGAGTCAAGATCCGAACCAGGATTCATCAAAGTGCCATCCAACTGACCTGGAAGAATTCGATTGGTTCCAGAACACCCGACCTCATTTGCGAGTGTTAATTGACTTTCGTCTTCGCGATCTGGTGCTGCTCGCTTAACGGTTGTTTTGTACTGTGTCTTCCTAGTAAACCTCGCTAACCTCCCGGCGCAATGGCTGAATTCTTCGAGATTTAGGGGTCCCTCACCGGAACGTAATAGTTGGGCGGCGACATTGCACGGCACGATATCACTGCCAGTTACTAGTGCACCCTCACTGCTTGTGTGCATAATGATGCGAGGGATATCATGTTTAACTGTAACCATTTCGCTTCCAATTTCAATACCTCCGGCACCGACAGAAAAGCTTTCGTTTGAAGAATCCATGCCGAATTGAGATACTTGTACACTTGTTGGATGAACTCGAAAGCAATATGGCTGCTCTGCTTCAAGGGCTCCAGATTGCGACAGCTTCGCGAGCCAAAGACGGCGTAGCTCAGCCAAAGCCTGGTCATCTGCTCCCGCATCAAGACCTTCCTTGGCAATGGCATCTATAACATCGTCCATTACTCCACGGTATAGACGAGTAACATTGGTTTTGCTCTGGAACATTTTCCTGTCCATCAATGACCACTTAACATTTACCTTTTTACCGCAAAGCATAGAACACAGCACGAAAACTATTTGGTTACCCCAAGAACCCACACACTTCGAACACTTCGTCATTAGATTTCCTTAGATGATCTGAATTGACACCTCGAATAGTTTTTAGTGGCGCGGTTTTCGAAAACTGTTCTACCCCGGCTTTACAGCATTAGCCAGTATTCCACCTCTACAGATTGCAGCTGGATTTAGAATAAAGGTAAAACTTTGTTAGCTCTCTCCAATGTTTACAGACGCCTTAATGTTTTTGTAGCTGACTTTCGCTCTATACTTCCAATCAAACCAAAATAATCTACCGTAAAGGACCGCGCATATTAGTCACTGCTTTGGAACACATTTGAATTCTTCTAAAATATACTGAAAAACAGTTTTCTTAACAGCAGGTAAAATGTTTTATGGTCCTTAATTTCACTTTGCGTAGGATTTGTTTTATAACAAGGTAGATGATACAAGTTAACAAAAAATACCGAGATTTTAGTTTCCCAGGGCAGCTTACGTCGCCATAAAGCATACAAAGTTGTACAAATGAACACAATAATACAACGTTCATGTAACTTTCTCTAGTAATAAGCTATTTTTATTATTTAAAGATTAAAATACAGCTCCATGTACTCCAACTGGGCCTTTATATTCTTCTCCCCTCAGATGGTCCTTCCACTCCTCTACACTGGTCACCTTTCATGCAAATTACCCTTCATGATAACCTCAATGCCTATAGCCTGTTGTCATTTCTGCCGCGGTATGCACACAGATGATGACATACTCACTTAGGATTTTTTACCACAACTCCAACCTCGTGCGTTCCCAAAATTTTTGGAAGGCTCCACAACGTAAACTTTAGATAAATAATAATGCATTGGCAATTAGATACATATTAGTCATTTCTTGACTTAATTTTTTATAATATACTTTTGTGCACCCATCGGTTCTTTGTAGGTGTCGATCAAATTATCTCACAATTAATTATAGCAGATACTGCCCAATCACCAGTATATTCAATAAAATAATTCTCTAAACGCCTTTCGTCTCCTATTTTTTTCACGAATTTAATCGCTGTCTTCGGTTTCATCTTCGTCACTTTCCACCATGTACTTTTTGCGAGGTTTCTTTTTGATGGCTTCCCGACGCGGAGTTTTAGCTCCCTTGCCTCGGCCCTTTTTCTCGCGTCCGGTGTCTTCGGTTTCATCATCTTCTACAAGCTGGTCTTCATCTGCCTTTTCAGCACGCTCGCGGGCTGATGTAAACACGGATTGCATGACGATTGAATCTTCGTAGATCAGCGAGCCGTCCACGTTGTATTTCTGTGCGTTCGTGCACAGCAGCATAAAGTCTTCTTCGAGGTCGTCTAGTGATCTAAAATGTTAAGAATATTGAAAGCTCTTAATTTACACGATTCAAGTAATTGGAATGTTATAAACAAAAGACCAATTATTTGTGACAGCAATTCTAGGTAATACGCATCATTTTCAAAACTTGACCTTTACAATGCAATTGAATATATAGTATTAACATGAACAGACAGCTGAACATCTTCTAAGATATGGGATACCCGCTAGTGTCGGATAGAATAAGGTATCTCAGCCTATGCATGGAAGTACTACTTACTTGTAGTGCTCATCCTTAATGCGTTTTAGCATTTTGTTGAGGTCAATGGGCTTTTTGATGATCTCGTAGTAGTCGGGAAGATCCCTTCTCGAGGGCAGCTGCATAAAGCTTTCGCTAAGTACGCGCCCGTCAGCATCGGCATAGTTGATTACCATGTTGAGTATGGTTTTCATTTGCCTTTTTAGGAGCTGGCTTACCTGACCGCTTTTATCATCCTTGCCCGCTCCAGGACCTCTGCTTTTACGTTGACGTTTGCGGCCAGATGCGGGTTCTTCTTCATCGTCCGACCCAACCTTTCGGCGCTTTTTCCGGCCAGGCCTGCCCGAGGTTGTGGGGGCCGCGGGCTCGTCCTCAAAGTCATCGACATCTCCATCTTCGATGGCCTTGAGGAACTGTCGTTCAGTCAGAGCGTCGGAATAATCGACTTCCTTACGTGCCCTCGAGCCGCGGCCGAACACTTTATCATCGTCTTCGTCAGCATGCGTTAACTTCTCCACTTCCTCGTCGTTGAGGGCTAGCCACTGGGGTAGTTCATCCTCTTCCATTAGGCGAGGTTTACGGGGAGTAGCCTTAGCTTCATCTCTCCGGCGCTGAATATCCATCTTTTGGAATAGATTAAATTCGTCCTCGGAGCGGGCAATCATCTGATTAATCGTTTCATCATCGGGCACCTCGTTTTCCTCCTCTTCTTCTTCGTTTTCGTCTTGCAGAATGGCCTGCAGGAACTGACGTCGCTCGCTACCAGTTGATTTCTGATCGAACTTTCCTGCCTGAATAACCTTCTCATCAAGATTTAGTTTGTATTTGGCAGCAGCGAGAATACGCTCTTCGACGGAGTTGACAGTTACTAGTCGTAGAACGCGCACCTCGTTCTTCTGACCGATTCTGTGGGCTCGATCTTGCGCTTGCAAATCTTGATGCGGATTCCAGTCAGAATCGAAAATTATGACAGTATCAGCCGTCTGTAGATTTAGTCCAAGGCCTCCAGCACGAGTTGACAGTAGAAAGATAAAGTAGGGAGACTGAGGATCATTGAACTTGGCTAATAGGCAACCTCGATCTTCGGATTTTGTAGTTCCATCGAGTCGTAGGTAGGCAAACTCGCGGAAATTTAAGTAATCCTCGAGTACCGTCATGCACGATGTCATTTGACAGAATACAAGCACTCGATGGTTCGTTTCACGGAATTTCGGCAGGATGCGATCAAGTAATTCAAACTTCCCTGCCACGCGGTAGAGGTCAGGGCCTACAACGAGTTGACCATTGCCATTTCCGGTATGTTCGGCGAATGCTTCCTCGATGTGCTGGAACATGAACGGATGATTGCAGATCTTTCGAAGCTGCATGATTGTGTTCATGAGTGTCTTCATGCCACCCTTGCCTTTTTTGTCTTTCTCAGAACCATCCGTTAGCAGGATACCCTTTTGCATGTGCTTATAAAGCAATCTTTGCAGTCCAGACATATCGCACTTGACAACGTATTCGACTTTGTCAGGAAGTTGGTGTTCGACTTCCTTTTTTAATCGACGCAGTAAGAATGGACGCAACACCTTATGCAAACGACGGATAATGAGAATTGTTTCTTCCTCATTCAATTCGACTTTTTCACCAGTGGTTGCAAACGGTGCGTTGAACCACTGCTCAAACGTATTGCAACATTTGAATATGGATGGCAACAGGAAATTAAGCAGGGCCCAAAGCTCAGGAAGCTTGTTCTGTAGCGGAGTACCAGTTAGAAGAAGACGGTGTGGGGCGGTGTAGTGAGTATTGAGCACCTGCGTAAGTTTACAATGATGATTCTTCATTCTATGACCTTCGTCAATGATCATGTACTTCCACTTGATTTTAGAAAGTGTAGCCTTGTCTTTGATCACGTATTCGTACGTTGTCAACAACACGTTGAACTTGGAATTTCGCAGTTGACTCTGGAGGGAACGACGCAGGTTGGGTGACCCTTTGTACGCTACCTTGACGACACTAGGGGCCCAGCGATCGAATTCAAGAATCCAATTGGAAAGTGTGGATAAGGGCACAATTACGAGATAAGGTCCATTTACTTTCTTTTTTTCCATTAAATAGGTAATCATAGAAATCGTTTGAATGGTCTTACCCAAACCCATCTCGTCAGCCAGAATACCGTTAAGATTGTTGTTATACAATGATACTAGCCATTCAAGACCTTTTATCTGATATTCTTTGAGACGACCGAATACCAGCAATGACGATTGTTCGGTCACCGTCTCACGGATAGCATGCGCAATATTGTAATAGTTTTGAATTTGAGCCGCCGTGTTCTTTTCGTACTCGTCGTCGTCTTTGGCTACTCCCTGTGGTAATGGGGGTGTTTCAACGGCGGTGTCCGTCGCGGTCGGAGCTCCTGGAGCAGGTGGTGACTCCTCTTCATCGCTTGAATCATCTGTCTCAGCGTCACGCGGGGCTGCCTCCCAACCTGGATGCGACTCGAGCCACTGATCCAATTCGGAGGCTAGTGGTGCTTCCACTCCACTTAACTCAGTTCCAGTGGCGGTTTCAATTACGCGCACACGCACTTCACCCTCTTCTCTATTCGCATCACCGTCAGCCTTAGGCTTCTTTGTCTTTTTGAGTTTCTTCAACTCCTTTTTGTGTTGCACGACCATTTTCGTTAGGTTGTTGATATATTCATCTGTTTGGGAAAGTAGGAATGCAAGACGCTTATCTTTCTTCTGATCGATAAGCTTTCGGTAACCTTCCTCATCTTCAGCCATCAGCCTGATCATACGCTCCTTTTCCAGACGCTCCTGAGCTTTCTTCTGCTCACGTTCAGTGTTCTGATGATACGTAATAACCGCCTTGTTAATTTTCGATATTTTTTGCTGGACGACATTTTTGTGGAACTCTTTGAAGTCTTTCGCATGCTGCAGGACAGCTGTAAGGTACTCTTGATGTTTCTGACGGCGGCGCTTTTCCTGCTCGAGTTTTTGTTGTTTCTCCAGTTTTTCGGTAATTCGTGCCTCTCTCAAACCTTGCCGCTTTGTGCGCTTGTACAGCTTAGGATTTAGTGCTGTCTCTAATGTGGTATCCTTGCGCATGCAGGCTACCACTTCGGTGCGCAGCTGTCTCTGGAAATTTAGCAGGCGCAATGCCCGCAACTCTGTAAGAGCTTTTATTTTCAATTTTTCAGATAGGCTAGCAGCCGGGAGACGTGATAACTCTTGTATCCTGAAATTATTATGGAACCACAGATAATACGAACGTCAAAAATTAGTTATTTGATGAACAACAAAGCCATTGTAGAAATCTCGGAAACTTTATAATTTATAAAACATTAGTATTCAACTAAAAATGATTCCAAATAAAACTCATACGCATCGTCGTTGACGGGAGCAATTATGGCGACATCATTATGTTACGTTCATTTCTATAACAATTTATTTTGAAGTTTGGTTCAGCTTATCGATATAAACGAACCTATAAGCGATACGCTGGGTAATGCGGTTTTCGCGTTCCTTAAGAAGCTCGAGAGGATCGAGCCCTTGTGGTTTGGCAAGCGGCGTTATTCGATTTTGCTTTGGAGCTGGAGGCTTGGGAGGTCCTGGTGTAGGTCCTGCTGGTCTCAAAGCCTGTTGACTCAATTGATCGGGTATAGGCTGGTTACGGGCTAGAAGTCTGGAAAGAAATGACACAGTTTAGTCGGTTACTCATATGATCCAGCAAGCAATGTACGGAATAATATTCTGAAGCAAAGTAATTGAATTAATCGGTTATGTATACGAATTCAGTAATAGGCTAACTCGGCTGGGGATTAACAGTCGCCAATTTCTTCTCACGCACAGCAAACCAAGATTTGTTAACAAAAAGTTTTGACAACCTAAGAAATAATTAAAATAATAATAAGAATCACAATTTTTATAAAAGAGATAATGAACCCAGTTGTAAGGCTCTATACTAAAGTTTTAAAACTCACCGGTACACTTGAATTTGTGCTCTTAGCTGATTTTGCTGAATTTGATTAAAGGCTGACATGGGCTGTTTGCCATCCTCACGCGCTTCTGGAGCGCCATTCCGCTCTCTATCCATCGGATCGTGGCCCATGGGACTGGAAGCGTATACATGGGCACCAGGATGGTTTGGATGATGAGATGGCGCCGATGAGCCATGACTAGGCGAATGTGGTATGGTCATTCCAGGGGCCCCCAAGGCTGAGCCGGAACTCAGCTCTGGTGCTGGAGACACTGCTGTCCCCGACATCGCACTCGTTGCAATGGCACCAGCTATCCAAAAAAATGACAACATGCAGATTAGTAGAACACAAACCGTATTAATGTCGAAGGAATTTGCACGTTCTACTTCATGCATTATATATCAATAAAAAAAAAACGCTAACATACAATGTACATAACACTGCCAATCAGGTCAACCTGCTAAACCAAGCTTCGATCACGAGAAGCTGGTCGAAGCATACAATAATACTTGTAGGAAACACCAATGATAATTACAGCTTTTATTACTAAAAAAGTTATCAACGTACGCTTTGTTACTTCTTACATCAAGCACGTAGAACTTCGGGAGAACTTCTTATGTTGGTCTCGACAACCAAACACCTCATCGAATTATCAACCATAGTACGCTGAAAAAATATTCCTTAAAATCATTTTTGCTAGGGCATGTAACACATACGTGGTTTTTGTAATATGACGCTAGAATAATAGGAAATAACTGCTTTATACACAATTGTAGAATCAGCTCTAGTGTTCCGTTTTCTAGCAGAGCACTGTACAGAAATTCATCTAAATCTAGAGGGTTCCGTAGGCTCCACTTTATATATGTATATCGAATACATTAATTTAACAATTATGCAAACGTATTCACTAGTTGCAGTTGTGTCATTATACTTCTCACAAAGGTATGATTTTCTCGAAGAAGTGTTTAGTGCGCTAAACAAGGACCAAATCTGTCACTGATATATGTTCGACTTATATGGGATTACTCAGTGAGAACTAAACGACAACAATTCTACTTAATCTTTGCAGTTTCAGTACTTCAGAATGCGCTCTTACAGCAGTCCCGTCCACGCAGTCATATAATGTTCCAGCTCTCTAGTAAAAATGAGATCAGCTTAGAGTATTCACGGCTATAGAATCGATAACTCTGAATTACGTCGAATCTCGTTTAGAGTAACCCATGCAAAGCCAAGCTAGCACCCTGTTCCCACCACACAAGTCGTTTTCCTGTCGGTGTCCATTATATTTCCACACACACAACGTCTTCGCAAATAAACTTTAATAGTCCATTCACGTCACTGATATACTAACCTAACCTAGCGCAGATCACACTATAATATACAGTTGTAGTATTTGCATGAAGAAAACTATACAAATTTTCACAATTTCATGAAGGCTTCCTCAAGCCGACAAAACACAATATGGCCGCTGGTGTAAACATCGAGAAACCCGCCAGACAACAACCCAAAGACCCCACACAAGCAACACACCAAATCTTTCAAACTATCTCAGACAAGCAAACAGACACAAAAATTCACTGATGCCATCTTGTGTGATTAATGAAAATAGAGTTAAAGAATGTACCCTTTATTTATTCTTTAACAAGTGCTATAATTCTTAATATTTGATCTAATGTAAAGTGTCCACTATTTATAAATGCAAAGAGAAGACTAAATGTAGAAGAAACTTTTCAACTGAGTGGCATCATCGAGAGCTTTAGGTAGATTCGACTACTAGATGCCATCGTTCTTCATTTATTTTTGTTTTCGAATATAATATTGTTTTCTCCCTGCTGAATATATATATATATATTTTTTTTTTTTTTTATAAACATATTCTGTTTTCATTCCAGTATATTTTGTCGCCAAAGTTTAATTTCTTTCATAGACAAGTATTTTTAGAGATCTTTCTTACATGGAAGCATAGCCGCGATGAATTAAGTGACGATCATAACTTAAAACCTCTAATAGCTACAAAATATGGCAAAAAACGAAAAAGTGTTTCTTATGAGCGTACAGTAATACCGGAGAAACACATTGGAGGTAGTGTCGCCGTGAAGTTAAGCGTCCTGAATTCACCGCACCGAATCTAGTAGCAACATTTAAAGAGATTTTAAAGCCAGAAGTTCGAAGGCACTTCAAACCGAGGTTCGATCAGGAAAAATGCAACAATTTAATTATCCTATTATAGTTTTACTGTTTCTTTGCTGGTATCAAAACGGTCGGTGCGACATGATAAGGGCCCGGCGCGAGGTAACTAGGGCAGTGTGTCTTGTGCTTAACTATTTTCAAAGTAGCACAAAGAATAGATGTCTCATAATGATTTTAGCAGTTGATTAATTTCTGGCTTTAATATGCAGTCTTTGATATATTATTTTTTTAGACGTCCTCCCAATCCAACGAAAATCCGGTGCAGGTTTTTTGCAGATACAGCGGTTATCCATTATATCTATTTATTTTAGAACATAGCATAAAGGAAGTTTAAGGTATTCTATATTAAACGCATATGTTATTATGTGTTATTTTCATGGCCGCTATTTAGAATGCTAGTTTATAGTAGGAAATAAATGGTGCTAGTAATTTTCAGTTGTCACATAGCTTCAAGCTTTTTAATTACTTACGTACGGAATTGTGTCACGAAGTGATGTGCATTTATTAGTTAATATCAGCAGTAATAACCTATATATCTAATAGCTTTCCCTTTTTTATTTTATTAATTATAATTTGATAGAAGATTTTAAGTTAATTTTAAACTATTTATTTTCAAAATAAAAAATATTTTTATTTTAAATCTTTATTACATCAAGTAATATAATAACACGATGAGCATATTCGCGTAATCATAAGGATATTGGGACAGTTGGCTTTAATTTTTAGAGTATGGTCAGGTGTTTTCTGGCAGCTTTTAATCTATTTGAATTAAGGTAAGTTCAGTATTTGCGAGATGATCACACAGAAAACGATCGTTTCCCAATTTCTCGAGCAAATTCCTATAATAATAATTAATACTATTTTTATTATGTATGGTTCAATCTCTGCTTTACTCAAAATAATAATATATTAATAGATTATTTAATATGTATTTAATAATTATCATTTTGCACTATTATGCTTCGGGTAATTATGTTTTTGCTTAAAGTGCCTATCGCGTACGCAGTTGCAACATTCGACAAAAGGCCGCACAGTCAAATGCTAAGAAAGGTATTCCTGTAATACTTTACACTTGATTTAATACTAAAACTATATACAACATTAATCTAAGCTCTAATATAGTATTTATTATTAATAAAGAAACTTGTTCATTGGCACTACTTTTTGCTCTGAGTGCAAAGGGTAGCTTACGACGATTGAAAAAGCTTATAACACACCTGTGTACAGAGATGATTTTCGTATGCCTGGCAACACTAATAAACTTTACTGACAACAAGCTATTAAACTAGCGTTCTTTCTGATGCCGACAAAGCGAAAAGTGGCCCTCGATACCCGAAAAACAAAGGTAGTGAAGATTAAGAGTGTCAAAACGTTAGGACGAAATAAGCCTTATTACAAAGGTCAACTGTTAAATTTGATACCCGTCAGAAAGTACCTAGGCATGATCTGCCATCAAGACCAGGGCTTGGCAAACATGCGAAGCAGGTTAATCAGGCTTAATGAGGCCAAAACCAAACTTAGTGACAGCTTACCTTGGTAGAATACAGAAACTTTTATTGCACGCGAAACAATTATTCGTACTTAAAGTATACCAGTTGTAGCTCTAATGCGCTTTAACGAAATCCCGAATAAGCTATTTTCTGGCCAGTTTCAAACACAAAGACGCTTTAAAAAATCAGGTTTATGGCAAGATTCACCGCGAAGCTATCAAAAACATCTGTAACGCAACTTATAAAAAAAGAAGAACATCTTTCGCAAAAATAAGGAATACGAATTCCAAAAAAATATATAGGAAAATGGTATATTTTAGTGATTCGATGGATTCGGCTGTTATATAGAATACACATTTTCCCTCTGTTTTCTATTTGTAGATTTAAATAGGCAGGTTCCATGAAATTAACTAAAAAATTAATGTCGGATTCTTTTATTTCAAGTTTTACTTGGAGGCATATAAAACTTATTTATGAGAAATTATTAATCAAGTACATATTTTATTCTATATAAACTCATATGAGTTTTAATAAAGGAATAGAGAAGAGAAATGCGCCAGCTTTGTCAGCCCAACACATTAACACGGAACGCTAACGATCATGTACAAAAACATCGAATGATATCACGGATGCACAAATACGTCATGGTATGCTGTTTGAGGTATTAGTTTGACAAAATGTAATAATATTTTGAGACGGTTTCTGCATGGCGAATAACTGGTAACCACAAATGGTTGACTATTTATTTTAGCATCGATTAAATAAAATTATACAGCTTCGCTTATGTTCGTCCATTGATTGTGGTGATTTGCTCAAATTTTAAATGAAATACGTCCGTCTTTTTTCTGGGAAAACGTATTATAGTTTACCATTGTTCTGAAACTTGTCGTAAAAAAGAAGGCTCATAGAGATGTCATTAGTTGGACAGTGAGGCCAGGATTACTTATTGTTTTTGGTCTTCTCATATTCATTTCTAGTATTAATCAACTGAATTTAGCGTTATCTTCGCGCCACTCGTATTTCGTCTGCTACTGTCCCATATAATGTAATAGATCCCCTCCGTGTTCCTCGGAACCCGGTCGATCCTTTGTATTCGATGTACCGCATAGCGACCTGCTGACGACGACAGAAAGCAGCACCGTGCTATGTGTACACCTGCATGCCAATCATCTGTTCGATCGACTACTTGCCGCTGCCCTTCCAGCCTTCCTGTCTAACTGTCTGACTGTCTGTCAATGATCGTCGACCAAACCGTTTGCTCGCCAGCTAGCGCATATGCGTCACCGACGCTATGCTTCCTGGTGTCACTTCTGTGACGGTGGCAATACGATAAGCGGTAAGCTGAATCGACTGCTTGTTGTGGGATCGTAGTGTTTGTCAGCGTTGGCAATCAAACAGCAGAAGCAAAATTTATTCGCAGCCGTATCGATATGAAGCCATTACGCTCTAATTAGTATTATTATTGTTGTAATTTTATCGTCGTTCGATTATTCTAACGTGCTGTTATATAGTGACAGTAGGACTCAGAGGTGTATTATCATCAAGCAGCAACTCAGACTGATTTTACGTTCACCTAAATTCGCTCAACGATTCACAACGACATATGTGCTATTACATTTTGTGTTGAACTACGGCAACCCCTCACCTACTTGCTGCTACCGCCAAGTAAAAATTTGTTAATGAAATTTGTTGAATCGATGTCTAAACAGGGTAGCTAAGGAGACCACTTGACCTGTCATTCGCCGTACGTCTATCACTGCGTTCACTGCTGCCGAGAGAGCCGTACTCATGGGATAGACGAGGCAAACAAATCCAAACAGGTGAAGATTTACGTGGAGCGCGTACGCACAACACAAACAAAGTAATTCAGGTGGGAAAAAAGAGTTGAGCAGGAGCACTCTCGGCATTACACAGCTTCTGATGATGATAGTCATAGTGGTAGTGGTAAGCCGGCGGGAGCGCAAGCCATGAAGCAACCGGAGCCCCGACGAGTCTACGAGTCGTTTTATCTATTGTGTTGGTCTTATTGCCCTGTGACGTGTCAAGAGGAGCGCTAAGGCATCGTTGTCAACGGTAACTTTCAGTCTGAGGTGAGCACAAGCAAGACATACAGCAAAGGCTAACTGGATCCTATTTCAAGTGACGGTCTATGCATAAATGCTAATGCTTTCTGGCGTTAGGGAGCAACAACACCAGAAACGACATGACTCCTCGACTAGGACGTTTTATCAAATTGTCATTGGTCCTCATAGCTTGTCTTTTCTTCGTTGTGATCTTTCTGTTTCCTAATCCGGAAGGGAACCGTGTTCTTCAGCCCGATGCATTGGAACTTCAGCAGAAACTTGAACAGCAACATGCTGAATTAGTAGTACATCCTCCGGAGGCGGCTGCTCCAGATAATCCTAATGAGCTACCCGTGTTCAGGGCTGGCGAACTGGGTAACTTCGAAAGACCAGAGCCCATAATTATTGGGCCCGGCGAAGGTGGCAAGCCGTATGTTAAAACCGGACGCACTTCGGAACAGCAGAAGCTAAAAAGTCAGTATGGAATGAATATTATTGTATCCGATACGATTTCGCCGAATCGAACCGTGCCAGATTTCCGATTGGACGAGTGTAAGTATTGGCACTACCCAGAGCATATGCCGAAAGCTTCAGTAATTATTGTATTCCATAATGAGGGTTTGTCTGTCCTCATGCGCACGGTACATTCCGTAGTGAATCGAAGCCCCCGACAATTTTTACATGAAGTTGTACTGGTCGACGATTTCAGTGACAAAGCAAACTTGCAGCAGGAACTGGAGGTTTACATCGAAAAAAACTTCCCACTTGGGCTCGTACGCTTAGTTCGTAATCCCGAACGAAAAGGCCTTATCGGTTCACGAAGTCAAGGTGCTGAGGCAGCGAAGGGCGAAGTGATCGTCTTTCTGGATGCTCATTGCGAGGTGGGGCAGAACTGGTTGCCGCCGCTCCTTGCTCCAATCAAAGCAAACCGTAAAACAATGACTGTGCCTGTAATCGACGGCATCGACCACGAGAACTTCGAATACCGGCCGGTGTACCACGGGAAACAGCATTTCCGGGGTATATTTGAGTGGGGAATGCTCTATAAGGAAATCGAGATTCCAGAAGAAGAAATCAAACGACGAAAATACCATTCTGAACCTTACAAATCACCAACGCATGCCGGTGGCCTCTTTGCTATGGACCGTAAATACTTCCTGGAGCTAGGAGGTTATGACCCGGGACTACTGGTTTGGGGCGGAGAGAATTTTGAGCTATCATTCAAGATTTGGCAATGTGGAGGTCAAATACTGTGGGTACCGTGCTCTCGAGTCGGACATGTTTACCGCGGCTTTATGCCTTACTCGTTTGGCGATTTGGCTAAGAAACGAAATGGGCCTTTAATTACAATTAATTACAAGCGCGTTGTTGAGGTGTGGTTCGACGAATTTAAAGAATATTTTTACACTCGTGAGCCTTTGGCTCGAGGCTACGACGCGGGCGACTTGACAGCTCAGCTCGAAATCAAGAAACGTTTGCAATGTCGATCATTTTCCTGGTTTATGAAAGAGGTAGCTTACGACGTTCTAAAGCATTTTCCCTATTTGCCTCCCAATAATAAGTGGGGCCATATTAAACCTGTCTTGGATGAACGCTGTGTGGACTCAATGCATGCGCATCCGCCTAGTAACGCTGGTGTCACATACTGCCACGGCGGCGGCGGAAACCAGTTGTTTAGACTAAACGAAGAGGGTCAATTAGCGGTCGGAGAACGATGTGTTGATGCAAACGCAAACAATATGTTTCTTATTTACTGTAAATTAGGCACCGTTGACGGACCGTGGTCGTATGATCCTAATACCAAACAAATGAAGCACACCAAGGGTTCTGTAACTCGATGTTTAAGATTTGATGGAGAAAACCTAAAGCTGGCTAACTGCGCCAGTACGGACGAGCAGCGTTTCAACTGGGAAGAAATACATTAGATAGTTTACAGCCAAGAAACTATTGACGACCTACGCTGTGCAATTATCAAAACCAGAGCATTCGAATTGATATGTATATAAGCTGATGAGGAAACACTGATCTAATTGGGATGATCCAATGACTTAGCTGTCTTAAATGAAGAAATATGTATCGACGATTTATACCTAAACTGCTCACTCAACAAGTGTAAATATATATTTAGCGTACTTTTTTAAAGACCTTGTGTTTTAATTTAGGTTCCACCTAGCTTTAAGAAACAAATAGCTTTGCTTTTCTGTGTAAGCCGTTTCTGTAAAAATACATTTAACATTTTATGTGTTTCACGTCCGGAATTTGAGTCGTTAGCGGTTGGCTGGCTTCCAGAACGCCAAACAAGGCGTGTCTACGCCTGGATCCGAACCTCGTTTACCATGAGTGTAACCAAATTGAAACTAGTACTGTGTCATATATCGTCTCCGTATTTTACCATAAAGGTCCGGAAAAGTAGGGTCACGATGTTTTTTCTTATAAAAAATATTTAGGGTTTCCGAATTTGTGGCCATGATCGAATTCCAGAGCCAACTGGCCATGGGGTTCGGGTTAAACGAAATATTACCATTAAGAATAACGCAGGTCTCGTTGATCCTACATTTAATAGTTTGATAAAAAAAAACTACGCACCTTTTTCCTTGCTTAAAAGCCATGTTGCTAAAAACATTCGTTCAGCGAGCACGACCCAGATTGATACTTGAGCTACACGATGACTTCACTTAGTTACTTAGCTTGTTAGAGAACCGTGTTTTCTTGGGCGATTTCACATGGGAACTATGAATTTTCATTTACTTACACCACGTAATAGTTGACTACCGCTAATAACAGTCTACACATATATATAGACCGAATACATTCTTTAAGCGTATTAGTGGGCTAGAAATTGCTACAGTTGTTTATTTAAAAAAGACCTAATCCAGACACCATTTTAGCTTGCTGAGCAATACTTTTTCGCCCTGCTTCGAACAATGTTTTTAGCTTATAGCTTACTGCATTTATTCAAGGTTAAACCAGTTAGGCTTAGTGAGAGATACTACTCCGCGGTAAAAATTTTTGTTTGCATTAAAAAGCATACGTCTGTGGTTTGACGATACATGGTTAGAAGCACAGCATATATTTATAATGCGCTTATTCATTTTCACTAAAATAGCTGCTCAAAGTTGCATAAAATAATGTTTTGTTGACATTGTACCAGTGAGACTAATTAAAGTCAGAATAATGGAATATCTAATCTTATGGCTATTAATATTTATAGCTTATTTATTGAAGAAATCTCAGTTACCAATTAAGTCAACATGCCTACCACCTGTTCATTTTTACTGTTGTTGCATTATCTAAGCGATTCAAAGCTCACCATTGGAGTAAAACTAAATTGGATTCTTTGATCAATATAGAGAAGTGAAAGGCGAAGAAACAGAGTACGTACGAGTAAGTAATGAACGGATATTTATATACTCAAGATACATACATTTAAGACATAAATTAACATTTATTCTGCAACAATTAAAAGTCGCTCTTGCGCTTGTTATTATTGGATAGTATCACCGTCAGTATTTAATCGTTGGGGGCATTTTGAATGATTCTGGTTGAGGCATCAAATGACTATTTCAAGTTTTATCCTTCGAAGTAATAAAGGAAGCATTCGAAACATTTTCTATTATCCGCTGCAAAACGTTTAATGGTATATTTTACATGCAAGATGTATGTGGACTAACATTGAGGAGATATTTGTAATTGCAATGAAGTTCTGGTGCTGTTGGGAGAATAGATTATATGTATATGTAAGAACTGAAAACAACCAAAAAAATCTAAAAGTGCGAAAAGGCTCAACGTCTCAAATAGGCTACCAGTTGGAGCTTATCTCAATGATTTTTTTTTTTCTTTAAAACCCGTTATTTCACAATTAAACTTCTAAATGTTTCAAATGTCACGTCCGATGCTACCGCTACGCATTCTATCAGACGGCTGGCTTCCAGCACGAACTTCGAAGCCGTCTGAAAGTGAATTTACGGCAGGATTTATGTCAGAACCTACACCGCGTATTAAATATCTGTGTGCATCAAAAGTAACGTTTTGAACCATTTCGATAAATTTTCAAGCTTTTTTAACCTAAACCCAATTGAAAATCTTTCGGTTGAGCCATCAAAGTTTTTCTCCGTACGAAAATTAACAGTAAAAAACAATGTCGCTTTCAGCCAAACAAAAGAAGTTCTAAACCTTGATGACAGTTCGCCCAGATTGTATAAAAGCTTATTTTAACTCAAATTCCAGAAACGACGCAATGCTATTCGCCATGACGTTTTTTGTTCTAAAAGTAAGTGGCTCTCGTTTGGCACTCAAAGCAACGGATGGATGCATGCCCATTACGACAAGGAGTCCGCCATAACTTGAACAAACCACGCTGTATATATTCCCTTGCAGAGGTGATTTTAACAGATATATTCCTATATCTATACAGATAAAGAATCGTCTCAAAAAATTCCGTTATCAGTTAAAGATAGTGACGATTAATTATCAGCGAATAGACCTTGTGCAAAACATTATTATCAATAAATGATACACTGCGAATGAGCTGGGCTCTACAGTCAATTATTCCTCCTCGGTTACCAGACGGTAATTTTATTACTCTTAGTATTTAAAGTGACCATTTTACTGAGCGCTGTATATATTGTGCCATGCTTCACTTATGTATGCAAAGTTGCTTTTGAATGAACCTTTTCCTTAGAGATCAAGCACGAAGAGAACCAAGTCTTTGCGTGGTAAACTCAATTGACTGAAACGCATGATAAAACCTTGAATGAGTACGTATTCTATGTATAATTCAAAAAGCTTACGTTTTCGAGATTTAATGAAAATCTCTGAACATATTTCAGATAGTTATTTTACGCATTTCTAAACTAAGATCATGACTAAGTAGTGATACGACATTACTTATAATAAATTAAAGCACGGCTCGTCAGTTTGAAGCTGATTTCGAGCAATAACATGACCATTCTCTGACTCCATACCTGAAACACTTCTTTTACGTTATTGAGCTCACTCATTCGTTTCGATTTGTGCGTGACGGTGCACTGTATATCACCATTTCTTCATTACGAAATTTTACAGCCCAGCCTGAGAGTACTGCATCACAGATACGGGCATCTGCATGCACAGATAATACTCAAAATGAACTATTATAATGTTTCTTTCTTTAGCAAGGTTTCTTTCTTATCGTAATGCAGTGTTGTTTGCAATAATGCCCCCTCATTACCTATTGATTCGGAATGGGTACTCTCTACCTCCATTTATTTTTTCCGATTACTTTTGCGAGGTCGAGCTCCACCGCTCGCCACCGTGCCCCTGCCAGGGGTACTTCTGCTTGAACAACTACTGGCACCTGCACTCGGAGTAATATGGATGCTTCCTCCGGCCATATCCTCACGGAGTTCTTCGGGCTGCCTCTCTATTTTTGATTTTGCCTCAAGAAAAAACAGGACATCACGCAACTGCTCCTCCAATTCACTTATCTGAAATCGAAATGTAATTTATTACTCTTCACTTCTAATAATGTGAACATAATTTGACTTCAGTTTCACCAGTATTAATCTGTAAACAATAATAGAGAGAGTAAAGATAATAAGAGTGGTGGGAGATGTATGATTACCCGTACTGACGTATTTACTTTATTATGCCTGTCCCAGAATAGGTTTTGATTCAAAAGTCCAGTCACGCCATGATATTAGTAAAGTAGGTTAGTTCTGCACATTGTTATACTCGCATTTATAAATGCATCCCTGCTGGCAAAGGCAAGTTTATTATTAATTACGCCGTTAACTGCAGCCGACTGTTCTAAAAGTCGGTTCGCACATAAAAACAGAATTGTGTCTGCGATAGCCTGCACTATAAACGTTTGTTACGGTCGGCACGCAACAGACACCTAATCACTAATGTCATCGCTTCATCTCCAGCGTCATATATGAACATGTTTAAACTAGCCCAATTTCATATAGCGACAGCCGTGTGAGCATTCATCTAGAGATAAATTTTTGGACATATGAAATGTGATCTAGCTTAACTGTTAGGCATAACATAAGCGACTACGGTAATTGGATTGGATATTTTGCTCGAAGCGTTACTATTTGCTCGAAAGAAGGGGAACTTAAGCTAAACTGCGGCGAAAATCTTGCCTATTACAAGTTTACCGCGAATTGGCATATGAGGTCTATTTAAGCACGTGAAACACATGTATAGTACAACTTTCATATTTACAGTGAAATTGAATGAGGATGCCATAGCTCGCAAGCATGTGTGAATCGATTAGAACGACCAGAAACATCATGGAAAACACAACGGGCGTTGTTGTTTCTGTACATGACGCGCGCCAGGCTAAAGCTTTTGCTCTGATTTTTAAATTGTCAGCTGCAACGCAATACAGTAACGGCATGAATAATTGTATATTCCGTCTGTTACTCCCAATAACAGTTTCATACATATAACTGCATAGTCAACAAATCTGGGAGTAGTTTCCTTATTGCGATCATCCTGCTATCCAATAAATTGCATGTCCGTAATATAAAATAAGATGATGTCCAATGAAAAAGTAACAAGGAGTCGAGGACCACCGACTTCGCTTATTTTGTAACGGAGCACAGCAAGAAATGATATACAATAGCTAGATTTAATGATATCAACACCTGAATTCAATTCATTTTATGTGAGATTGGGTACAAAGAAGAACCATACCTTGGAATCGGATTCCTGTTTTGATTTGGCTGTGCTTGTCTCGAGTGCTTCAAGTCTTGTTTGCCAACCTTTCTGATCAGCCAGAAGACATTGACTCAATTGACGTTCATCTTGCAACTCTTTTTTGATTTTAACACATTGCATAGTCATTGCGTCAAGTTTTTTTCGCGCTGAATCTCTCTCTTTAATCACCTAGTTATTAACATGGATACAAATAAGGAAAGCCGTTATGAATTTACGAGCCGTTCGAAATGTCCACAGAACTACAGAAGTACATGGTCACCTTTGGGGCATGAACAATTAAAAAATAAATAAATTATTACCTGTCCCATCTTTCCTTCAAGCTCCTTTCTTTCTTCGACGGCGATTCGTGTCTTCTCCTTAAGCTCTTCGATTTGACGAGCGCTTTCTTTCGCCTGTTGTTCGACTGATTCCTCAAAGAAACGCCGTTGCTGTTCTAACTGTGATGTTAACAGGTAGGTATATTCAAGCTGAACCGAATCTACTTTTTCGTTCATAGTCGCTCCGCCAACAGGCGATTCCAACTGGACTAGTTTGCCTGTAGATCAGTTCCAAATAAATATCGGGTTCAAAATAAGGATCGGTAATCAAGTTCACACTAATATATACAGCATGGTATATGTACGTGTTTTCTTAATGTCGATGCGAAACTCACACACTGATTACTAGACATATTTAAGAACACTAACCATCTGTTTTGTTTTGCACAAGACGGTGAACGTAATTATCACCGGCATAGTCCCATACGGAGCGATTATCTAACTGCATAGCAAATGTATGCTCAGTACGGCTGTAATGCATGTTTGCATGGCCAGCCACATAGCGGCCGCAGCCAATATGGCCGCAAAGGAGGCATATCCAGAGATTCTCTGTAGCTCCACATGTTTGACAGCAGTTCTCCGCTTCTAGTTGTGGAGTTTGCGTATACCTGTAACATGATGGAAATAAAAGAGGTTCTCATATTACAAAAGGTCCAATATTTTTCAGAACTTAAATATTAGTAAAAAATCCTAAATGCGTATTCGGTAGACGCTTGGGTTGTCTCTATTTAATTATTACTGTAAGTTTTATTTCCGTTAAACTGAGTCTAAAGTTTAGTCGTACTCAAAATCGCAGCTCATCATACATAACTTATAGATTTGTCATCAACAAGACTCTCGCATTCATTAGCAACACTAACTGTATAGTCTGCGTCTTCTACCAGACTTCTTAATTTGGAGAAAATAATTTTTGTGCTTTCTAAATCTTTCACTTCGTCGAACTCTCTTTAACATTTTAACAGGGCATTTAAAAAAAAACGAGAAAACCCTTACTAATTTTCATCATAAATAGATTGCAGTCAAAACCATTTTAAGGCTAGAAGACGTTAAAAGGATGGGAGGAGCTGTTGAAGATTTAACACAAGAGTCAATAGCTTCTACTAGTGATATTATATAGAAGTTTGAAGTATCATTGTCCCTGTCAAGCACCTTATTATTAAGCAAAATTGGTCAATTAACTGTTTACTGTGTGTGCCCAATTTGTAAATAGACATTGGTACAATGCTCAGAAAATATGCGTTTAGTTAATGCATCAAAACTATCATTAGAAACCTATGCGTAGGTTGAATTGACGCTTGGATTAATTAGTTGTCAACTGACAGGAAAATAGATCTACGTATATAAATACTGTGTATAAGAGCCATACCTGCATACAGGGCAAGTGTTGTTGTCGCCATGCCATTTGGCGAGACAGGTATCGTGAAACGAGTGGTTACACAGGATAGTTAATACACCTTCGATACTTTCATCCATTCGCTCAAGGCAAACAGGACAGGTAGGCAACTCCGTGTGACCTGTAATAGGGCCTACATCCAATCGCGTCCAACTGTATCCATCACTTCGACTATCCTCCGTGCTGCTTCCACTAATTACTTCGACCTATAGGAAAACCCAGTAGCGGATTTGTAAAAAAATTGCTAACTTTTTAGTTGACTTTACATCACTACATCAATACTTCTTCATCAAATAGTCAGTCTACTGTATTTTCATATGACTGTTTTGACGATAGTCAGTCATACACTATGACAAATAAAACGATACTGAATAAAATTCATTACAGTTACATAGCTTTGCAATCCAATTGCAGATTATAATGTTCTACTTGTTGACCATATATCTGCAACAGGATTGAAACTCTATGTAGTTGTACACAATTAGTAAAGCACTCAGATTAATACTTAACATTGAAGAAAATGTTTCACGTTTGAAAATATTTAGCGTCTTGGTCATGATCAAATTGATCACAAGTGCAAGCTTACCTTAGCAACGTAAACAAGGTGGCAGATATCACCCTCGATTGAATTGAAGGGTTTTCCATTGAAACCCTCGTAGAACTCATCGGTGGCCTTTTGAGACCGAAAACGTAAAAGAACCATATACACATTAGGTTTCCCATCACGAATGACGCGAATATGCTCAGTGTGGGGCGAAAATGGTGCCACAAATTGTAGCAGATCGTGTAGTGGTAAGTAGGCCGGCACCGCCATCATACATAGCATCAGAGATCGGCTACAGCTGTGTGGAATACACATATCAAAAGTTACTTTGTTACCAGTTTTCGACTACATTAAACATGTTTGGCGCATTCCTCGTCAAATATTCTTAATGACTTAGTTAAAAAAAATTAAAAGTTAAAAAAATTCTAGCTCCTGTATTATACACATATTAGTTCAAAGAACTTTTCGAATTGTAGAATCCGATCATAAGAACATATCTATTTGAACTTTAGATCAAAACATACTTTTCTAAATAGCTCTGGAAGAATAAATAGGCTACACATACTCGGGGTCAATGGTGGTTTTCCGATCTTCTTTGAATAGATGTAAAATGCCCTTGGTCACTTCAACGCAATGATTACCACTGAAGAACTGAACCTGCTCGAGTTGTCCACTACCACTTGCATCATCAACTGTTCTTTCAGGAACTTCCGTACACCTCGACCCTTCGCCTTCTCCGGCTTTTGATTGATGTTTCTTGGTATCCATCTTGAAATAAACCCGTCAGAAGACATTAGTTAAGGAATCACGACAAATGCTTCTTTTTCATTATGAAAGTTGATTATCGTCATACTAAAACTGAGAAGCATATATTTTTTATGTTGCGATTGGACAATGGTCACAGATTCAGTACCAGCTACTGCACTGTTTTTTGAAATCGTTTCCTTTTCGTAATTCTACTACAAAATACCCGCTATCCCATGGCTCGTTTTTCTTAACTCGTTGTAGTCACTGCGTCGCCCGTTTACATTTATAACACGTAACATCTTACTGCAGGACTTGGTTAGTGAAGCCATTTCAGGTACCGTCTGATTTCCATCACTTCCATTAGAAATTATATGTAAATAAAGTTTTGTATGCTGATAAATTGAAAAGGAGTCTATTGTTCGTTATAGCTTGTTTACATCGTGTTGTGTATAAACACTTTACTTTTTCCTAGTTTAGGTTTTTAACCTCACCAAGGTTTCTATACGAATTTCTTCAAAGCGCCGTCTCCCAAGACGCTCTCGTAGGGCCTCTTCAGGATTCGAGCTTTCGCTACTTTTTGGAACACCGATTGACTGAAGTTCGTCTCGCTCGCTCTAAAACATAAGTGTAAAAACGCAGGCATTATTCAATGGAATTTACAAAGACCATCTGATTAGATGCAGGTGAAACTTTTACGGATATAATTAACAGTATTTACAATACTATTCTATTAAATTAACATATTATTCTTTAGATTAAATTATACATCATGACAAAACCGCGTGTTAACTGTAGTAACCAGCGCCACAATTTTTGTTTCTTGGCGGTAACTCTTATATCTAACGCTGAAATTAACTTAGTGCATTGCTCCAAGTAGTCCATTTATTCGTATTCAAAATTCGTATAATATAAGTGATTCTGAAAAATAGGTCCCCTTGTATGGTGATGTGAAAATAGGCAAAAAAAGATCTGTACGTGAAAAATAATCTGCTCGACCTGTGCTAATAAATTCTAGCACATCTGTGATCAAATGCAAGTACTGCAAAAGATGGGTTACACAATGGAGCATTTATATATGTAGTTTTATATACGTAGCATAATCTTATCTATATTTAGGATCAAGCTGACAAGTTCTATGAATCTATATAACAATAATCTTTCAGCCGATAATTACAAAGCAAGTGGCACAAGTTAATTTTAAGTACTTCTTCCATGTGAGAGAAATCTTGGCTTCGTCACCATGTTCCTGCACGATAAGATTCTTTTAATCACTTTTTACTATTTATGCTTCTTATTGTTCGGTAGAGGTATGCTGTTATGTATAATAGATTGTTCGACAACGAAATCCAAGAACAGAGCGAATTTTATTAGAATTTAGTTCACATGATTCTGGCTTGTTGTCGCGGTCCATCCAAAAAATCCTTCAAGTTGTAATGTGCTATGTGCCTATAGTATAAGGAACAACACTGATAAGTCAGTTACCTTATCCGAACTGTAGGCAACCTGAGGGATGACCTCGCAACCGGGCTCCAGTTGAATACGAATTCTCACGAAATGAACGTCTCGGCTCATTGCAAACTTACGCAGTACATTACATCACTCATTACATTTCCATTTTAGGTATTTGCGCTGCTCCAAAATCACGATTGTTAATGGGGCATCAGTTAGGCAACTTTCCCTCAAGGAAAATCAGTATTAGAAAATTAAACTTTATACCGAACGCATAACACTCTGAACACCCATGATGTGCTCAGTTACTGCCAAGTGTTCACCAACTGCTATAAGATTATCACACACTATGAGTTTTAAGTAAGCCAGTTTAATATACTGTAATGTCAGCTGTCGGACGTAAAGAATATTAAAAGAAAAATGCAAACTAAAACTGAATTTCATAAAAGCAAAAAGTTCCGTAAGTCTAACCTATTTGACTTAATTGGATTCGTTTCAATACTCTGGTTCGTGGTACTTCCAATTCGTGGAAATGAATTAAAAGATTAAGAATTATTTTTATTACTTAGGGATTTAACGTTTGTTTATGTTAATTCTTCGTCAGTTCTTACCTCTTGGACAGAGATGCGTTCATTTTTGATTTTGTGATCATCAAACGGCAGCGTCGTCTGCTCGCAAATACCTGTTCGTTCGAATCACTTGGCGCAAATTTTGACTGCCTAATCGTAGAACGAAATAAATCTTAAGATGATCCGAATACAGATTTTTAATTTTCATAGTTATTTATTTAAGTGGTTTAGTTGGACTAGCGATTAACCTGGTCATCGTTTATTGCTATCAACCTAGTAATAAATGGGCAAGGATTTTACAGTCATTTTTAAAGAGCTCTCTTATGCTAAATGTATTGCAATGACGAATGACAGGAGCGAGAAATGGTGATGTTTGTATCTATTTTCTTTGTATTGATGCAAATATAGAAAAAATGTTAGTAGTTAATAGAAATTTGGCATTGTTAAAATATGCGCTCACGGCGTGATTGATCCTAAAATATATACGGTAGTTGCCTTTACAGAAGCTGTACAGGAATTAAACATACATCACAATGTAGTGTAGAGTATGCAAAACGATACTGTCACCCGGTATGGTACTTACTAAGGTTTATTTCCGCATGCACTGTCTGTTTTGTCGTGCTCTATCGAATGACCTTTGAGGCGCTAAAAGTTATGATGAATATTGCCTTCCACTTTTTACGAACAAGAACGTTCAGTTATAGCCATATCTCTTCTATCAATTAACCATTTTTCTATATAAACGTATTACAGCGCTTCACTTCTAAGTTGCTCAATCCTAAATGAGCTAGAGCTAAAGCACCATTTATAGACATAGATAACAAAGGTTTGTATCATACGAAAAAACTCAAAATATCGAGGATCCTTCCCTACTTTCAATGTTTCGAAACAAGTTCAAGATACATGTGGACTTAAACCTAAAAGTTTTGTACTCATTGGTTTGACAATATGCAAATAAGGGAAGAGGTACTAGATTTCTTACTGTAGTTCAATATTTATGTATCACCATGTAAAGCCTAACTTATCCAAAGTGCTAAGGTTTTTGAATCGTTCTAATTCTGATAGAACCAAACCTCGAGAGAGGTTTGGTTCTATCAGATGGTTGCATTTTTATTGTCTCTTCCACTGAAGTAATATCATCAAATCACAACACGCCCAGTTGGAGAGATGTAAAGATGAGATGCGTGTTTTCATTTACGCCTTCTGCTTTCGCCAGCTGAAGTTCGCCAACACCGACCGCGTCAGCTAGATTTAGCTGAGGTTCTTTATAAGGTTTGTCTATTAGACTGACAAGGAACTAGCTCTTATATAAAGACTAACTGTAATTATTTTTCAGTTACCTTGCTTAAAGGCCATTAGATACTTGGTCTGTGAGATGAAGACCTCTGATAAACTAAGAAATGTCCATTGTTGGCAGAGGGTTGAAATTAACTAAACGAATCAAGTAATTGCAACTGATACGACGAATACGTAAACTTTATAATAACGTAAAAATTATAGGCTTAAAAAATAATGCATTAACACTGAAATATTGAATTAGAGGCCCGCGATTAGGAAAGGCTATTAATTTACTTAGGCCGAATTTATTAAACAAAATGTATAGCATAACACATGCTGTTTAGCATACACCATATTCGCTGTAGGCGAAAAACCCTCTGAAACATAACAGAAATGTTCTTTTAGTGACCGATGTATGATGAGTCTCGCCATCGGGAACTTCAGTCTTGATTTCTTTTAAAGTGAAAGCCTAATAATAAAATTACACCAAATCATATAAATATACGATTCGCAGAGCCATGCTGAATGTTTTATTTTCCATAACTCAAGTGCAGTTCTTTTGCCTTATAGGCCTTATCTGCTTAGGCTGATATTTCGTGCTGCTTGTATGGTCAACGTTACAACTAGTGAAAGTTTCATTTATGTGCTCTTTTAAAGATGTCACATAAATAGCTTCGTATTCCCATAAATGCTCTGTGCTCTCTCGTTGCTATTCGCGATAACTGTCAACTACAACCATATGTACATCTATGTATTGGGTAAGTAAGAAAACATAACTTGCTAGTTAAGATCATTGCAAAAATATAAACAAAAACAGCGTTTCATTTAAACTTTATTCTTTTTACTACATGAAGTACACTTTAATTGTACGCTGTTTTCTGCCTAGACTTCTAAACACGGGAGACACTATCTGCAATCAAATTAAAAATTATCTAGTAGACTCATCAAACTTTAATGTCGCTGTCCTCTTTCATATTTAAATGACGATTGCTACATCCGGTATTTGGGTAAGCTGCACGAAGCTAAAAAGGCGGTACCACCTGCACTGCTGATCTGCAGTACTTTAATGATAGATGCCACAGTGGGAACATGATACGCGGTAATAATAGAGTTAAACGTTGAAAAAGCAATTGGATCGCATTTTTCAATGCAATATTATAAACTAAGGGCAACGTCAGGCCCAGCATAATGAACCCGATAAAGTATGTCTTCGGCATACACCAGGGGCATTCTCTCACTGATTTCGGTTTGCACTGTATCATCGTGTCGTCATAGCGCTTCCTCTGTCGCTGTTTAGATCTCAATAAACGCAACGCTCTATATTTGTCAGAGCCCAATAACGACAATAAATAATAGTAACAGTAACTAATATTATTGTTACGCTAATTTTCACTTGTGTATGCATTCGTCATTTATTTATCTACTGTTGCTTTATTAGTCGTGAATTCAGCTTTTTATATTTGTAAAAGATTCAGCGTTTAGAAAAACAAGTTTCAACCAAGGCATATCAACCCAGAATACATTCGGCCACCAGACCTCAGAAGCTGCCTACAAATAGAACATTATCCGAAGTAGAATTAACTTAAAAACAACTTCCAAAAAATATACGATGTTAACGTGTAAAAAAAACAGTACACTACCAATGTGCTTCGACTTCAACTTTTACAAATGAAAATCAATTCATTTTAAGTGAATCGTTAAGATACAACAATTCAACGTTAACACTCTCTAGGTATCACCTAAAAGAAGTTGCGTTTACTCTAATAATTAATCTGGTACTAAAAGAAATAATGTTATAGTAAGGATAATAATCATGCTAGCGTTAAATATTAATCTGTCCTCAAGAAATAAATATCAAATTGTGCTATATTACCAACTCCTTTTTTTATTTTTATTGTTATTATTATTAGGAATAATTGATGCAACTCAAATCGCTTCTTATATTCGTACATAAACACTTACCAGTGTGTGGTCTGAGTACTAAAAATGGCGCATCAAAAAGGGCGGTTAATGTTTCTTTATACCATGTCTATGTGCGTATGTCACGGCCTTATGATAAAAGAGTCTATGTGACATCTTAATGAACACACATTTTATTTTATTTTGTGTATAAATAAAGATTTTATGGAATGGTTTCGCTCTTCTATTTCGCTACTCAGTCCACGCAGCTGATTTGATAATTTGTGCAATTTCTCTCTCGAAAAAAGGCGACACTGTTTCTTCCATCACAACTAAACTGCCTGCGGCAGCCACGTTGAGAAGCAGCGCAAGAACGTGGCGACGTTCCGTGGCAGGTCCGAATCTCCGCATTCGGCAATTTTCCAAATAGGTCAAACTGGTGTTAACATGATACTATCTTTGTCCCGTTTCAGACATCCGTTTTGACATTTTTGCGTTAATATTCGAGCAGTGAGCCAGTCGGATGCCATAGATGCACTGGCGGGGCTGTGCAAACGTCGTTGAGATGGTTCTTCAAGGTGTGGCCAACGTACAATTTCTCATCTGGCAAGTACGTAGAGAAAAAAGTCAGTCAGTACCCGTCGCATAAAACCTTTCACAGGCTACGGGGAGAAACATATCCCGTAAGCGCAAAGATGTCAAACCGTCATCAAATGTTTACCACGTCAAAATGCATGTCCGATGGCATACGTTGACGAAAATAATTTCATTCTTTGTCAATGGGATGGCCTTTTAGGAATCCGAATAGAGTATGATGAATTAGAACGCCTTTTCGGTGCTTATCAATGCCAAGTGTGGCTTCATAAACAATATGTAATATTGCAGTTGAAAAGGATTTTATTATTCGATGTTAACATTTTGTCAAATCCCACAGCTTTTACCCGAGCAACGTAAAGATCACAGTCGCCCCCGTACCTTCCAAAAGTTCCTGCGCCCATTTGCGCAGGCAGATTACTGCCATGGATGGTTACAACGCAATCTTCAAACCGTTAATCTCTCAAAAGATCTGCTGTATTAGATACTAAATTTATAATAATAAATGAAGTATTATATATGTTATAATTCTGTGATTTTTCTATAGACGTAATATCAATTTATGTTTTATACTATCTTCGCCACCAAAATGCCAAAAAACCAAGATACAGACGCTGGAACGGACCTGGAGAAGCAACGAGAGCAGTATATACTTAAACAGCAGGTATCTACTTATAGGCCAGTAACTGAAAGAATAAAATATGCTGTTCAAAACATAAAAGATCTAAAAAAAGCTTATCGAGAGGAACAAAGGAACGCCTTATCTGGGTAACTTGACATAAATATTCAAATCGTCAATTAAGAACAAAACGTATTTATATATGTACCAGTCATACGACATCTAATAAGATTCATACCAGTATACCTTAGCACAGTATAAGTAGCCATACGTATGCGTTGCCCGAGTTGTATACCCCAACCCTGAAGGTTTCTTATAAACCGCAGTTGGGATTTAAAGAACGCCAGGGTGAACAGCTAATTTTGTTCACAATGAGACATCTAAAAGGTTCTAAGTAGGAGCATGATTTCAGAAGTGCCCTATTGATCATGAGGCAACTCAGGGAAATTCCATAGCACCATTCGTGGCGTAGACAAATAATCTGCTCGTTTAAGTCAGTGCACGCATGTGGAAGTTGCAGAGCATATGCTGACTAGGATTCCAACATCAGCATAAAATAGAATAATCGCAAGCTTTCCTTTTATTATTTAGACATGGACTTACACAGAAAGAATCAATCTTGAATGAGAGGAAATATTGAAGCGTGGCGTCGGTTACCAGTTAAGCTTATTCCAAGAACGATTGAGTATTCGTCAGGCATCATGTCAAAGTCAGCCAAACAGAGGCAGAATGTAACTCTCCCGAAATCAGAATCAGAAGAAACTACTCTAGTAGATTCATATTAGTGAATTAAAATCTATTAGCAAATTTACGGCTAGGGAAAATGTACAGGGCACAAAAGAAATCACAAAATCGTCTAGATCGCTACATTCGAATCACAATTAAGATACAATTTATCAGTGCATAGAGCCACTTATCTAAAAATTATAGAAATATTAGAATACCACAAAATATTTACAGCAGAATACTTATCCTGGTAAATCCGGAAAAAATATTTAGCGCGCTCCACCGTTGAAAAACGTTTTTTTGCTAATGCCACTACGCAATGTAAACCGTGGCCAACTAGAAATGGACATGCTAATGCGCACAATGTGCGTTTGAATTTGTACTTCGCGCCATCTAGAAGACGATTAGAAAAACAAAAAAATTACACTTATTCGTATTTGAAGCTGCAAAATTAAGTTAAGAAGTTCAAGAATAACCAAATCAAACAATCGCAATTAGCAAAAAAAGGAAAAGCAATTAAAGAATTCCTAGCAGCACTTTGTCCTAGGCAGCTCAGAAGAGCATTTGTCGAACGAAGTATGTAACAGCTTTGAAAAATCTTTAATTCGAACTCATACTCAAAGCTTGGGTAATGATAAGAAAAGCGTGTCACACTTATATAGATAAGTAGACACTTTTAAAATCATTCAATGTCGCGGCAACTCTTCATTTCAGAAAGAGTTGTCACCCACTAGAAAATCCAAAAATAACTAATAACTTATGGTATCAACAAGCGCCATCCTCAGCACTTAGATAATATACAATATTATATTCGACAATAAGAAAAAGATGAATAGAAGGAAACAAGTATGAAAGTCTCCAGAAACAGGATATTCAATTCGCTTCAGAAGGAAAGAGCATCGTGGACTGCGCAGAAGGTTTCTGCGATTAGGCGCGAATGACAAAGTGCTTAGTCGAAACTCTGAAAAGCTTCATCGGGCTTTTAGTCGTTGCTGGAATCCGTTTATGCACTATTTTTGGCGTCAGGATCCAAGACAAGATTCGTCATGGCAGGGGCACAGGGAATGAAAGTCTACAAAGGCGAGTTTACGTATATCGTCGCTGCACCTCATCGCGACCTCGCGTGCTGCTTGCGAAAAATTCGCAGATTTTCCTAAAGCAGAGCGGAAGATCCTAAATAAGGTTGAGATTTAAAGATTTTAAGGATTTATCGAAATTGCATAAAAAGCCATTTTCAGTGATCCTAGACGATCCCTGTATTCTTACTACAGAAATTAGCGATTGTTTTCAAGAGGAGAATGTCCATTTACTATCGTATCGTTCCAATAAGCTATAGCGACATTTTCAATACCTTTGCGGCTTTTTGGTCTCTATGGACTTGTGTTTTATACTTCTTTTTAATCTGAGATCAGTATAAAACATGATACTACTAGGTTATTTTTTGCGGAGTTTAACTGCGTGAAAATTCAATGAGACTACGCATACGAATATCGCCTGACGCACAATGACTATTAAAAAATTATTTGCACAATAAGAAAGTACGTTTCACAGATAACTAGTGAGTGGTAGGAAGCGAATCGAAGACGGGATCGTGGTGAACGTAAGTCTCATTAAATAAACCTAAGCATCAGGAATGGTATTTTCAGTACATGTAGATAGAGTACTAAAAATAAATTTTCAGGGAAATTCAGATTTTGTACTGATTACCCATGTGACGGGGTTGGCAGGAATGTCATGCCTTGAAGGCATCGCACCTGACATATAGAGTGCAGCGGTGGCATCTGTCGACGTGACCACAGTTGTAACCAAAAAAAATGTTTTTACGTTTATTGTGAAATAATTCATCTTACAACGATAAACAGGGTAGAAAAATAAAAGCCGATTTATGAAGTACTGTATCAAAAAAAAACCAATAGCATACTCTCTTTTTGTTGGTAACGACCGTTCCGTGGTCACGCTTGTGGCGCTACATTCGCCTGCCAACTATTCACTAACCTTTTATATTTTTGAAAAAAAAAATCGAAGTAACGTTGAGCGTGAGTTTTGCGTTAAGTGCGAAATTGAGTACCTGCTGGCAGCGCCAATGCTATCGTAGATTTTGTAGTCAATGTCGAGTTTTCGAGTAGTCAAAACTGTTTTGCGAATTATTAGAAAGTCCGGCTTTTATTGTAGGCGATTTGGCGCAGTGAGCATGGTCACAAAACAAGTTATGCTGATAAATCGCCTCAGGAAGCTCGCAGAATTTCATCTCACACAAGTCATGCGGAGCCAGTTAACTTTTCATGTGTTTACACCACGAGTTCATACTAATTTAAATTATTAGATTGTTTTGTAAGTACTGTCAAGTTAGTGAGAATATAGAGATGTTGTTGCTAGTATAGGCGCATTGACAGACTAAACTCTTCGATTTTTATTTACTACTATTTACCCACACAGCCCCCGACAGAATGCGATACCGCCAGTGTGCATCTCTGGCATAAGTGGGTATGCAGGTTTGCGTTCGCAGTCCATTGTCAATGCACCTGGAACCGATCAGGCAGTGGTATAAGCACGTCTGGACCCCAAATGACGGTTGCTAAAATGTGAGACTTTCAGTCATTACTTACGACCCTTCTACTCAAGCGCTATGAGCCCAATGAAATCTGTCAGGTCATCCAGGCCTTATGGGCGATCTCTCCTCTTTCTGAAAAAAACAGGTTGCGACCGCTTCAAAATTTGGGGCGCTCTCCGATGCGGGCCTTACGTGAAGTCACTGCGTTCACAACAACAGGGATCATTTTGAAATCTTATTTAGAGTAGAGAAGAATCGTTGTAAGGGTTTGAATTCGGGGTGTGAAAAACTAAGGGGAAAAGCCCTAAATGGGTCAAAAAAGGCTCAATGAAAGCATTTGCTAGCAACTTGGCATTTTAAGCTAATCGTACTACGGTAGGCGTCTACCGAGAATTTCCTGGATACTTACTTCTTGCACGCCGCATCTTAGTACGATCTTGCCTAGCCGCAGCTGTCTGTTAATTTCACCAGTCCTTGAGATGCACAGGTTCAAATGCGCTGAAATGAACAAAATGCCAGTTGCATTTACGACAGATTCGTGCAAGCATCCTCTGTAGATCTTTAGACGGATATTGTTGAGTAGTCTATCTAGTTTGTGAGCGCTTCGATGGGTCTGGTTCTGAATCAGGGGTATATGCCAAGGAAGGGTTCGATGTGCAGCTAAGTAAGGTTACTTCGTTTGATAGGGGCTTACAAAACGTCATTCTGGCACGTACAAATCATCGGGGATTCGTGTCCGTTTTCGTGCATGTTCTCTCGTTGCCTGTGTTATGTACCATGCGGTTCTTTGTTACGTACTATTTAATCAATGAGTGCCCTCTGTGGTTTTATCTCTTAGATGTCTACACCGAAAAAGATGGATTGAGGTTTCTAAGCAAGCGATTTGTGGGAGAAGTCTGGAAAGCCGAAGTAAGTACTTTTAAAATCCGTCTATGTCGCAGTTTTAGCCAATGTAAAAAGAATATATCCACCCAGTATTAGCGAACTTCGCGTACAAAAATGTTTTAATCATCGGTCGGCCAGTTCGGCTTTGTGTTGGCCAAAACAACAGTGCTTGGTTCACTGACCGATCTTGATATTGTTGGTAGCAGATCGGCGCAGCGAAGATCGCCGGAATCTCAAAGAGAAGCAAAGCTTCGGCCGGCTGTGAGGGATAGGGCTTCAAACCCTGCAAGGACCATAGACGACGCTGCTTTGGTGATGGGGCTAAAGGTGTTAGCAAGGCGGAGAACCCAGAAGCAGATGGCGGTCAAATAATTCCATAGGCATCTAGCAAGTCTATTATTGAATCGTTATACCTGTCTATTTGAAGATCGGACCGATAGAGAGTGAACTTGATGGAGGGAATGATTCCGACGAGAGTAGGGCTCACTGTTTGGCCGATGGTAAGCCGAAATTTTTTTTTTTAATATTTAGGTTTCGAAAATATCCAGATGAAGTGTGTTCATCGTATACAAGATGGAAACAAAAGTCCAATCAGCTGAGTATCGCTTTTAAGGCGAAAAAGCCTGATGAAAAAAAACGAACCTTTCCACCTTTTGTCCTTCTAGAAGCTGTAAAGCGAGTAGAATTTAAACGATTGCAACATACGTAGTTAACACAGAGATAAGTTGTCGACGCTTTCTTGATACCGTGTTTGGTCAACTTCGAGCCATAGGAGGAACTATTTCAAATAGCTAATTAATTTGGGAGTTGACGATTGGACAAAACGATGTGATCCGTGAACATTATGGTGAAATATTAAGACGCAGGAAAAACAAGAATTCATTGTTGCAGCTCTTCCGTTTCGTCATTTTCATACCATTTATTATAGTTCACTAGTACTAAGCAACGTTATTTTCCACCTAGGCTTCGCCCAAACTACAGGCTCACCATCTACGTTTTGAAAATAGATTCTCCGTTTAATCAAAGTCTCACGATTTTTCTCTGCTGTTTTCAATAAGCGTTTAAAGTGGATCGAGAGAAAGCTTTGAGTCGTTGGGTGATCTTTATCATTAAGCATTTAATACAGCCTTAAGATTGGCCGAAATCTCCTTTATGACCAAAGGTCCTGGAATGTAGCAGACAAGGGTTAGAAGCTGGCTGGGTGCCGCGGCAATCGTATTATATGTCAGTTTGTGGGCAGCTTAAAGAACAACGATAACAGCAACATGTTAGTTGATAACATATCCTTAGACACACGGATAACACCAGGTTTTCGTGATATAGAAATAAGTCAAATCCTAATGTCAGAGCACAGAGAAAGCATTGAGGAAGTTCATCCGTCAGAGAATATCATTCGCGTCGCGCATACATTTTCATTAGATGGTTGTATACATTATGACCAATGCCGGAAGTTGACAAAGATAGATACATTGTTTGTCTTAAATCCTAGCTTTTATTCAACATTACTAACGTTGCCAACATTTACCAAAGCACTACATTAGAGGAACGATATCTGAGTTAAGAATGAGCAAAAATGATCATTCTCTAAAAACGGGAACTCACTGGCAACCAATAGCATAGCAGACCGGCCCCGAAAACACTCGTAAATTCACATTTAGTTGCCATTACAATAAATGAAGTATATATATTTAATTTTACAAATGCGGTTCGCCTGCCAATTATCATTAGCATCTGCTGAGTTCATTTCAAGCATAGCTTCGTTACCTGGATTTTTTTAAGCTGACCGTCGATTGCATTCCAATACGACTCGTTTCCTGGAATCGGCTTTTGATATTACAATCAGAGTTAGCAAAACCTTGCTGAGGTTCTTCCAGCCGACCTGAAGTTTTCACATGCAGTCCTAAACAACGTTTCAAAGGTCTAACAGCCCGTTTCAGTACGAAACGAGGCGTGGCTGCGCCTAGTTAGGAAGCTATGCAATCTCATATTTCTCTAAGTTTAGTAGGCAAACGCGCTACCAGCGGGACACTTTGAGCACGGTTCTAAGCGAAAGGACTACAAGTGTGGGGCTTCTTCAGAGTGGCCATCCAAAGGCGCTGGTTGGAAGCGTCCATTTGTTTGAGTGGATTATTCTGCATCCGTTCTCTTCCTTTTTTCAAATAGCGTACATTATGCATCTTTTATGCGTTGTCGACACATCGGATTGAATAAACCCGTCGAAGCTAGCGTAAACGATGATTTGTCTGTCATCGCTCACTTCAACGAAGTGACGTTCTTGCAAGTCCGACACCGCGAGTGAGCGACCTACGACACCCTACTGAATAACATAACACGCATGACGGCACAGAAAAATCTGATTTTATGGTCCTCATACAACGTAATCTTGCATCAGGATTCTTCTGTTTGTACTACGTAATGTATATCGCATTACATTGTATTATATAATTAGTTAATTTGAAAATAATACAAATGAGATAGTAAAGAGCTCCTGGTGAGGAGGAAAATTACATACGTTAAAATGACAACGGTAAAATCAGTTTTGACCTAAAAACTTTTTATTTGTATTGTAAACGTACTTAACATCTTCAGCTGATGACCCGTTTTGGCTCATTAACAAGTATTGTAATAAAGTTTCAATTAGAGCCACTATCTCAGGAAGAGTGGAGAAGAAATATGCGATAAAAAGTTTTCCACGTATCAGTAATATAATTGATAATTCAAAGTACCTAACATCCTTTCATTATTCACTGACCAATATTCTCAAACCAGCATATCGAACAATATTATAACCAAATTATAAGCTATTCCAATTCGTGACTTGCAATATTGCTTAAGTTTATAATTTTATAAGTACCTTCAAGTGTTCGTTGAATAATACTAAGTACTCCTGAACATATTCTTCTAGTCTTAGGAACTTAAAGCTTATTTTAGTGGACACCAATATACGAGCTACATATTTATAGCCATTATAATGTGTACAATGATTTTCATTTTAGTTAAGATTCAATCATACCTGTTACTTTTTTCAACTTACGAAAAAGCTTCTTATAATTTAACCAAAATATAATTTCAACGTATATAGAAATACTCAATCTATAAACATTCATAGCATGGACTTTTTAGAATAAATCATCCGCGAATGAAACGTCCCGTTGATGGTTATGAAAACAGGTTAATTCGATCATAAAGGACTGCCACGCCCTGTTCCAGGTCAATGCAGTCCGCGAATTTATTATTTGCTTTATGAATTCAGGCAAAAAGTTTATGTAGCCAAAAGACTGTCAATATTAGACGAAAGGATTGCACCTTGTCCTTTTTATTACGCATGAAGTAGCTAGCCGTTCCTTAAATGAAAATATTATCACTATTTCTACAATTAAGTATGTGTTCGATTCAGTAACCATAATATTGTCAATATGATCGACTACATTTAGGTATTAATACAATTAAAATTCGAGCTCAGTCTTTCTGAGGGTGGTAAAGCTTAGAACTCTATAAATATTTTTTCAATGAAATTGCATGTAACGAACTTCGGTCGCCTTCATGGTGAATATGAATAGGAATGAATAAGGCACAGCTGTTTTTGAATTACCTGACAGTCAAGCCATTCTGTTCCTAAGATGCATCACGCTTGCAATTAGAAAGGCATTATGTTAATTATAGTTAACTGGCACTCACCAGCGAGCGAACTTTATCACTTATATACATATTGCACACTCTAGTATCCACTAAACATCTAATAAATCACTAAACATTTAATGGACAACTTTAAAGTTAACTGCGTGAGTGTAGGTACGATCAGTTACAGTGGTTAGGGATTCTTTACAAGTCTCACAGTTACTCAAGTTACTGGTCAATTTATAAGGAGTCTTCTTAATGGTCTAATTTCATTTCAGGTCTAACAGATTTTCTAAATGGCCAACCAGCGTCAATACGCGATTTCAGTTCTCCCTATCTCATCCTTTGGTTTTGGTAGCTGTTACTACTACCTAATCGGCCTTATCGAATATTATTACCATAATGTTTTTTTTTTTTAACGTCTTTAGCTATCCCCCTTGGATGAACAAATTTTCAGAATCGCCTCTTCGATATAACCTCGAAAAATGATTCTATTAGACCTCTAACAGAACCCTAAAACGGCGATAGGCAATATGCCGTAGTAGTCATAATAATAATAATAATAATAACGTTATATTCATAATTACGATGGCACCGAACTCAAAGAGATCTATTATTATCCATTAGCTACCCAGAGTACGTATATCATTCTTTTAGTCCACTCTCTTGAAAACGGATTGATTTGGCCTTAAAATGCGACAATTTTCAATGAAAATAAGGAATTATCGTAAGTGATTTAGTTTTGATTACTAACAAAAGTTTTATTCCATTCTCCCCTTGCATACATGATAGCTGATATCGCTTTTTTGCAGTTTTTCTTACTCCATACGGGGCGCCGTTAAATACATATTTACAAAAGACAAATATACTACTATTGATAACCGTTAATAAATATGCAAGCTTCTCTGTCTTTCATTTCACTAAAAATCAAACGCTGGAATATAACCTACAATAGTAATATTACATTCAATAAATATATTTACATTTATTTAATGGATAATGTTTTTGGTACACATAAATTAAAATAATTAGTTAGTAATATCATAATCTGCCGCTTGCAGGCTTCTTTGCCTGATGTGATCCTTGTACGCCCTGTATTCAATCTTACGTGACTTTACGACATACGGCATTTTCGACTCAAGTGCAGTATGCTGCTTGCAACCAGTGATGGCATGGCACGAAACTGCGTCGGTCTCGACAGGACTTGCAATATATGTCAGATTGTGTGAGACTTTACAATCCTTATTTTGTTCCAACTTGTATAAAAATGCTACACTTCCGGTCATCGAATCATACGCAAATTGCAGGTAGGTTAAAAGTAAAACGGATTTAGTAGCTGATCAGGCCTAAATGTGATCCATTTGAGCGTTTTTCGACGGCGTTATCAGCCATTGGTTTACTCCTTCCTGAGAAAGTTGTCCGAGAACATTTTGCATAGAACGTGTTTAACTTGATTAAGGTGATCTTATGGATCGTCGCCCGAACTTGCGATCAACATGTCATACAGCCGACGCACCGCTCCACGTTAATTCCTGACCACCATTTCTAAGCCGAAGCTGGAAATATGCGTCAATAAATAAACCATGTTTTCGAATGCTCCTTCGGCCGGTCTATGTTATGTTTCGTTTCGGCTTCTGACGTCACAGCCTAGGGTATTCAGGCCCGGCCTCTTTTAGCTCCAGCTTCAGTTTATTATTGTCTGCTGCGGAAAGCTGTCAAGCGCATGTTTTTTATAGTCTTTCTAGGAGTAGTTTTAGCTCACCTCGATTCTGTTCCTTTCATGATGAAGCTAAATCACCCTGAGCAGCCAATTGAACACGAAGCGCAGATATCTGAAAATTCTCAAGAACTTTTTGATTTGTCATTACTACCCATGCCCGGAACTCCGTGATATTATCGTTAGTCTTCATCTGATAGGTTACCTTGCCTTCAGCTTCGATGCAGTGCTTCGAGGAATAGGAGGCAGGCGGGATAGTGTCCAGGTGCATTTGTGGACAGCTTGACGTTACCTAGCGGACTACTTCTTAGCCGTATCACTGTGCACGAAAAGGCCAAGTCAATCATTGGCACCCGTCGTACCTTTAATTTTGCATATATTGACGAACAACTTCTCAGACGGTTGCCAGAAGTATATTTGGCTTTATAGATGTAGTTACGACATATCCGTTATCGCAGTTGACGCCTCTCTCTCTAATCTCATGTATCCCACTCTGTCCTAGTTCGGACCTTTTCTCTAAGGGGTCCTGTCCTTCTCGCAACAGATCTACGTTTTGCTGCGTGCCTTTTTATCAGCACCAGCACAAAGCACGCAGTGTGTGATACGTCCCCGTAGAACACGCTAATAGCTGTCGACATGATGGCGTTTGGCGCTGCTGTCGAATCAGTTTTTTGTGTGGTCTCCGACACTAGCTAGAACTTTCATATTCCTGCCTTTGTCTCAAGTGTCTGTACGCACTTAGCTGAACAAATATACGTAATGCCCATTTTTCAAGTCCCAAAACTTTCTGTAGCACTTTGTCGAACGTAGCCTTTTTTCGAAGTCTTAGACACATGGACAATTTCTGTATCGGGGTACTGGCACACTTTCAAATAACGATAACGTCAAGGACTTCGTGCTAGTTGATTATTATAGCAATTAAGCAACCTTTGGCAACCGCGCCAAACTACTCCGCTGCTATTTTTGGGGTCCCTGGAATAAATTACTTATTCGGCACCACTGGTCTTACACACCGTCTAGTGCTTTCTTCTCCGCTTGTTTCAATTCTGCACACAGCATTTGCTTATTCCGGACTAAATCAACAGAGAACAATCAACAACTTAAAGTAACTGAACGGCTAACAAGCCCGGATACCACCCGTATTATGATGACGAATATATAATTACCTTTGTTTAACATTCCATAAAATGTTATCTATTATATAATTACGTAAACCTTATGATCAGTTTTAAGCTATTCGCGATACGTTAAGGACCGTATATATGTGGTTCAAAGAGGAATATAAAATTACATTCGATTGGCTACCTGAACGGTTTCATTAAAAATACAGTTTTAGTTATGGATATGGAACAATTTATTACACTAGAATTTTATATCAATTGTTATTTTGTCTACTTATATATTAATTTAATTTATGCTGGTGGTGGCTTTGAAGGGACATTAGACTTAGTGAAGAATATGGCCGCTACAAAACCTAAGGTTACAACGATCGTTTGCGCAGTGTTCACGGCGACCACTGTTTCATAGCTAGAGAAATCTAGAATAATTCCAGCGACAAGCGGGCCAAGCGTGCTACCTAAAGCAGTCATCGGCGTGAAAATGGCTGATAGTACCGCGTACGTCTCTTTTGTTTCGGCTCCATTAGCGAGGTACTTCAGCGAGTGTAGGTAACAGCAGACATATGCGGGCCCTGTGCCGAATCCGAAAAGAGCCTGCGCCATATAAATCGTTTGCCTTGTTTGTTTGATAGGCATCAGGGGTGCCTGAATGGCCAGTGCCACTACGATGAGAATCTGGCCTGGTAGAACTAGACAACGCGGATCTGCCACTTTGCGCGACAGGTAACCGAGAACTAAGCTTGAAAAAGCATACAAACTACCAGCATAAAAAAACACGAAGCCGGATTCCGACGCGCTCATTCCGAACTTTTCGTTAAGTCGGAACGCCAACGTCGATTCGTTAAACGAAACGAGCATGGACGTGTTAAACGCGCAGATGATGTTCATGATAATCGGGGCTTTCATGGCTGACCACATACTGGGCGGCTTATCATTCACCGTGTCGAGTGGAATCGGTCTTGGCTTAGGAAAAATGAGGAGACCCAGAACGGTTAACACCAGAAGTGCTCCGCCTAACGTCAGGAACGGCAGGGTAAATCCGCCATAATCGTAGAGTATGCCACTTATTGCTGGCCCTACCATAACAGATACCCCGTATACTGTCTCAATGATAGGAATGACGATATGATTAATCTCGCTCATCTCAGCGCCAACAATGATATACAGCATGAAGAAACCTATGGCACAGCCGATAGCTTCTAAAAGGCGCATGGCAAGAGCAGACCCGAAAAATGGATAGCCGCTTGGTACTTTACTTACTGCGGCCATGACCATGCAGAAAATCGCGTCTACTGCCCAGCCAAAGAATAGGATCATTTTGTCCATGAAACGTCGCGTTGTAACTAGCTTCGCGGTGATTGGTGTTACAAATATAATGACGAAGCAGTAAGATCCCATAATTATCCCGTGCTGACTGGAGGAAAGGTCTTTTTCAACAAGAGCATACTTGTTGAAGAACGATGTTAGATGAGAATAGGTCGAACCCTGAAGAAAGCAGCCTACAAGAATGAAGAAAAGCACCACGGTTCTCTTCCCAAGTGGCAATGGTGATGATTTTCCGTGCACTGTAGCTGGCCCGCACATCTTCGAACTTAATCTAGTAATTTGACGTAACACGCTAGTCGTACCTTTTTTTTGCTGATTTCAAACACAAACAATCACTATGTCAGTTCTATAACTAATTTCATAATCATGAATAATAAATTAATAAACTCGGCTCACTGAGAAGATTAATATGCGCTCTTCAACTACCCCCAAGTGGGGTTTCGAAGCATCTATTTCAGAGGCGGTCAGTGACAAGAGTACATGTCGGCTCCACTTTGTCAGTGGTCAACCTCTGCTATCACAACTACTATTTGCACTGAGTGGTGAGAGGCGCTAAGAATAAGATCGTATTCTAAGCATGTTAAACATTGAAAACTAAGATAGAACACTTTAGTATATGCTGTAAAAGCTGCCGCTACTACTGCGATCGGAAGAGGTTTAAAGATCATTCAGGATTCAAGGAAAAATTACGTCATTAACGATGATAAATGGCAAGTCATGGCAAGCCCTGGCGAGCAACATGCTGCCGAATAGAGGAAATCCCCCCCAACTGCGTCACCCTGTACACATATCCCCGCATGACTTGTTTACGATTAGTTATTAATCTAAATCTGTATCTGGATTATCGAATGTCACCTTATAGTCATAACAAACATGTTACAGATGCGTCAAAGGTGGTAATCATTAAGCTTTAATCTTTTTCTAGCAGACAAAGATATATTTTGTCTTCTAGAAGTTTCAGTCACATGCCTTGGGCAAGAAGGACATAAAAGAAGTTGATAAGTGCATTGTCGATGACGGCTTTTCCGTGTTTAAGCAGTGTGATCTTATGCAATTTGTGCAAAGGTGATAACATCACGATTTGCTCTCTTCTTGCGTTAACTATAACCCAGATAACTAAAGATGATCATTAGTTTGACGCAGGCTCAATTAGTATCGTATAAAAATCGTATTCAGTCGTAGCCTGAACTTGCCGTACACAGTAAGCTTTAAAGTACGACAAGCAAAAAAAACAGTAGATTGACAGCAGATTATTAAAACAAATTATAATAGAAATGAATACAGGACCACTTTCATCCAAAGTCGTTGCTTGTACCATCACACTGCTCCACAGAGTGACACAGCTTGCGTTAATCTGTTCCTCGCCGACACACAAAACTTGTGACCTCATAGACCGCCTGCTGACAATAACTGAAGAACTAACAACAATAATAGAACGTGAACATGGTAGAGTCATTTAGCGTCATTAGAGCCTGTTCCGCGTCGACTGTTTTAAACATACTAGGAAAAAGAACGGACAAGTTAGAACGACGTTCCTCGGCTTTCTGTCGATCGGAAACTGGGACAGCTTGGTACGGATCCCATATGACGCCCCGCAGCCACTTCTCGGCACTGTCCTATGCGACGACAACTCGGCGTTAGACGCTCAAATGCTTACCAGGTAAAGTTCTGCATGTTAAGGCTTATACATGACCAGAGAAACTATTTCCAGAGATTCACCAATGATGAAGCAGTTACGTTGAGATAAAATCTGGATCGAATCCACTAAGAAACGTATGTAATGGTTGAGAGGACGTAAGTAGCAGGTACAAATATCTAAGCTTACGAATTCACCGACTAGCTGGTGAACATGTCAGAAAGTACGATCGCAGATTAGCAAACGTATATATCCAAAACCGCATTGATGTCTAAAAAAAGAATGTGATAAGCAAAAGACCTCGTGCCGAACAGAGAACGTTGACAGAGCGATAAGCAGAAAACGACCAATTACGGAACTCGGAACGTTATACGATACAGTGACCCACAATTCATCGTAAAAATATAGTTGTGTATGATACACGGAGCTCTATTAGGCGCCAAAAAAATATTTACGACAGGTGATAGCGAAAACGCACGAGTAGTCAGCGTCGTTTTTGAATCTGTATACGGATCAAAAAACGAATTGCTACAGCGCAGCCAATCGGACCCGCCTCTGCTTCCTGAAGGCCCCTTCCGATCTGTTGTCGATGATTCGAATGTAAATCGAGTGAAGATTCTTGGGCATCCGAAGCAACTAGAATTCAGCGCTAGCGAGGCCCCAAGCAGGCTTCTGTCATACTTTTTAAGAGCTTGGAATCTCAGAATTCGTCCCTATTTCACGAATTTTCAAGTGACCTATCGAAACTTCTTAAGTGTCAGGCCGATTCTGAATAGCCGAATGGTGTTACCGGGGAATAAGAAAAAATTGAAAATTGAGACTACCAACAAAAGGCCAGTGTTACTGAATAGAGTAGCATATAAACTGCTAAATAGCATCACCCGTGCGACCATATGCAAAAACGCTTACGAACAAGGATTGATACCTACTGCCTAATTCGCCTATAGCCCGAGACGAAGTACCGATCCGCAGTTATTGTAAACGCAATTCGAATTAACAAAGTTCACCAATGTGTTTCACGGTTTCAGGGTGATGTACTCTGACTTTCAAGTCAGCGTTCAAACGAATACCTCATTCTACCCATCTTAAAAATGCTTTCATAACGCTGCTCGACTGATGAAGTGAATTCAGTTTTCTCAGAGACCGGACCTTCCGTTGGTGCTTCGTCATTTGAAGAACATGCTATGGTCTAGGTTCGAACCCTGGCATAGGCACACTTCGTTTCGTGCTAGCAGCCACCCGTTTGATGGAACGTCTAACAACGATACCGGACCTAAATCGAGAGAGAAGGAGGCTTAGAACATTGTAAGATGCGGTTTAAGCCACCTTAGGTTGTCCTCAAGGCACAATATTTTTTTATACAATTTATATATTTTATATTATTAATTCAATGATACGCATACTGTTCCTACCGGCATTCGTAAACGCAAGAACGGTAACGTAGGAATATATGCAAGAGCCGATAAAGACGATGACGGCTTGCTGTTACTAGGTGTCTTGGACGAGTTCTAAAACTGTCGATTGAAGACCGTGCCCTTCTAAGCAGTGGTAAGAACTATGCTCGATTTAGGGGTTGCCACTACAATCATCCTAAAATATACAGCACATTCTCCGTGCAACACCCTGCTCTGACTGCATCTCACACTTATTTCTTTTAAGAGACCCAACCCTATCCAATTATTTAAGATCTATATCAAGCCATGTATGATATACGTAACATCCGTGTTGTATCGACGCTTGAAAAAAATACGCTGAAAGCCTCGACAAAGCTGAGAGCACGCATGAGTGCGCAGGGTAAAACGCGCTGCCTTCGAATGACCTGCATGTTCTGAATTTTACGTCCGGTATCTCTGTTAAGCATTCCATCAGACAGCTGGCTCCTGGCCTACAAAATGAAGTCTGTCTACGCCCGGGGTACTAGCATGGGTGACCTACGGCTGGCAGGCAAATACGCTACGCTTTCTTCGAGTATCGGTGTGAAGAAAACGAGTTGAAAACTCTACCAGCTCATGATGGATTCTATGTTTCTGATAAATAGATGTTCGAACATATCTTTAAACAACTTTAAAAATTAAAAACACGACCGAGACAAATAGCAGATCTCGCAACAAGGTTTCATCAAAAGACCGGCAAACCATGTGTAACTGACGCATTTCCATGCAGAGTCTTCCATGTACTGTGCAGGCTATCATAGTACAATATAGCATACTTGTTGTATGCATACGTGCACCACTGTAATAAAACATTTGAATAAAATATGTAATTATATTAAGATATTTTGAATTTAGGTATGCATTAAAAAATAAGCAAACTTTAGTAATTTCACCAACATAAAATAATCGAACCTATTATCCTGCTTATTATCACAGCTAAAAAGTGACTTTATTATACACATTATACCACACAAATGCTTGCGCAAACGTGGACGTTTATATAAGAGCAAAGCGTGAGGCTATTTAATCTTAATAAAATGTTAATATTGTGGACCTGTTTGAATTACGACCAATGCTTCTTCACGACCCATTTCACTAGACTACGAAAAAAGTCACCGCCGTGACGGCTACCTAATAGGTTTATATATTTAATACGTACCATATCATATGACCTGCGTTGAGCGTTTGACTTCCGACTGAATGTCTCGTACGTAGGCAAATCGAGATCCCTTCTAGGTGCTTCACCTTCGGGAGGGGTGGCACTCGATTAAGTTGGGCCTAACGAAACCCCGCCGAGAGCGACTTATGGACTCGATATTTAATTCAGCAATTACTTACGACTTTCTGCTTATGCTTCTATAGATTAAGTATCATGACTAACACTATCATAACTTAACGGCTGCACTTTTGTACCTTCTAAATAGTATATACATGCGCAAGCTAATACAGAGTCTATATATATATATATATATATAAAGACGGCTATCTAGTCAAGAGCAACCTCAAAATGACGCCAATAAAAACAAAGAGTACTTACGTTATCTTTCTTTATTAAAACTTTATACATTCAACATTTTAAGTAAGGTATAACACTAATAAGGTAGGTTTTCTTAGCCTTCCTCATGGCAGTTAATCGCTTCAACCTGCTTTTTTAAGTATACGTCTGGCTTTACCTTGAAATAATGGCAGAGATATTTTCCCCAAGTTTTTCTATCATCTGTAGTACCCCCTGTTTGTTAGGTACCCCCATGAATAGAAGTACAGCCGAGTTATGCCGCATAATCTAAAAGGGTATCCAATATCATCCAGCCTGGAGATCAGCCGTTCACCGCAGTGATCTCTTCAAAACGCAATTACGATATTAGTGTTGTGTGGAGAAGTGAAAAGTTCGGCTGAATATACGACCACATGTTTTGGAAATATTCTTCAACAATTTGGAGTACCAGAAAGCCTGAGTCCATCGTTTGATAACAAGAGGAATTCGCAGCTTTGTCAAAAAGAGACCATGGATACCTCGAGCCCATGTGCCGCAACAGGCAATCGTTATTTTGAGAAGTAAACCCCTTTAGTAGATTGCCCGGGGATTCTCAGTTTTTGGTAATCTATGGTTAGTGTGACGTTCACACATCTAGTTGTTTTCCGTTGGCATCATTGGCTGAAGTTGGTCCCGACAAAATGGCCGTCACTAGAGACATACTGTGCGAACAAACAATAACAGTACCAACTTGCATCAAATTACTTCACTCTATCTATAACAAAATGCCATTTACACAAAAGAGGTATTTACAAGTTCTGCATTGAGCTGAATTAGTGTAGTTTATTTGGGGATGAATTTAACTAAGTTCCCGAACAAGTCTCACTGGTACGTTTCAGCACGTGTTTGGCAATATTAACATGTGTGATGCATATCCTGCTCTGCCAAAACACTTCCGAAACACAAGCAGATACTCACTTAGCGAGTTGTATACTAAATTCTGGTAAACATAACAAATAAGCATACCGATAATATCGTACTATTAAGTGCGATTTCTGTATGGGGTATGCGGTCTCGTGATGTCACATGGCGCTATAAGTATAACAATAAAGCTCAATCGTTCTGCGACACGTAAATGAATACATAAAACCAAACTAGTATTCTCTAACTTTGCATCCGCAACCTCGAATTTACAATATGCTTGAGCCGATTACTCTTTATTATTACCATAAAAATTAAAGCACCTGGCCTCAGAGCCCAAATGATTCGCACTACGGATAAATTAGTAGGAAAAAGTGAATCTAAAACAAATTAACCGAAACAGAGCGCAGTATGAAATGAAACTTTGTTCCTATTAACACTTGATTGCAAAATACTCTATTCGCTTGTTGTCCCATTATTGAACACTAAACAAGACTTATAACTCTGCTCTTAAATTCCCGGGAAATCCAGGTAAAGATAGCGTCTCATTGTTTCGTCATCGATGTCTAACAGATGGGGATGATCCCTATGAAACTCATCAAGCAGATTAAGATATCGTTCTCCAAGGAATTTAACGAGAGCATTGTGTAATCGGTCCAAAGGATAGCAGACCGGAATCTGACCAGGAAGAAGTTGTCGAGGTTTGCAAACGGCTTGATCTACGGCCATGGATGGGCTGGGAATCTCCGCAGATACATGCCGTCTAGTCGGGGTAGGCCGCGTAGGACGTGCATTGTTATCAAATGGTGCTAGGGGCCTTCTCATTGCTACAAAGGGAGACGGTGCAACTGGTGGAACAAGATTTGGTGGCGGTACATATGGCCTCACGATACAGCGAGGTCGGCCAGAGCGAGCGTAAACTCCTGGTGCAGTAATAGGACTGACTCTTCTGGAAGACAAACATTGGGAAAATTATGCTGCACAATAAGTGACTCAATTTAAACATTTGCTTAAATAGGCGATCGCGCTATAAATAAAAGGTTCCACCCTTTTGGGAATTTGAGAACATCATGGAGCTTTTAGTCAAACATGACTTATTTGATATATTAAAGTCCACATATTACGTAAAACCAGTTTTACGATCTTACTACTCCCGCTTTAAATAGGCCATTTGATGGAGGGGCCGACTTTGTTTGTCACGTGCATACAGGGAAATAATTACAGGGAGAATATGATCAGAAGTAGCAAAGCGTGCAGCCACTTTAAAGCACATTTATACATGCTAAAAATGTACTTTTTAAGAAGAGTACATACGAAGATGGCCGGAAGCAAAGCAAGCTCTGTCGCGATGGTTATCTAACCTTAAAAAATCGAGGTTTGCGATTCTACCTCATCCAAGCCAGCTGTCAGAGGTCATGGATTGGGATGATTTTTTCTAGGTCACTAGTGCTCTTTCCAGAAATGGTCTGTGCGGAAAATTTAACCGACTGAATTTTTCCGAGGGAGATTTTTTCCATACAGTGTAATATAAATTTAGATAATCGGTTATTTTATGCAAATTGCTCGATAACTGTTGCAATCTAAAATATTTACATTGGAAGGTTACTTGTTTCTCAAGCTTCACAGAATGGGCACAAATTGGATTCTGGGGGATATTCTTATTTTGCATTTTTTTGCGATTTAGTCATAGAATAGTGATATTAGCCCGTTGATTAGGAAGTAATGAAGTATGAAACATCGTTGGTTCTTATTCCTTAACTATTCGAATAATTTATTAGAAAATAGTTTCTTCTCTTTATATGTATGTGATGCTAATTTAACTTCAAAGAAAAATTTGGTAAAATATAAATATCTCCGCTATAGTTATTGTTTTTAGATAAACACATTCCCATGAGGACCTTCATTTTTTCATGGGCTATATTTTTAACCTAGATAACTCTTTTTTGGCGATTTGCCCAGCAACCGTTAATAATTAAAAAAAAAAAACATTGGAGTTCAAAAAATTGTTGGTTTTTAATTCTACGAGATAAACACTAGGGATTGTTTATCATGTTGTTATATTTTCCGACTAAACGAATGGTAATTTTTGCCCAGATACCTGTCAAATAATGCAGTATGAACCATCGCAGTTTATATAATTATTTCGTGACGAGGTATTTCTATTCTTCTACATGGGGGGACATGCTAATCTGGCCTTCCCTATATATTTATTACAGCTAATGAAACCTGTCTATGATATGGAATGCTTTTCTATTTTTGCCCTTTTCTGACGTTTTTTGTAAAAATATTTTCTTTCGTATCTATGGGAAAATTGTGAGAACTGATGTAAGCTATACTTTGTGATTTATTAATGAAATTTCTTCAATTTCTCCAAAATTACTTAAAAAAATATTTTCTCCTGACAAAGTAGCAACCAGATCGTTATATGAAGATCTATGGAAAGAGGCCGTATTTTACAGTACTAGTACAGTTGAACAGTACAGGTTGAATCAGGATGTCATACATGCTCTGTACGCTCAAATTTTACTTTTAAGTAACAAACGCTATTTAAAGCTTGAAAACTAAACGTGGTTAAAGGCGATTTGACTATTACTCGTTAAACTTGGACAAGCTAAGGTGTTACTGGGTTTGTTTCTGCCTAAAGAAGACAAAAACAACAAATATGACATTCATTTCCCCCGTATATCAACGGAATTAGAATTTGTTATAATTTATAGTTGTTATTTGAGCGAATTTATATTGTCAAGTTGTAACGCTTGATATGGCGGACATTTTGCAAAAACTATTTTTCTTAAATATTTTCTGAGGGATCCCTGAGAAAATGAAAAATTGAACACATGATTTGCTATGCAAGGTATTACTTTGTTGGTAACAATCAAGAAAATTGCGGCTAGTTAAGAGCAACATGCATTACATTTTATAGCTTTTATATATAGATACTTCGGGATAAAAAAGCTGAGAACCCAATGTAATAGCTTTTCCACGAATTTGAGACTGGCATAAAGATTTTTATATGAAAATCTATGCGGGGAAGTATTTCGAAAGGTCTTGGTCAGCTGAATCGAAATGTAATACATGTTCGTGAACATGCATTTCAGTATTTTAGTTGAAAATTCCGTTTGAAGGGTGAAAGTTCAAAATGATAGTCTGTGTAAAAGGTGTTTGTCTTGACGCAAAAATGCAGATCTCAATGAGCTGAATGAAAGTGTTATACATGCATTATACCAAAAATGAGTATTAAGTTAAAATGGCAAAAATCCTATAGGTTAACTTATTTACTGTACACCAAAAAACAGCACTAACTACTTCTCTCGTTTCCAAGCTGTTGGAATTCCTGCCGAAAAAATAACTCATTACGCAACAAGGTTATGAAAGAACGTTCTTTTACAAAAAGGCAAGCGTAAAGTCTAAATTCGAGATTCGTTAGGTTAATATTTCGAAAACCATTTACCAGAAGTTTTTACCTTATTATCGAAACCCTCGGCTGATGAGAACGTCGCGCTATGTTTAATGATGGACCACCCCTGTCGTGTGACGCAGCTGACGACTCTGCTACAATTGGTTTACCCCTTATGCCAAGCGGTATTACCCGCGGAACAAATCTTTGAGTCCTTGATACCTCAGTCTGTATACTACTCACCTGGGGAAGTGTTGTTGAAAAAGTTAATGGAATTCAATTGATTTCACGAATTTGGTTCGTCTATCTCATAAGTACTAATCGTTTGGATGAGCGAAGATAAAACGCAGTGTAGTGATACGTAAACCAGATGACACCAAATTTTTTACGGACATTGAGTGACTGAACACGGATGCGTGCATTGCACGTCATATCCACATCATAAACGAACATGAAACGATCGAGGATTCGAACAAGTATTTTAAATGTTTCTAAGGCAGTCATACAACATACTCCCCCCCCTCCCTCCCTCCCTCCCTCCCTCTCTCTCTCTCTCTATATATATATATATATAATTTTAATATTGTTATTATTATACAAATATATGCAAACATATTATATAAAAAAAAAAAAATTTATATACCTCACCGCGGTGGGGAGCTTCGTTTTTTTTTAGATCGTCCATCAACGAAAGCCTCCTTCCACGTGGTTATCTCCTGGAAACTGCTCTTACAGCCTTCATTAACACACACATCAAGTTTTACTTGATATGCTGGCAGCGTTGCACTAATTCAAGATCAAGGGCGCACAAGCGAAAGTAGTTCCGACCCTGAACCGAGCGTAAGCATTGCCTTTCCTATTCGAAATTAGCAAGCCCCAGTTTGTTAGCTTGGCTGGAGCTAAGAAGAAAGTTTCTGTTGTTTATGTTTGTTCATGTACTATTTCATAGGAGTTAGAACAGGACGAGGCCCTTGAGGTGGTCAAGTTGGGAGACGCATCCATTGCGGCTCCGTTTACATACAAGGGGTCATCTGTCGAATGCCTAGCGCACATCCTGAAGCAAGGTCGCTGCACGCTTGTCACAACACTTCAGATGTTCAAAATCCTTGCGCTCAACGCACTTGTACTTGCATATTCGCAGTCAGTTCTATACCTTGACGGAATCAAATTATCCGACGCACAAGCTACTCTTCAGGTAAAAATTATTTGGATAGATTGGCACCATTAAATGACATAAAAATTTCTGGACTTTTTCGGTGGCTCTCACTTGTTCTGTTTTCATTTTGGTAGAACTGATCACCGAATTCTAGTGGAATATCATAGGCGTTAGATATTTTATGATGTTTAATGGATTATGACCCTATAAAGGTTTTTGCCGTTGCTGATGCTGTTACGTTTCAGGGTCTGCTATTAGCGGCGTGCTTTTACTTAATCTCCAGATCAAAGCCTCAAGAGAAATTATCGCAAAAACGACCCCTTGCGAATATATTTAACGCGTATACTCTACTCACCGTGATCCTCCAGTTTGCAGTCCACCTTTCCACTTTGATCTACCTTACCGGACTCTACGAGGGACTGAAACCGAAGGAATTTAGAGAAGATTCAAAATTCGAGCCATCCCTGTTGAATTCCACCGTTTATATTCTCTCTATCGCCTTGCAAATATCCACATTCGCGGTCAACTATAGGTAAGATTACCGATATATATATATGTTAATATTTCGCCTTAATGCCTTACTTTATTTACGCTTACTTTATTTGCAGTGTGATCTCATACGTTCTGCGTACCTACTTTCTCTACTATATATGACATAATTCCTGTATAAATCGCATCTTATATGTCAAACGTTATCTTTTTACTACACATGCATGGTGTTTTTACGTCGTAATTCATGCTAATGTCTGTGATTACTAAATTAGTTCTTGATTCATCTTACTATTTTAGGGGCCATCCATTTATGGAGAGTCTGTTTGAGAATAAGCCATTGCTATATGCGCTCCTAGTTCCCGCGCTAGTCGTTGTCGCCCTCGTTAAGAACCTGATGCCTGATGTGTCAAGTCAATTGGAGCTCGTCGAATTTCCACCGGACCAGGCTAACTTAATTTTAGCCACGCTTGCTGCTGACTTAGTAGCTGCATTTATCATCGACCGGGTGTTAGGGGCCTTGTTAGCTAGGGGCAAGCCAGTTCCGTTACCTAGGTTATTGTGAGTTTGCTTATGACCCTACAAATGCGCCATATATCGCTAGCACATGGTATTGATATACGGCACCGAAACCCAACCTGATGTAGGGATAAATATGAATGTGTGAACCTTATAAAGGATACTGATCTGTGAATTAACGTTTAATTTATAGGACTTCCGAGAAAAGTAAGCGCATGAAGTTGCTAAGTTGTTGTTTTAGTAAGCATGCAGCAACCGGGTGTCCATAAATATATCATAGTTGAAGAGTCAGTGTAAATACATGACATGAATATATTATTAAAATAAGTCATTGATAAGTTCTTAAGGATCCCACCAGAACACATATAAATAAAGGAAAAGAAGGATAAGATAACGCAAATAGCTTGACCGCTTGTGGCTAAGCATTTTTTAAATAGTTACATACAAATGGTTTTCTATTTCTTTTGGTTTAGCACTGCTTGGTTTTTGTGTCAAATTTAAGTTATCTAAAATTATAGATTAACATTAATAACACAATACCAGTAAAGGCCTAAGTGAGTCAAGGTGTGCCGCATACAGCCAGAACAGTGCAAAATAGTTTCAAGATCTACTCTTGATTACTAAAGTCCAAAGTTTCCAATAGAATAAAATAATTGTATGATATTGGCTCTACATGTCAAAGCTAAGACCCCAGGTTGTAAAAAAACTGAGGCCTGGGCGAAGTAAATTCTTTGAGCCACTTGGTTCATAATTTCGACAGACGCCTAACCTTGATATTTTTTCAGAGGACTGCTTAGGTAGACACCGCTGTCATTTTTTATTATATTATAATGTCAATTGGATGGTTAGTCCAATGTCGATGTCACTTTGTAATGTTGAATAAATAGAGCAACTTACAAAGTATTAGGAACATAAAGTCAGAATCAATCACATCATGATCTAATCATTTGTTAGACTCATCGCGTCGGTGTATATAGACAAATATACTTTGTTCTTGTGCATAATTTTAAAGCAGGAAGGGACTAAATATGCGGATAGGAAGTCCAAAAACTAGACATAAATGGACGAGAGTAGATTTATCAAAAATTAAGTTTAATGTTATAGAAAGAAACTGTTTTGTTACTTATTCAAATGTAGCCAGCGCATTCGGAACTTCGATTACGTTTATACTTCTATTTTTTTTACCTTTTTGAGACACATCTCTAACGGATCACTTGCTTTATGAGCATTTGCATGTTCACGAACCGGTTTTGCTTCATTTTTAATAGATATCTGTGAATAAAGAAAAATCGAACGTAATATGTGCAACTTCATATGAAAATAAGTGAAAAGAAGAACAGAGGCAATTAGCGATCGCTGTTGATATTTTTTGTCAGAACCGAACTGATATCCAAAGTGCGAATGGAGTCAGTAAATCATAGTGGATTCTAAAAAGACGCGAGAATAGTAGAAATATTCAATTCAGATTATAAAGTTATTTTTTCACTGAGTGAACTAAGTAAAATGTATAATAAATTATCTAAGGTATCGAATTGGTACAATAAAATCAGCCAAGTGGATTTACTCCTTTTTACCTAATTTTGAATAATCAAGTATCATAAGGTAATAACAAAATGGTCTAGTTTATGATAAGTAGATTATATATAGGTCGGTCTGGCCAATGAAGCTTTAAGGGAAAAGGTTTAAAGTAATATAATAGCCGAAAAGCCTCAGTCCTCCAAAAAAGAAGTGCAAATAGAGTTCATTTTTACTCGCAAATAAATACATGGTAATTTTAAAACATATTAATGCTATTTGATATACAAGGAACTTAAAAAGCCATTACTCACGAGATTTTTTAGATGGAAATGAGAATTCTAAATAAAACTTCTTAGATGCTTGGTGTGTCACTATGGAGTACTGCTCAGTAGATATTATTATTATTACATCGAAAACAGCGAAGTTGGGATTGGGATCTGCTTAAACTGGAAAAGGAGATGTACGGAGCTTTCCCCGATTAGAGGATTACAGAAGTACTGTGCCGGTCTTTTTAGTGAGCCTAAATCTGCTCGTTTCTGGCTATACTCGTTACAGCAGTGTGTTTGCCCAAGTAGAGCGATCATGCTGCTGAGACGTGGAAACTAAGAGTTCTAACGCATATAAGGTGAGAAGCTTATTGCTGACATCGAGACCAATATTAATATGTGGCATGAGTACTAAAAGCGTTTTTAATGTTAAAAATGAAAGCGCAGTGAATCTATCAAAGCCTGTTTCGTAACACATGGGCGAGAAGCAGACATTTTGGAGCGATCTGCAAAAAATGTGCGAGGTAAGCACAGTTGCGAAAAAAAAGTTGCACAACGGTTGTAAGGTGTTATAAAAAAGACTTCAAAACTTTTCGTGCCCTATTTATTGTTAATTTAGAGATCAAAACAAACTGCTTTAATTAGCTCCTTTTTCATTTTCGACGAAGTCTTTATATAAAGTGACTTTTTCTCAGCCCTACCTGATATAAGTATGTGGGAGGCCGGATCTTATTTACATTTGAAATTATGCGCGTCTCAAATTCCCTCGCAATGCAGAGCTATAATTATTGAGTGGTCTATATAGGTGTAACGATGAGGAAGACAGGCATTTTGGACGGGAGAAACTGGAAAGAGTGCGCGCACTTCGTTTTTTTTTCAAGGAGCTTCTGAGGATGTTTTGCATCGGTTGAAACTGTAGCTTTGAACATTTTTTCAAGACGGATTGTTTTTCGAGTTTGTTACCCGTTTTATCGTTAACGATAACTTTTACAATTGAACCTTTTCAGCCCTTCGGTGTACAGATTCTGATGATGAAGAGGATTTAATGGTACTTGTAGTATGACAAATAACAACTAAAAAGTTGTGTCGGATGTCTAATGTACGATTCAAGTGGTGGTTACTCGCAAAGTGAGTTTTAGACCTCCCAGTGCAATACACAGCCTAGGATAATGCAATCGTGCTTAACCAAGTCTTAAATTTTGTTTATAATTGAACACCAAGGGTGAAAAAAATGTTAGGTGAATTCTGTAATTATCATACATATTCCTTATCTTGTCCCTCTTGTTATGATCTTGTTTCTGCAACTGATTATTCCAGAGCAATTTGTACTCAAGTAGTCATAATTACTGTGTAATCTTGGCATGATACTCATTAATGTGATGTACGGTAATATACATGTCGTCCTATAATAAATTAAATATATTAGTACTCCAGTCATTTGTATCTAGCGTTGGCTTTCCATGTACTTTTTATTTTCATCTACTTCTTACATTTGCAATGCATTGTAAGAAAATGGTTCGAGATTTTAATAGTACTACAAAAATAACAATATATAATATACATATAATGGTA